TTTACAGTCGTCTCTAAGCGGTTTACAGTCAGCATATTGTCCCCAACAGTCTGGGTTGTCATTGGCTCTTTTAAAGTCTGGTTTGATTATGTTCTATTGCTTTATATTGTCTGCATCATCTCCCCCAAAGTTCCTGTAGCTTCAACCCCCTCTACCATTTCATCTCCATTAGTAAGAATTAGGTCCAATATAACTGTCCCTCTAGTTCCCTCCTCTACCTTTTGGATGACAAAGTTGTCAGCTAGGTTGGTTAGGAACCTGTTCTATCTCCCACTTGATGCCGAGTTGGTAACAGGGTAGTTAAAGTCCCCCATTACTACTGTGGTGTGTTGTTAACCAATTAGCAAAAAGTTTGTCTAACTCTTGTGCTTGGTTGGGTGGCCTGTAGTATGCACCTATAGCGATGTCATTCTTTTTTTCCCTTTTGTATTAACCCATATGCATTCCAGGAGGCTTTCGTCCTTGGTTTTATGCATTTCTGTAGAGATGTCGCGATCTCTTGCTTGTTGCTGCATGGCCCCAGAGCTGCTGGCCACCCGACGGCAGCCCAAACGTTACTCTCGGATGACTTGAAGTGGAGCCACGGCTGGGATAGACGCTTACAGTTGGGGAGTGGAAGGAGCGGAGGGGATTATTCAGATCCATCCTTGGACAATCTCTGAGCATGTGGAGAATCCCAGCTGGTCAGGGCTTTATGTTGCAGACCTTGGAGGAGCATCGGACTGTTCATGGATTGCTGCCCAAGCCTGATGTTCCCTTGGCTGGGCCTGCCCTGGGCCAGGCAACAGGGGATATAGGGGTTGTTTCCTCCGGTGGGCCTTTTTCCGAGAATGCTATGGAGAAGTGGTGACCTTTGACCCTAGTGCAAACTCAAAACAGCGCATGGGGGCAGGGCAGGAGACTACCTAGAGGCAGGTGGGGGGGGCTCTGCCGCGTGAGGTGAAGTGGCATGCCCTGAGTGGCTGGTGCCCCAGATGGAGGCATTTCCCACTCAGGAAAGGATGTGCCTGGGTGATCGGCTTCCTTCTTGGCCTACTGCCTGGGCCCTCCTTTGCTGCCCACTCTGGTCTCCTGGCCCCAGGCAGCAGGGTGTTCTCCCCTCCCTCGGGGGTCAGGCCTGGGTCTGTCTGCTGGCTGGGCTCTGAGGAACCAGTGGGGCCAGGCAGTCTGGATCACGGCCGCAGGACGAAAAGCTCTCCGGAGCCAGGAATGGCGGCCTTGTCAAGGAGAAGCCATGCCACGTCCTGACACTCCAGGGGGGGGGGGGGGTCAGAATAGGGCTGGGGTGGTAGCATCCTGTGCAGGATCTTTCCCTCCCCGTGCCCGCAGGCGTTCTGGGTGAGCTGGGCATGGCAGCAGACCCAGCCAGCTGAGTCAGGGAGCTGGCTGGCTCCCAGAAATCAGAGTGTGGTTTCTCCCTTTCTCTCCAGCCTGGATTTTTTTCCGCCTTCACTAAGCGACAGTTTTGTGTATGCACAACAAAGGCCTGCTTGCCTTGGCTCCTCTGGGGCTGGACCAGGCGTGAGTCCATTGGATCCCAGTGGGGCAGGCGTGCGCAGGACAGCCCTGTGCCAGGGGATTTTGTTCTCCATCAGTGCAGACCAGCATGGGACCCTCATGAGACCGCCTTCTGCCGCCAATAGCCTCCCACCGGCCAGTACGCTCGCACAGAGAGGGGCTCCTCAGGGTGCCGTCGGCCAGACAATGTCGGCTGGAGACCCCCAGGGGGAGAGCCTTCCCTCTGGAACGACCTACCCCCAGAGATACGCACGATACCAGACCTCCGGACTTTTCATCGGACCCTTAAAACTCACTTATTTTATCTAGCCGGGCTGGCTTGATCCCATCCTTTCGGTTTTAATTTGAAATTGGTTTTAACTGGGTTGTTTTAAATTGTGGGCTGAAATTATTTAATATCTTTTAAACTGTTTTTAAATTTTATATGCTATGTTTTATCTTGGCTGTTCACCGCCCTGAGTCCTGTTGGAGCAGGGCGGTATAAAAATCAAATAAATAAATAAAATAAATAAAATGGCACAGCGCCCTGCAACCCCAGGAAGCCTCCTGCTTCCAGCCCCCCAGTCTGGCAAGACTAGGAGGGAAACTAGTTTTCAAAGTTGGAGAGGCTTCTTAAGGCCTGGGTCAAGGGGGCAGTAGCAAATCTATTGTCTTTCAGCCCATTCATCTGGTGCAGTGGGAGCTACCACGGCCCTCCCAGTGGAGCACAGTTTCAGCATCCCCCCCCCACCCCCGCCCCCAGAAGAAGATTGGCTGCCGATGATCCTTCCTGGAGGGCTGAATCAGAGTTTTGTGACTTGGCAAGTTGGGGGGAGGGGCATCCTTCTTTCCAACTGCTGCCTTGGGGATTGTGCCTTGAGAGTAGAACTTGGCCCCGGTAAGCTTCCGTCAGTCTTCCGCCAGCAGATTTTCCTTGCGGGAAAAGCTCTGATCAGAAAATGGCAACTCCGCTTGGGCAAGGACGGGACTGTTGCACAATCGGCGGTTGAGCTGAAGGGTGGGTGGCTGGCAGAGGCTAGACAAAACAAATCTTGGCATCTGGCTGGGGCGAGTCGGATCCTGGCACCAAGGAATCCCAGACGCCTCTCCAGCCTTGCTTGGAGGGAACTGCACGAGGAATCGGAGAGCCTTCCTTAACAAGATTTGCTTCATTCTCAAAACTTGCAGAATGTTCTGGGTCTGTTCCCACTTCAGACAGCAAAGAATGTGATCTTTGTATGAGCCAAGGCTTGGGAACTTTGCTAAAGACGGTTTCTCTTCAGGCTTCGACCTACTTAGTGCACTGCTGTGGGTTCCAGCGACCTGGAGTGACGCTGACTCCGAGACAGGCATGGCCTTGCCTGAGCTGAGCAGGCAGAGAGAGATTGCTGCAAATGGGCCTCTCTCCAGTTGAAGAGGACTCCGCTTGCTAGGACTACCCACCCCTCAGAAACATGAGGGAGCCAGCCTGGTCTGCCTTGGTTCCCCAGGTGTCAGCTCAACACACGATCCCTGGCTCAGTCTGGAGCCTAGGAAGAGGGGAGCAGTTGCTAGGTGGAACCCAGTGGAACGGCCCATGCATTAGAGGAAGGCTGCCCGCCAGGGGTGGCACTTGCTTGTGCCGTCAGAGAGAATCCCTGATCCTGACCTCTTGCTTCTGAGCCACATCCCTTCCCAGGGAGCACTGGGGCGCTCTCTGCCCTGGGGTCCCACCTGCTCCTCCAGCCGTGAGGAGGACCTAGCCTGGAGTTCATGGGGGGAGGCAGAAGAGGAAAGCTGGTGGTTTTACAGGTCTGCAGAGCCGGTGCCCTCGGGGGAAGTGCGTGGAGGGGCAGGAAAGCGCTGTAGAAGTTCTGGAATAATTCTGGATAAAGTGACGGGGGTGAAGCACCCTTCTCTGCAGGGTGCTCAGAAATGCCTGCAGCAGGAGTGTCCTCTTGCTGGTCAGTGGCTTCAGTTTGACCGAAGGGGCTCTGAATGACTCCTGCGCTGGTCTTTTGCAGTAGAAGTCACCTTGTCCCATCTTGGAATCCTGCTTGCTGCTCTTGGCCAGTCGGGGACCTTCCGGCAAGTAGCTCTGTCCATAGCTACACTGTGGCTAGGAGGCCCACGATGAAGGTGGGGCACGGGTGGGTGGGCAGGCGAGCCAAGGATGGGTCTCATGTTCCGCATCGGTCCTGGGTTACAGAGGGCTGGTTTCTGGGCCACGTCTTACTAGATGCGGAGCTGAGGGCTTTTAGCTGTATGTCTGCACCTCTATTTCGTTATACGTAGGCATGTGTATTTTTTTCTAATTTTACTCCCTAAAATGTCAGAACAAGCAAACAGTCACCCTTTTCCTTGCTGATGACAATATCAGTATTCCTGGGTTTTGTAATAATAAAGGAAGCCATGGTTCTCAGCAATGATGATGAGGCCGGCCAAACCAGATTGACCCGTACAGGGATTGTCCCTAGCGAGGACTGCTTTGCCTCTTCCCTGCTGGACGGCAGCTGCTGCTTCCCATCCCCACCCCACCCCATCCCATCATCCTTCTCTGAAGCCCCTGGCTGCCCCCTTCCAGGCAGAAACCTCCTCTCCCCTCCCGCCCCCCCAGAGGAACTCTTGAGGCAATCTTCCAGTCCCAGGGAACCCTTGCATAAACATTGCTATATCTCAACTCATGGCACAGTGTAGGGTTTTTTCCCCCTTCCATCTCTTGTGGAACCCCAGCTGAGAAAGGCTGCTGCAGAAAGTAAGCAGAAAAGGTGAAATTCAGAGAGCCCAAAGCAGGACATGGCACCTTCCTTGGGAGGGAAGTGGTGCCCCCAAGGCCCTGGCAGGACCTTCCCTAATGAGGATGCTTCTGTTCTTGGCTGTTTCTCGAAGGATTAATTGGATTCCCTCGGCACAGAATTTGGGGCACTGGGTGGCTGCTGACCTGGGGGTCTTCAGGTGGTCAAGCAACATTGTGGAAGACAAGGTTGATGGTGCAGGTTTTCTAGGCAGTCAGAGGCAGGACACAAAGGTTTGTGCCCTTGGAAGCGGAAGGCCAGGGGTCTGAATCTTGCTGCTGGTGGAAGGCATGGGCTTGGTGCAGAGAATGTCCAGAGACCCCAAAACACTGCCCTGAACTCAGTCTGGATTTGGGGGAAGGCACGTCAGTCTCTGTGGCTGCAGAGAGCTCTTTCCTAACTAGAAAGACCCACTGCCTCCCCAGTCACTGCCTTGCTGGTTGACCAGCCCTGTGCGGGAGGCTTGTGGCTGTCCAGCGGAGGGAGAGGCTAGCATTCCCTCCGGCATTGGTGGCTGGGGTGGGGGATTCCCTCTCCTTCCCTCCTCTTAAGTGAAGCAAGAGAGGGCTTGCAGGACCCTGGGATGGGCCTGTGTGTGAGGATATGCAGTCCGCAGCACAGGCCACATGCCATGCTCTGAAAGCTGGCATGTGGCCCGTGAGCCAGGCTGGGTAGATGCCCAAGTGGGCCTGTGGTGGCTGGTCTTGGAGGAGAGAGCCCTGCGTTGTTCCAAGCCCTGAGCAGGAATCTGGGTGCCATTCACAACCTTGCCTCTCCTCCTGGCCTGAGCAGCTGGGAATACGGCCGCAAAGGTTTTGGGCACATGGGGCTCTTGCAAGCCATCTCTGAAGGCTGTGGCCAGGCTCCATCTGCGCAGGGTGACTTTGCTCTCTACAGCCCTCCTGAGATGCTTCCTTTGGTACCTTCTGCTTAGATTTCCCCAACATTAATCCAGATAAAGATGGAGGCTTTCTCCAGATTGGGATTTCACTAGGGAAATTGCCTCTTCATCCCCTGGAAATACGCTTAATTTTTCCCTGTGCTTCTGGGCACAAGACCTTGCAAAGAGCATTCATGGTGAGCACGAAGGATGAGAAAAGTGTTCCAGGCTCAGTGAAACAACATCCCTCTCTGTTTGCTGTGTGCCCTTTCTACCCCATAGTCACCCTCTTTCCTTGACAAGAGTCCAAGACCTCCAATTAGCAACCTGACCCTCAGGGTTCCCTGGTTACTTGAAGGGTAGACCATCTCATTGGCCTCTCTAATCCAGCATCGGTTCTCCCAAGGACCCTCGGGCCCAGGGGCGTCCAGTTGAGGGGCATTGTGCCATTCTCCCAGGGCTAGCCTTTGATACATTTATTTTTCATCCTTAGCCTTGTCTTGGTAGCCATTCCCGTGTTTCAATGAAACAGTTGTGCGGTTCGCGTACCTGTGTGGGATGATCCTGTAGGGCTTATAAGGGAATGAGCAAGCCTTGAGCCCGATGGGGCTTCAGAACCTCCCCAAAGGGATCCAATCTCAAGTAGGACCATCACTTGAGGGAGTGTTGGCACAGGCTGATCATACCAGGGCAGAGGGCGGCGATGTGGATGCTCCCTTGGAAGATTTTTGGGCCTGGAGAGCTGACCTGCCTCTGAGCTTTCCTGAGGAGCAAAACGCCCTAGGCGTCCTTTAGGGGCAGGGAAGCAGAAGGTGCCCAGGGTGCCCTGTGGCTTGGGCAGAGGAGATGCTGCCCTTCTTCTGGAGCCAAAGCCAAGGGGACCCTGCCGCAGGTAGGAGAGCAATCCCAAATCACCCTCCTCCTCCCCCAAGGCCTTTCCCACCAGCATGGCCGGGAGTGGCTGAGGTGGGGGCTGCTGTTGTCTGGGAGCCAGTTGGGGAAGGGCATGGAGCCTTAGCTTTGCCATTGGTGTCCAGAGGCATCTTGATCCTGAGGCTGGGTCTGCCACCTTCTCCTGCAGGTGACTTGTACTCCCCTCTCCCTCTCCAGCAGGCTCTCACTGGGCAGCCTAGAAATAAATCTCTCCTGGTGTGGAAGGAGGAATATAAATATCCCCGGAGTGATGTGATCTTTCCAGCTGCTATTAATAGGCCCCCAGAGGCTTAGCCAGCCCACGTGACGACGGATACTTAAAGAGACAGGGTGTCACAAAGGAGCCCCCCCCCCCCAAGGGCTGGAGCACCTGCTAGCCAGACAGGTGCAGGTCTTGGGATGGGCTTCCCACCTTGAGAAGGACCTTAAGAGGACCCTGAAATTGGTAGGGCTGGAGGGGATCCATAGCCACCCCCAGGCTTTGAGAGTGACCTCTTTTCAAAGCCATGTGGAAGGGAGGCTTTCCCCCTCCCTTGCTGTGATGGGGAGGGGGCTTCTCCCTCCCCTGTCCTGAAACTCCCCCATTTAGCAATCCCTTTGGATTCTCTCGGCCTCTTTCGAATCTTCTATTGTTCGCCTTTTTTCCAAAATGCTACAAGGTGCACTCTGGCCCATTAGCCACTCTTCTGCACATTGTCAATTGTCACAGTACAGTGTAGGTGTCGAACTTCATACAGAACTGTGTAGGCTTCGCCACCGTATCATATATTTGTATGAAAGGATGGTGACGTGGACTGTTAATTCCGGTTTATTTCCAGTGATTCCCTGTCACCCATCTCCTCCCACTTACGACTGTATGACTGTAACCTTGTTGCTGGTATCCTTACGATTTATATTGACTCTTTCCTAATATGATTTGATTGCTTATTTGTTCCTATGACTATCATTAAGTGTTGTACCTTATGATTCTTGACGAATGTATCTTTTGTACACTGAAAGTGTATGCAGCAAAACAAATTCCTTGTTTGGCAATCACACTTGGCCAGTAAAAAGTTCTGTTCTGTTCTGTTCTGTTCTGTTCTGTTCTGTTCTATTCTATTCTATTCTATTCTATTCTATTCTATTCTATTCTATTCTAAATTCTAATTCTAATTCTAATTCTAATTCTAATTCTAATTCTAATTCTAATTCTATTCTATTCTAAAGGTTTTTTAGCAACTGGACAATAGGGATGTGTTTTCATTAAATTGATACCGAAAATTCCTTTCCTCATCCATCCTAGCCAGGAATACCTATTCATGTGGAGTTTTGGGGGGGCATCTTTTGCTTTTCAGTGTCCACTCCAGCAGTTTGGAGAGGGGCTTCTGAAGGTCTCAAGGCTTCTTTGTTGCCTTAACCATGCAAAATGATTTTGGATTGTAAGCAAATTTGGTCATCTTAGTGCTTATGAAGATATTGGTCCCAGCACTTATCCTTAGAACTTTTCATATTTGTCTGAATTGTTGGTTGTTTCTCTTCTGTGTTTTCTCTTATCCCAACTCATAATGAAGTTACTGTTTATCCCAGGACAGCTGAAACGCCTTTTTAAAGCCTTAACAGACTTGCCTCTGTCTAAAAATCTGTTGAACTTTGAAAAATTAATAAGACTTACTTCTGCAGAAGCCATGCTGATTCTTCAATATGTCTGAACATGTTTAATCCTGCCTCACCCCCCAAGCCCCCCCCCACAGTTTCCCCCCTAATTGGAGGAATCTGCATTGCTTCGGCCAGTTCTACAACACGGTTATCTTGTGATGAGAACATCTGGATATGGCAACTTTTGGAGTGGATCCCTTACAATGCAGTGTCCTTCCTCCTCTTGAGGCCTCCTTCTCCTCTCCTGCAGTGCTGTCCACCCCTTTCCTTAACTTAGCCAGAAAGGGGTGCCAGATTCAAACTCCCACGGGGAGCAGGGGAAATTCTTGGGCCTCGAGGTTGAGGGCTTCTGGGGAGTGAAGATTGCAAGGTTTGCCAGAGTCTCGGGGACACCCTGGCACAAGGTGGGTGTCCTGAGCAGGAGGTGGGGCATCTGCCATAGCCTCTTCTTTGCCCCTCTGATGACTGTTTTTGTCTTATGCCCCTCTTCCCCCCCCCACCCACCCAGGAGGCATTTGGTCCGACCGGAAGTGCCAGTGGCGGTGGACCCAGAGACGTGGCGCTGCCAGAAACCTCAGCCAGTCAAATGCACCCTGACAGTAAACTGACCAACCATGGAAAGACAGGTAACAGCAGTGTCCACTCCCAGCCCCACCCTGTGAGCCCCCCTCCCATCGGCCACCTGGGCGCTGAAGATGTGGGCGGGGCAGGGAGCCAGGGCAGCAAAGTTGGCCAGCCCGCCGCAGGCCCTCTGGCACTGAAAGCCAGCCAGGCTCCTGTTTCTGTCTTTGGGGCCTTGAAGGGCAAAGTCAGGCGGGAACGCAGTGTCTCCGTGGATTCGGGAGAGCGGCGGGAAGCAAGTGCCACCCCACTGGACAAGGAGCTGAAAGGTGAGGGTGCAGGGCCACCAAGAGGTGCAGCAATGGCCCCGCTTGCTCCATGGGTGGGGCGGGGTGGGCTGGCATCTCATCTTCCCCTCCAGCTGTGCCACCATCTGGATGGAGGAGGGCTTAGCGCAGCCTTTTGCTTGATAGGCGAGACAGTCCCTCGGAGCAAGAGGCGCTGCGTGTTGGAGAGGAAGCAACCCTACAGCGGGGACGAGTGGTGCTCTGGGCCAGAGAGCGAGGATGATGACAAGTCGCTGGGCAGCAGCCACAGTGAGTGCCCACAGGCTCAGGCATGACACCGCAGCCGTCTCTCTGCTCCCGCAGGAGGCAGTGGCCAAATCTGCGAGGGCCCTCTCGGAGACACAGCCGTGCCTTGGCAAAGCGTGGCCCCTGGAAGCGCCTCCTCCTGCTTCTCTCTGACCTCCTCAGTGCTGGCTTGTCAGGAAACCCACAGGACGAGGAAGTATCCATCATAGCTGGGGGGAGCACATGGCCACTGGGGCCAGGAGCTAGCAGGCCTTTCTGGGAAGGGGGCACGACTTGGGAATGCAGGGGAGGGTCAGCCCTCCTAACCTGGGAGAGGTGACTTGTTAGGTGCTTGCGTATTTGTGGGTGACGAGAGGAATTTCTCTGGCCTGCCACCTGCTGGGCACTTCAGGGAAGGCAGCAAGCTTCGTGGGGCGCTTGGGGCCCCCAGGGGCACTCTGGGGGTGACTTCTTTTGTGCTGCCCCTGCATGTGTGCATCAAGCTGAGATCTCTCAGCTCTTCACCAGCCAATCTGGCGCTGCAACGGCTGCTGAACTGCAGCGGTTGTTCAGCCTGCCATGGTTGTCCCTCGCAGATTGCCACGTAGCCGAGTCGGCCATGAGCGCAGGTGCGCAGCTGGGCCCAGGATCCAACCCTTTGCCGGCCCTGAGCGAGAGCAACACGCCTGGCGCCCCTCACAGCGCAGCTCCCAGCCTGCGGTCAGACGCTGGAGGAAAGCAGGGCCTGCAGCTGGTCTATGTCTTCACCACACACCTGGCCAACACGTAAGCCTCTTCCATGGGGGTGGGGAGCCTCTCCTTCGCCTCCAGCTCTGCCAGCCCCAAACCAGGGGGAGGTTTTCCCACAGGGAAGCTGGGCTTCCCCGCAGCTGGGTCCCAGGCAAAGCGGGGCTGCCCTAATGGCTCTTTGGGTGTCTGCAGGGCTGCGGAGGCCGTCCTTCAGGGTCAGGCAGACTCCATTCTTGGCTACCATCAGCAACATGTGCCCCGGGCAAAGTTGGACCAGGTAAGGCCAGAGCTGGGGAAAGGCAGCCGGTTGTGCTGCTGGGAAGGCCAAACCGGCTGTCCTGGGTGGGAGACCTGTGGCCAGAGCAGGGGTACTTGCCAGCCACAGGCTCCCACTCCCTGCCATCACCCTCTTTCTCCTTTTACAGCCGACCCCTCTCCCGAAGATGCCGGGTGCCGTTGAACCCCTGCCGCTCCACTTGTCTCCTGCCAACACCCCTCAAGGACCGCCGGCCCTGCCCCCAAGCAGCCAGGCCCAGGGACAGCAGGTGGGAGGGGCCCCCCTGGGGCTCGGCCAAGGACCTATCTCTTCCAGCAATGCTCTCCCGCCAGAGGGGCCCCCCGAAGAGGCTTGCCAGGACCTGACGCCCAACTCAGTGGGAAACGGCAGCAACAGCAGCAGCTCCGTGGCCCCCAGCAGCACCCACCCCAGCACCCCCACCACGCTCAGCTCCCTGCAGGCCAGCACTGCGGAGGGCTTGTTGGGGGAGGTGGCCAGCACGGGTCCCCCTGCAGCAGGTAACGGGCCTCGCAACCCCCTCAACACCGAAGGCCTCTCCAAGGAGCAGCTCGAGCACCGGGAGCGGTCTCTGCAGACTCTCCGGGACATTGAGCGCCTGCTTTTGCGTGGCAGCGAGGCTGAGCCCTTCCTCAAGGGCGGGGCAGGCCCTGGGGAAGGGGCTATCCTGCCCCCCCAGGCTACAGCCCCACAGCCTCCCCAGGGTGCCCTCTCCGGGACAGGTGTGAAGAAGTATGAGGAGCCGCTGCAGTCCATGATTTCGCAGACACAGAGCCTGGGGGGCCCAGGCCTGGAGCAGGAGGGGCCGTTGCCCCCAGGGGTGGACCTGGGCCAGCCAATGAACATGGTGCTGCAGCGCCTCGGCCAAGACAGCCTGACCCCCGAGCAGGTGGCCTGGCGCAAACTGCAAGAGGAGTACTACGAGGAGAAGCGCCGTAAGGAGGAGCAAGCCGGCTTGCATGGGGGGCGGCCGCTGCAGGAAGTGATGCTGGCCCAGCCGTTGGGAGGTGTGATGCTTCGGGGGCCCCCGCCGCCCTACCACAGCCGGCCCGGGGAGCAGTGGCTCCTGCGGGGGGCACCCCTGGACATTCAGGAGCAGCTGCGGCCCACCTTCCCCGGCCCCCGCGGCTTCCCAGGTGGCCACGTCCAGAGGGGCTTTGCTACAATGCCGAGCCTGCCCCTGGAGTCCCTTGGCCCAGTCGGCGGTGGGCCCCGCCCTGTCCAGCCCGGCCTACCGTGGGGCGAAGACCTGCCCCTCAGGGGTCCAGGGCACTTTGCGCCCGGGGGCCTCTCGTACCCCCCAGGACAGGGCGAGGCTGAGCGCTTCCTGCCATCCCGGGCCCGCGAGGACCTGCTGCGTCACCCACTGCTGGAGAAGCGGCCAGGCTCTCTGGGGCTGGAGATGGAGCGCGTTTTGCCCACGCACCGGCAAGTGGAGCCTGGCATGTTTGCCGGGGAAGGCCTGGGCTTGGAGTTCGGGGGGGGACGGGCCCTGATGAGTCCCCCACCCCCACTGCAGGAGGTGGAGCCGAGCGCCTTGGCCACGCCTACCAACCTGAACATGAATGTGAACATGAACATGAACTTGAGTGTGCAGATGACTCCGCAGCAGCAGCAGCAGCAAATGCTGCTGACCCAGAAGGCCCGTGGGCCAGAGCTGATGACCCCTGAGGAGATGGCCCGAGGACGCGCCCCAAATGGCACCGGGGCCATAATGGGGGCCCCACCGAAGATGCTGATGGGCTCGCCCTTCCCAGGCCAGGGACAGCAGCAGAACTTCTCTGGGCAGGGCCCCTACCCACCTGTGCCGCAAGAGATGGGCGGCACGCCTGATATGTTTGGTCCGGAGCAGGGTGGCCTGGCCGGCACCCCACGGCTCACCCACGTTCCCCTGCCGCCCAGCACCAGTGCCTCGGCCACGAACATGCATGCAGCTCCCATCAGGGGCCTGGGCCGCCGCCCCTCGGACCTGGCCCTCAACATGGGGCAGATGAACTCGCCCAGCGTGGGCCGTCTCAAGTCTCCCACTCTCAGCCAAGCACATTCCCCCCTGGGCACGTCCCCTTCGGCCAACCTCAAGTCGCCACAGACGCCTTCTGCCCTGGTCAGCCTGCCAGCTACCGCTGCCAGCAGTGGCCCCCTCAAGTCCCCCCAGATGCTGGGTTCTGTGCTCAATGTCCGCTCCCCGAGTTCGCCCGGCCATCTCAAATCGCCCTCCATGGCTGTTTCTTCCCCAGGATGGGCACCCTCCCCCAAGGCCAGCCTCGCCAGCCCAGGCAAGCCAGCCCTCGGAATGGGCAACTCCGCCCCCTTGGGCCACCTTGAGCAAGGTAAGGGCAGAGGTCTGCCAGGGGCTGCGCAGGGTGAGCAGTTCTGGGAAGGGAGAATTTCTGGAGACTTTCTGGTTTTCAGGGAGCCCCTGTAATTGGCTTTCTCTATGAAGGAAGGGGAGGGGGTCTTTTGACAGACAGGGTTGAAACATTCCTTTCCTCTTGTCAAGCCACCTTGCAGGAGGCACTGCCAGGCCCTCAGCACACTTTACTGAGAGAATGCCCCGGTTTGCAGGTCCTCCTGTAGGAAAGTCCGAGATATCCCCGGGGTCTCACTCAGCCTTGGCCTCGACTGGAATCTCTGTGGGCATCATTTCCTGCCTCGGGGGTGGGGTGGGGTTAGATGGGAGAGAACCTGTGAGCACCCCGAAGGCTTCCAGGGACCACCCCATAGGAGGGCTGTTTAGACACACACACACACACACACAACATGGGGCATCTTCTCAGCATCAGTTTGGGGAGCTGGAGGGAAAGAGAGCGGCTGCCCTTCTGGCCAGGCCAGTGGGCTTCCCGGATGCCTTTGGCCGGCATGATTTACGCTTTGTCAGCTCTTCCCCTGGCTCAGCTCCGAGGATTGGCCAACGTTGCTTTGGCTTGGCCTGAAGACGCTCCTGTCTCTTTTGCAGGTGCTGTGCCCTCTGGGTCTCGGAGCAGCTCCTCTGCCCCACCTGGCAACACCTCTGGCCCCCTGAACCCCAACCTGCCTTTTCCTTCTTCTCCAGATCCACCCCCATCCCAGAACCCTTTGTCCCTCATGATGTCCCAGATGTCAAAATACGCCATGCCCAGCTCCACGCCACTCTACCACAATGCCATCAAGACCATCGCCACCTCAGATGACGAACTGCTCCCGGACCGGCCCCTGCTGCCGCCTGGAGCTATGTCTGGTAAGAGTGGGCGGGCAGGAGGGCCATTCAGAGGGCCGGCTGTGGGCACCCGCACTTCTGCACCACCCACAGAGCCAGGACAATGGTTTCCCTTGGTGTCCCGTACCCAGGGTCTCAGTGGGCCTCTCACCTCCAGATGGGGCCAGCCGTAGGAGCGAGCTGCCCATTTCTGAGGCAGGGGCTCCGGCCACGAGCCTCTCTTGCCTCCCTCCTCACTCTCCTTTCTCCCCAAAGCCCACAGCAACAAGGCATGAGTTTCAGAGGCCCGGCTGTCTCCAGACAGCTGGGCCGCTGCCTTCCACCGGAGTCTGGAGGGAGGGAACCTTGAAGAAGGAATGCAGGAACTCTTCAGAGAAAGGCAGGGAGGGAACACCAGATAAGCCAGCCTTGCCTCTTCGGCACAAGGGGGAGTGGGGGGGAGTTTGGGCAGGCTTCCAGGGGCCTCCTCTGGGCCCCATAATACTGCCATTGAGTTGGAGCATGCTTGCGATGTCTTCTGCCCCAGGGCTTAGCATCTTCCCTTTTCCCTTGCAGGCATGGGCGGAAACCAGCCCAATCCAATGCATGTGAACTCTGTGGGGCCGGCCCCCGTGCCGAGCCCTATGGGCCTGAACCTCGCTGGACAGCAGCTGCTCTCCCAGGAAGTGGCAGCCCCCCCAATGTCTTCACCCAGCCCCTTGGGGACCGGCCTCCCCATGCACACCAGCGCTCCTGTGCAGAACCCGATGATGCCCCCCGGCCCCCCAGATGCCCTGGGCCAGCCCTGTGGCCCTTCTGGCCAGCTGGTGTTCGCGCCACGTCTGCAGCAGCCCCCCACCAATGGGGGCGGCATTCCAATGGCCCCAGGAGGGGCAGCCGGACCCGGGTTGCAGCAGCCGCCTCCCCCACAGCAACACCACTACCCGCCTGGCTTGGGAGTCCCTCCGGAGGAGCTGCCCCCCCCAGCAGGTGCCTCCTCAGCAGCGCCTGGCCGGGCGGCTGCCGGAGTCCTACCCATCCGTGCTTCCCGGAGTGGCCTCCGTACTGAGCGATCCAGAGCTGAGCGATGTGATCCGGCCCACCCCAACGGGCATTCCAGAGTTCGACCTCTCCCGCATCATCCCTTCGGAGAAGCCCAGCAGCACGCTGCAGTACTTCCCCAAGGGGGAGGGCCAGGGGGTCAAGGCCCTGCCCCCCTCCAACCTGCACCTGGCGAGCTTGCAGAACATGATGGTGGAACAGGGCCCGGCCCGGCCCGGCCCACAAGCAATGCCCCGCGGAATGGCCCTATGCCATCCTGGACAGATGCCCGTTCTGGGCAGGACAGGCCTGCCCCCCCAGCAGAGCCTGGTGGGCAACAGCCTGCCCCAAGGGCTGGTGCTGCCCCAGCAGAGCCTCCTGGCACAGCAGAACTTCCTGCTCATGCAGGCCAAGCAGCGCAGCATTTCTGTCTCCGGAGAGATGTACGGGCAGCCGGCGGGTCACCTGATCTCCCCCCAGGGCTCCCTTATGGGTCCCCCGTCCCAGCAGAACCTCATGGTCTCCATGCGCCAACGCAGTGTCTCCCTGGACGGCCAGATGAGCTACGGCCCCGGAGCCGGTGGCATGGCCAACCTGCCCTTCTAAGGAACGTTCTGCCGTCTCTGCTTTGCTTCTGAAAGGAGGAATTGGGAGGTGTCAATAGGTTTGGGGGAGCGACCGCCGGCCCAGCCTTCTCTGGGTCGGAGTAGACGGAGGAAAAGGTGGAAGCCCTCGACCAGTTACCCTGGCGCCAGATGGAAATCCCACCCAGCAGCTGCCTGCAACAGAGCGGAGTCCGTGCGCAAGATGTCAGCACTTCAAGCTGCATTTACCCCAGTGCTGGGTGTCTTCCTGGGGTTCGCCTCAAAACCTGACACAAGCTGCCCACAGGGCTGGACACTCCAGGCTGGTGCTGGGATAGGGCCTGAGGTGATGTTTGCACCCCTACCCCCACTTAGATCTCCTTACAGGACATTTGCCCCGAAGAAACGCCACGGGAGTGGATTGGCACTTTCCCCCGTGCTCTGGATGGATTGTGGCCAGCACAGGAAACGAGAAGGAGGCTTCCCGGACTGTTGGGCACTGCCCCTTCAGTGGCCTTCTGTGTTTGCTTGTTTTCCCAAGGGGGGGGCAGTCTGGGTGAGTCCACCCTAGCTGTTCACTTTGCTTCCATGCCACCTTGCACTTTCTGCCCGGCCCCTTGCTGGACAATGAAATAACATTGTCGTGAAATAACACCTGGGGGGAGGAGGAGGAGGAGGGGAGGTTTGGGGATCAAAGGTCGAAATAGTCTCCCATCAAAAAAAGATGGCTTTCATTTGGCAGCAGTTGCCCACAATGAACAAAGAGAAGTGAAAAGCAAGCGGTTGCCCTCCAGCAATGCCAGAGACCCAGTGAGGCTCGCAGAGAGATGGGCACGAGAGGGCAGGCCCTGTAGCCTCACTTGGGAAAGGCTCGCCTGCCCCTCGTGGGGGTGTGTGTGTGGGGGGGGTTTCACACCCTGCCCTCTAACTTTGTCTAGTGCGCAGGGCACAGAGCGAGTCAGGGAGGCCCTTCCTCTGCCTGCCCAGGGTTTGTGGAGCACCCTAGGCTCAGGGTGGGGGGCTGGGTCTTGCAGGACCCTCCCGGCAGATGCATCTGGCACTGCCAAGCTGGGACGCCCCTGCACTTTTAGACTCAGCTTCTGCCTGAGACCTGCCCCCCCCCCACCCCCGCCCAGCTTTGGCAGTGAAGCTCAGAAGGGGGAGGGCGGAGGAGGCTTCAGAAAGTGTGCTGAGGCGATCAGACAACAGAATTAGTACCCCCAAGAAGCAAGGAGGAAAGGCTGGATTTCCAGGGTCTCTTGGGCCATCCCAGCGAAGGCCTGGCCAGGAGTTTCGCCACAACAGCGCTCCCCCCCCCCCCCCCCCCCGAGGGTGCCGCCCGCCACCCCCCCCCCCCCCCCCCCCCGCAGAAGGTGCTTCCTGTGCCCCCCCGTCATGCCCCCCCCCGCTTGGGGCTTTCATGGGCCCCCCCCCCCCCCCCAGCTCTGCCTTGTGCTGTGAATGTGGTCCAGTCTCGTGTCTCCCGCCTCCCTTCCTGTTTCCCTCCCAGCTTGAGTCACCTCTGTTGAGCGCCCCCCCTCCCCCTCCCCCCCGCTTCCTCTGCCGTCAGTCAGGATGAGGCCAAGGGAGGAGGTGCCGTCAGGGTGACCCAGAGCCCCTGCAGCTGACGGGGGTGGGGGTGGGGGCACTGGATGCTCCATGCCATCTCCTGCCAGCCATGCATTTTGTACCAGTCTATAAATAAAAATATATAAATAAATATAAATATAAATATATAAATACAATATGTGAAGACATCTTACCGGTTTTTATTTTGAAATGATTTCTAGGCTTGTTTTGGGGTATCTGTGCTGCCTGTAACGTATTGATTGACCTGTTTTATAGGTGCCTTTTTATTAAAAAAAATCAAAACTTCTGCCAGGAGCTTCCTGTGGTATCTGTATCTCTACCCGTGCAGGGGTTGACACTGGCCAACTGGGCGGAAGCCTCACCATCCCCAAGATTGGAGGCAGGCCTCCCATCATGACTGTCGGGGGGGGAGGGGTCTTCCCCCAGGTTGCTTGGGGCACCCCACCCTCTCTCTCCCACTCTTTTGAGTAGTTCTGTACATTGAAATGTTTTATTGGGTGCTGTGTTGGAGGGTTGTTTTATATGTTAATGTTTTCAGTTTTAAAAAGAGAGAGGAGAATATTTGTAACTCAGGGTTGAAGTGAGGCGCCCTTGGTGCTGTCTGAGCTGGGCTCTTTACTTGAAGATGTTTCAGGTGGCGCTGAAAAGCCAGCGGACACACCTGATGCCCCCAGCCCTGTCCCCCTCAGAGCCCTAGGTTGTACCAGCTGCAGGATGAACTGCTTCCTCTGGTGGGGCTTCCGCTTGCCAGAAGGAAGAGACCTCGGGGTTGGGGAGGCTGTGCTGCACCTGTGCTGGGATTCCCTCCGCTGCCTTCTGGCTGGGGGTTACTTGGTAGGAAGGCGTTCCCCTCCCGTCCCGTGACACAAGGCAGAATTGCAGAGGGGACGCAATGCCAGGCTCAGAGCAGCCATTCTTGGTCCTGTTGAGCACACAGCAAGTCCCACATGGAGATGGGGGGAAGGGAGGCCTGGAGGCTGGTCAGATGGAGAGAAGCAGCCGACTCAAGGGGCCTCTACTGGCTGCTGGTCCAACCCTGTAAGATGGAGCAAAGACTGATGTGCTTTGGTTGGTAAAGGCCAGGAAGCAGACCCGATAGCCCCTCCCCCAGCACACGTTTCCCAAAGGGGCAGAGCTGGCGTCTGCCATCTGGGCATGGACTCCAAGGCTGCCTCGGAGTTCACGGCAACCCTGGACCTGACTCGGGTCCGACACACGCTGGAGGCCCCCACTGGCCCTTAGGTTGCTGTCAGGACAATGGTGACTTCATTTGGGTGGGGGGGATGCTACCCTTGCCATAGACCGACCCCCCTCCTTCCCAGCTGTGCTGCTTGCTGAGCCCCCTTTCTTGCGCCAACTGCAGAAGAAGGGAAAGGCTCGCAATGTCTTTATTTCAAGCAAGGGAAAACACAAGGAAGGTTTACAATCTATTTCACGCATTCTCCACAGGAAATATTTACAGCAAAAATACAAAATTACTGGGAATTTTGTTAAACAAGCCTGGGGATTTTAGAGGTCAGTGAAAACTGGCCCTTAATGATGCAACTCTGGGAGGAAGACTCAGGGAGATCACAGTTGCAAAGGAAAGGGGTTTCTAAAGAGAGCAGTTGCAGGCTTGGCTCCCACTGGTGATGAGACAGAGGCCATAGGTGTCTGATGAGACTTAGGAGGCTGGACTTCTTACGAGGAATGGAGGAGATCCTTGCCTGCACACACTGGAGATAGGCAAGCTGCTAATTGGAAAAGCCTGCCCAGAACAGATCCTGCCTGGGGCAGACGAAAGTAAACAGATGCCAACGGCAAGGGCCTGTGCTAGGGCCTGCCCTTGGACACTGCTTTAAACAGGCCAAAGCGGCTGCCATATTCCTCTGGACTTTCCTCCTGATTGCTTAAAAAGGACTTTGCTGAAGATTGGAAAGCCCAAATCAGGCCCTGGAGTTGGATCTCCCCTCTCCATTTCCAGTTGCATTTGCTGGGGAGGGGGATTGCCTGGGATCCAAATATGCAACATGCTCTGTAGGGAGGCAATGAGGATACAGCCCTGCTCTCGAGTAAACCTGATCTGTGTGTGAGTGGCGCACTCCAAACCAGGACAATTGCAGATTGGGTGTAGCAGTCAAGCCATTCGTAGCTTCCTGGGAAACAGCATCTAAGTGATCAGAGAACGTATGTGGGGCTTAGGCCCTGTTTTGGGCCCAAGTTGGGTCCGAGCATTCCTCCTGACACTCTTGGCCATTTGGATCCTTGTGAGAAGTGAACTGATCTGGCAGACAGGAAGACATGGCATTTCCGGAGTAGGAGGAGGCCCCGTGCCGAGCACTAGAGATGTTGGTTTCCATGCTGCTCTCAATTCTGCAGCTGCCCAGAACCTCCTGCAGGGTCCCCTGACTCAGACAGCCCACATCATGCAGAATTCGACAAAAGTCATGGCGGAACCGGATGCCCACAAAGGCGTAGAGGAAGGGATTCAGGCAGCAGTGGCTGTAGGCAAACGTCTCACTCACAAAAATGGCACTGCTCAGCCCCTGGTCAACAGTGCAGGACTTCCCTGTGACCTCCAGCTTGGTGAGTGTGTGCCAGAAAATGACCACATTGTAAGGGGTCCAGCAGAGCAGGAAGACACTCGTGACCGCAATGGCTACCTTCACGGCCTTTTGCCGCTGCAACCGCTGGGACTGGCAGAGGAGTCTCACGATGGCTGTGTAGCAATAGCACATGACCCCCAAGGGCAGGAAGAAGCCCACCAGGTGGTAGAGGAAGCGCTTGGCCAGCCAGGAGTTGAAGCCATGCATGCCATACTCTCTGAAGTGGCAGATACTCAGGTTGCTTTTGACCCAGACCTCTGTGAACAGCAAGTCGGGCATGGTCAGCAGAAAGGAGAGCAGCCAGATGCCCAGGCAGGTCAGGTGGATGGAGAGGCCACGCTGCCTCTGGAAGGTCTGCAGGGCGCACACCACGGCCAGGTAGCGGTCCACACTGATGCAGCTGAGCAGTAGGCTGCTGCTGTAGAAACTCATCTCGTTGGCGGCACTCAGCAGCTTGCAAAAGAAGAGGCCGAAGACCCAGCCTGCCAGGCTCTCCACCACGCCGAAGGGTAAGGTGAGCAGCAGTAGCAGATTGGCCAGGGCAAAGTGGAGAAGGAAGAGCTCTGTGGAAGTACGGGAGCGTCTGTAGCGCCACAGGATGACCACCACCAGAAGGTTGCCCAGGCCTCCCAGCAGGAAGATGAGCAGGTGGACAAAGGGCACCAGGACACTCTGGAAGGGCTGCCTGGGATTGCCTTCCACAGGAGGACACAGATTTTCATCGTAGGAGTAGTTCCCATCGGTGTCAGTGATGTTGTAGTCGAGGGTCTGGGAAGAGAGCAACAGGGAAAGGGGATTTAGGGGCTGGGGCTTCTGTGTGCTGTCCCTTGCAGAGAGGGGCTATTCAGACCAGGGGTGAAATCTAAAATTTGTTTCTACCGGTTCTGTGGGCGTGGCTTGGGGAGGGTAATGTGACTGAGTGGGCGTGGCCAACTTTTTTTTTTTTTAACTTTTAAAAGCATTTTTTTTACAACCTTAAGAGGTTGTAGAAAAAATGCTTTTAAAAGGCTTTGGCGATCCCAGCTGAGCCGTGCAATCATCAGAGGCTTTCTTTTTTTTACTTTTAAAAACATTTTTTGGCTGAAAAAATGCTTTTAAAAGTAAAAAAAAAAAGCTTCTGATGATCGCGCGGCTCAGCTAGGCATGGGGTGGGGGGGGCGCAGGGATTTTTGCTACTGGTTCTCCGAATCACCCTCCGCCATCACTACTGGATCCTGTCCGAACCAGGAGCATTTCACCCGATTCAGACCCCACAATTTCCCCACCCCCATCCCTGCCTCCTCCAATGGTGGGGACAATCATACTATGGGCACTGGACAATCGGGAGGATCAAGAAACAACTGCTGATTGAAATCTGGGCGGCCCCAGGTTGCTTCTAGAGGCATCTTTCACTCTTGTCCCTCAAGATACTTAAAAGCAGCTTCTGCATGTCTGAAGTAGGCAATGAGCAAGTTGCCTCACTCCAGCTTCAGGGGCTGCAATTGTCTTCATGCTGACCTAGCGGAGAAGACAGCCTGGGACCTCGGAGATGAATCACCAGAACGGGCGCTGCCCCCAAGTGCCCTGGGCCCGCAAGGGAGCCTGTGCCACACAACCAACAAGAGGGCAATGGGCATCAACCCCCGCTGACTGCAGGAGCAAACAGATGGAGGCTTTGCTCATTGGAGCGACCCACTGCTGGCTGGCAGGTAAACCAGCAGAGCAGCGAGGTTCTGCCTATCTTAGAGAGAAGAAGTGGATTCAAGGGTTTTTTTTTCCCTGAAGGGGGACCCTCAACTGATAACCTTGTGCTCTAATATTTTGGATTTTCTCCTCTGTTTTGGGGGAGGGGGCTTATTTTTACAAATCAGTTAAACTTTAACTTCTGGTCAATTTCAGAAGCCCAATTTCATTTTTCAACCTTAGCTCTTGCCAGGCCTTTGAAGGGGCTTTTAATAGTGTTCAAAGCTGCTGTTTCAAAAGGCGAAGAGGAAGCAGATGTTGAAATCGATGGAGAGGGAGTGTTCATTGCACTCTTTCCTTAAAGTTGTGCAGTTTCAATTGTTTAATTACCTTTGAATTTAAAAATGGAGTTGCAAGTCCGGAAGGCAATTGCAATCTTAGAACTGAATGCTACCTATGCTTCTGCTCAGAAGTCAGTCTTCTACGGAGCCCTGCTGTCTGCAGTGGGGAGAGGAGCACGAATGGAAAGGCAACTGAGGGAGAAAGTTAAGTGGGGGCTGGGGGGTTGTTGTTATCCTTTTCACTCCTCACATGCTGATAGCCCTGCCCACCCGCAGTCATCTTACCCTTTTCCTCCTTCCATGGTTTTTTTTGGGGGGGGGTGGGGGTGACACACACAGCAATGCAGATACGTTGATTATGCATTAATCCCAAAATGGTTGAGATTCTCTATAAAATCCCAGATTAATCCAAACTCAGCTCAATTTTCAAATTAGTTTCAGTTAACAACTTTATCCAAATTTTGCAAAGAGAAGCAATCTAAGGTGCATTTGACTGGGTGACCATGGGAATTCCTTGGCCAGAAATTGAACTGGCCTTGAAAACCAGGCCAGACAGCTCTTCCCCAATCACCCATTAAGGTGCCCAACCCTGCAGAGCTGCTGCTTTGAGTTGTGCTCAGCCAGTTTGGTTGCAGCAGGGTGGGGGCCTTCATCAGACCTGGGTGAGGGGACAGAGGAAGAGGAAAAACGGGAAGTCGGCTCTTGTCTTTTCTCCCCTAGGGAATTGATAGGTTCTGGTGACTTGGCCCCAGCGGAAATCTCACAGGCCCTGCAGGTGGCTGCTTCCGCTACTACCAAAGCCCATCATTCTGATGCAGAGGGATCCGTGTATTTCCTTTACTTCTCTTGGTTTTAAGGGGTCCTCCAGGCTTCTTCCAACCATGCTCCTCCCATCACAGTCATGGAAGGGTCCAGCTCCTGCCCCTTCTCTCTGTGTGAGTGCTTTTGAAAATCAGCCAGTGAAAAAAGGAGGGGTAAGCAGTCACTTCCTTCTGAACATGTCCCCTTGGGGTTTTTTGTAACAGGCCCCCAGAGACTGATTCCAACTCAGAAGGCAAGAGGCTCAAAAACAGGAAGACCAGGCCGAGGAGTTGCGGAGAAGAATCTGCAGCTCTTTCTTGGCTCCGCTCGGCCTGTGGCTGGCATCTGGCTGCCTCAGCACTTGCACCCAGTCTTCCCCAGGTGCACAGGGATACCCATGCAGGTGCAGCAGCAAGGAGCTTCCAGCCAAGGAAGCCGTCAACCCCCTTTCCCCAGGGACAAAGGATTGGAGGAGGTGAAAGCGCTCTGCAGGGTCTCCTGCCCAAATGATAAAAGCCCAAGTCCTGGCTGGACACCTCACAGTGGAGACATAATCTCCCTCCCAGAAGAATTCAGCCCAGGGGCAACAAATTAGCACTCCTGCACCCTCCAGAGGGATTCCCTATCCTTCAGGCCAGCAGAAGTCCCAAGCGGCTTCTCTGGTCTGAGGCTTCTGCCCATTGGGCCACCTCTGCCCTGCTCACGGAGCAGCCCAGCTCTTTCTCAGAGCTGCTGCCAACACTCACCAAGTTCATGACATTCTCCAGGGTGATCGTAAACTCGGGCATGATTTAGGAAGCAACACACGGGTGCTCAGCCTGTTGTTGGTTCAGCAGAGAAATGATCAGATGAGGAAGGACCAAACAAGAGAAGGAGCCTCCTGATTTGCAAGCCAAATTAAGTTTCAAGATTCTTATTACATAAAACCACTTTTTAAGACATTTCGGTCCCCCGTTTGAGTCAAAGGCGACTCAACCCAACTCAATCAAGTTTGTGACGTGCACCGGAGAGATGGATCTTCAGGTCTTGTTTCCACCATTATTTACCCTGCCCCTCTTGTTTCTATCAGACTGGGCAAAGATCACTTCCAGATCTTTGGGCTTTGTTAATGTTACACCTATGAACTTACACAATGGGAACCACGTTCCTAGGAAATGGGGCAAGGCCTGAATTGGAGTTTTGTTCCTAACCGGGAACCAAGTTTAGCTGGTCTCCTTATTCCCAGCGTGATGCTGCGGCTCTTATGAAAAAGATCCACAGATGACTGTGCTGGAGCCCTTCATTGTCCCCAAAGGGTCCCACTTTCAGAGCTTCTCCCAGGACACCGGCAGGCAGGCAGGCAGGCTGCCCCGGTCCCCTGCCCAAAGCCCCGCGGCCGGACTCCCTCCCTCCCTCCCGGGGCCGGGAGAGTCGGGACCGAAGCGGGGGGTGCGCGCTTTGCGAGGCCAGCCCTGAAAGGCAGGCAGCCCCGGGGACGAAGGGGCGCCTCTCCCGGGAAGGGCGCTGGGAAGGAGCAGAGCCGCCCCCTCCCCCCTCCGCAGCTGAGCCGAGGGAGCCGCGCGGGGCGGGGGCGGGGGCGGGGGCGGGAGGGGCGCCCGGAGAGGCCTCCCAGCACGCCCCCGGGGAGGGGGAGGGGCGACGGGTCTTAGGCGTCGCTGGGCGCCTGCGCGGCCGAGCGGTGGGTGTGGCTCGAGGGGGAGGGGGAGGAGGAGGAAGAGGGCGCGCGCGCCAGGACGGAAGGAAGGAGGAAGGGAAGGGCCGCCATCTTGTTGTCGCGTCGCCGCCGCCGCCATAGTCCGAGCGGAGCCACGGCCGACGGGCTGCGAGACGGGCCGACCCGGAGTGGGAAGCGAGCGCGGCCGCCAGTCAGGCAGGTATGCGGGCGGGCCGTGAGCGGGAGGCGCTCGTGTGGCTGTCCTGGGCCGGGCCGCCGCCGGTGGAGAGCGGCGCTGCGGACCCGGCCTCCGCGGCGGCCGGGCGGGCGGGCCTTTCCGGCGCAGCGAGGGCCGGGACCGAGGGCCTCTCTGCCCGCCCGGCCGAGGGTCCGCGGGCCCGGGGCGCCCCGCTTTTGAGCCGCTCGACTCTGGGGCGAGGCCTCCCGCGCGTCCTCTGGGCGGCCTGGCCCTCCTCCCGACGCTCGGCCTGGGTTGCCGCCGCCGCCGCCGGCCGGGCCTGAGACAAAGGCGGGGAAGCGCGTCCCTTGGAGGGCTGTTTTAACCGGGGGCCTCGAACCCGGGCGGGGAGGCTGGCTGAATCCGGGCCTCGGGCACTCGGCCCCGGTTTGGCAGGCCGGCGAGGGGGGATGGGGCGGCGTCTCTCGGCGGGGGAGCTTTGCCAACCTCCCTCCATTGAATGGCGCAGGAGAAAAGCTGCGGTCGAGGGGCGTCTTGCACGCGGTATGTTCTCTACCCACAGGCTGCCGCCCCCAGAAGGAGCCGGTAATGCCCGGAAGGCCGCTCTTTGGAGGGGAGCGGGGTCCGGGCCTGGGGTCGCCGGCCTGTGGGGTTACTTGCGTCCCCCAAACTTCCTTGGGAGTGGATGCAGCAAGCAACTGCAGGTACTAACGGCTTTGTCTCTCTTATTTTCAGATTGAAGTGAGTAGATTGGACCGGACTCAAGTGTGTTAGAAGACTTTTTAAAAAGTTGTTCCACAGTGCATCAGCGCAAGTGACTGGTTTATCTTGAGTGACTTTACAGGTGCTTGCCTGTGTTGCAATAAGAGACTCATATATTGAGCAGGACCTAATTTATCTCTTCATCTTGGAGAGTCTAATAAACTCTTACACTTTCCGTACTCACAACTGTTTGGAAGTTGAAAGACATTTAAAAGACAAACATGAGTACGGCCAGAACAGAGAACCCTGTTATAATGGGTCTCTCCAGTCAAAATGGACAGCTGAGGGGCCCAGTAAAACCTGGTGGTGGTCCAGGAAGCGGGGGGACACAGGTTCAGCAACAGATAAACCAGCTGAAACATCCCAACACAATCAACAATGGCACTCAGCAGCAAGCACAGAGCATGGCCTCCACTATCAAGTGAGTACTTGTCTAGAGCGTCAGCAGCCATCTTGTGAGATACCCAGAATCTCCTCAGAGTTTTGACTTCTGGATGGAGTGTGAGCTCTTTCCTTCTTATACCCGTTTTACCAACTACAGCAATATTTGATGCTATTCCTGAATTGTATTTGTCCCACATTTGTCATACTTTACTTATTCATCCTTTGCTTCCCATTGTTGCTACATAGTGCTGTCAGTTGCATAGGGTGACTATATTTTTTTTAAAAAAATACAGCTTTCCCGCAACCTGCACGGATGTTAATTTAGCATGAGATGAAGCAAAAGGTAACGGCATCCAGCTTTTAGGAGACCCTAAAGAAAGGCTGCCTGCTGAGCAACCTGGAGGGTTCCTACCTCGGCTGGATTTCTATGGGTGGGAACCTCCACAACTGCAGACACCCCCTCCCCTCTCTTAACTGGAAGCCCAGCACAGATTTTTCAGCTGTGCCCAGGTGACTGGAGAAGCACACTTACTTATTTATTAAATTGATATGCCACCAATTTTACTATTCAAAGAACTTTGGGCAGCATACTGGGAAAAAGGCTCCAGTGATTTGGGATAGGTGTTTTAGAAAACACTAAAGGAAGGAACCAGCACCTTGGATTCAACTCAACAATAAGGCTTTAGGCTATCATTATAACCGGTTTATTTTTATCAGAACTGATATTGAGTATCCTTGGCTAAAAGCAGGTCAGATTGCTTCCTGAATAGGGATTGATTAAAGTGGAGAATCAACATATAATAGATAATCCTATATATTTGGGAGGTTTCCTTACAGTTTATCGAGTACCATTGTTGTATCAATGGAAATGGAAATGGTGAATCATGTAATTGCTTCAGAATACTTCCAAAGAGTTACCCAGCCTAAAACAGGTAATCTTTGGGTCATATTGGTATCAATAACTCTGGCATATGTTTTCTGGAGGAAACGGAACTGATTCTTTTTAACAGGACATTTCTTTGCAACAGTTTGCTTGATACTGTGATCTCTGCTCATTTAAACCAAACACTCCAACCTTCCTGGTTTGATGGAAGAGTACAGTGGAATGATCTGTTGTTTCACAAAGAACAAAATAGGGAGCCTGGGATTTCCCAGGGAAAATAACATTCTTCCAGTTTAGTGTAACTGCTCTGCAGGTAATGGCAGACAGTGTAGAACAGTGCCTTCTGCTGCTGCAGCTGAACCAGATTGCAGTCGTCAGTTCTAGAGAGCTCTGGAAGCATCACCCACCAGGGTCTCCTCATTCATCCTGGCAAGTCAATACTGCTTATATTCAAGACCACATGTCTTCAGCCCTGGCATTTTCTGGAGTGCCCATAGCTTGCTCAGCATTGGGAAAGAAACTTCAATTATGGTCTGTTGCATTTTTCACATTTGAAAATAATTGTGCAATGAGGGGTTGAAGAAAGTTTCTTTCGGGCTTTTAACACACCGTGGTGAAGTGGCTAAGGTCCTGGAGAGCACTGGTACAAATACACTTTGAACAGTGGAAGCTGTTGATTGATGTCCAGCCATATGTTGTCAATCCTGTATATCTTACTAAAACAAAGGCTACTGTTTTCTAATATAGAGAAAAAGATACATAACTGTGACTGAACTTAAAAGTTATTCAGTAGTGTATGACATGTTCAGATCCTCTCCACATTCTCCAGTGGTTAGTTAATGCTGTGTTAACACTTGATTGCACTGACTTAAAATAGCCTTTGTTTCCTATGTCATGAAGAGTTTGTATGTCAGATTCTAGGTGGATTATAAGGGCTGTTGTTTTTGTATTTTTCAACCCTGAGGGTAATTGTATCACATGCGATGTAAGATCTGGCTAAACCAAAATCAGGTCCAAAAGCTAATACAGTTTTCTCACTTCAGACCTGGCGATGACTGGAAGAAGACTTTAAAGCTCCCTCCGAAAGACCTGAGAATCAAAACGTCGGTAAGGACTTTCTAAAATTTTAAACATGGGAAAGGAAGTGGTGGTGATGCTTGACAACAGATGTTCATTTCATTGAAGTGTAAGGTTTCAAACTGATTAACATTGTCTTACAGAATTCACACAGATATCTATCTGATTGCTATCTACTTGCTATCTCTGAAATTACACCATCTCAAAATGTCACTTGCAAGCGATGGCTGCCTGCTGTAGATGATGCAGCTAGACAAATAACCATCTTAAACTAACTGGTGAAACTAAAAGAAAAAGGATACATGTTCCCCTCCTACATCACCACCCCACATCCCAGTGCTGAATAAAATGCAGCAGCAGTGGGCATAGATTGCAATTTATCTTGAATTTAATGCTACCCTACCCCTACCATCATTTACCGCCCCCCACATACGTTTTATCAGGTACACATATCTTTTAGATCTTCACACCAAAGCCTTGCCCAATCCAGTTTCTCTGCTTCCCACTCCCTTTGCTTTCTAGAATTTCTTCAGCCCCTAGGGGGGAGTTAACCCACATCAGAGCACCCACCCTGCTGCTGGCTTAGCCTCAGAATGCCCTTTGCATTGAGATTGACATCAAATGAGTTAATGATTCTGCTTTGCTTCTCCAGGATGTGACGTCAACAAAAGGAAATGAGTTTGAAGATTATTGTCTGAAGCGAGAGTTGCTGATGGGAATTTTTGAAATGGGCTGGGAAAAGCCATCTCCTATTCAGGTTAGTCACCTAAAGTGTAAATTGAGCAAGTTTAGTAAATTAAGATAAGATGCTTATTAATGAATGGAAATTTACCTTTTATAAATAATGGGGAAAATATTAGGCTTTGGATTTCCACGCAACAGGATGCTGTGTCCTGTGCTCTTGGCTTTTGCTGAAGCTCTGCCTGTATTGTTTCCCTTGAACTGGACCCGTTCTGCACGCCTGGAAGGCTGATAAACGTAGTGGAGAAAGGAGGGCTAGGCTATCTCCCTTTCCCTTTTCTCTCACGCCACCGCCCTCCACAGCCCCTTGCCATTCAAAGCCTTCCTTTCCAGGAAAAGAACACTTTTCTCTGTGCATAAGACAATAGGATCCATCCTTTCATGTTTTCCTCTCGGCAAAAGCCATCTCAGTTGAAGGACGCACTCTTGTGCATATGGAAATGGCCTTTTTATATGAGATGGAGAGCATAGGGTCCCTGGAATAAAGGGCTGAGATTTCTTACTCTTCATTGTATCTAGCTTTTTTTAGTTTTAGTGGTTTTTTAGTGGTAGATGGAATTAGAATAAAACAACAAAGAAGGCAGTAGGCTTCTTTATGATAGTTGCTGATTTTTTGAACCAGTAATTAATGTTACTGTTAACCGAGTAGAAATATTCCTGTCTCCAAACCCAACCTTTTCAGTCTAGAGAGGCAGATGGAAAAAACTACATATAGAAGTTTGTCATGCAGGCTACAGATCATCTAGAAGACATCACACGTCCATTTTCTTCCTGCTTTCCGACGTGTGTATGCCTACCTAGTTAAGGCCACAGAGCCCTATTGATTTGGGAGGAAGCTGATGATTTTCTGTCACGGTCAGTTGGTTGCCAGATGACTGCCATGTGTAATTCAGTTTTGTAGGGTGATGATTTGACTATGTATTGACACTTGCTCATCCTCTCTTCCAGCTGGGAATGAGAACATGGTTGCAAGCAATTAATCCTTCTGCCTTTTCATCTAAAGTGTGGCCCTTTTCTCCTTTTGTTTTTACTCTTTATGTTTATATCTTCTAACAGCTATTTCATATTTTTTACTTCTTCATTCAAAATCTTGCCTTCTGTTTTCTCATGCTTCTTTTCAGGAGGAGAGCATTCCTATTGCTTTGTCTGGAAGGGACATCTTAGCCAGAGCTAAGAACGGAACCGGCAAGAGCGGTGCCTACCTCATTCCATTACTTGAAAGGCTTGACTTAAAGAAGGACAACATACAAGGTCAGTGGAAGATGACAAGCCACACTGACTCCAGTTGCAACAGGTCACCACGGACCATGTTAGATTGCTAGTTATGTAACAGCTTCACTTTTGTGAAAGAAAAAAAAAGTACAGAAGTTTTTGGAAGAGTAAAGATGTTTTTGAAATTGGTAAGGCCCTGGGATCACTCTTACGTTTTAACTGGAAGGGCTTGAAGAATTTCACAATGAAACGCTGCTGCTGTTGCTGCTAACAGTAATGTCTTTGCTTTATGTAGGTAGAATAGCGAGACCGCTGTGCCCCCATTCAGCATTCTCTCCCCTCAGTCCATTGAGAGCACCCTTACTTTGCCACATTGTTTGCTCCACTGAATCAGTTTATCCAAAACCAGCATTCAATTAGCCAAGTATCTGAGAAAGCAGGACATGGGATAGGGTGGTGGGACACCATCTTCCCCTTTCTCCTCCTGTTTGTGCTACCTTTGAACAGGGGCATCTAGTGAGCTATATCTTTAAAAGTCTCTAAGCTCAGGAACAAAACGGTATGTTTGAGGGCGATTCAGGAATTCATCTTGCACATCCTCCTTTTTGCCTAATGCTTTTTGTTTTAGTCAGAGAAAGTCTGAGAAAACCAGATAGTTGCAGAGTTTGTTTTTGTGGGGTTTTTGTTGTTCTAGATCAGGCCTGTCAAACTGGCGGCCCATGGGCCCAATGCGTGACAGGCAAGCCATGCCCACCCCAGATCCGCAAAGGCAATAAAAGTCATGATACGTCACATGACACGATCAAGTGACACCCATGTTCTAGATACCTTTACATTCTGATTATTTAAAATAGCAAATTGCTAATTGTTTTGTTAATAGGATCAGAGTTTTCTGGTTAAAAACAGTTGGTAACCCATGTTTTCATTGGTAATTGTTGTAGAATCATTAACATTTCTTGCCTTATCAATATTGAAGAAAATGTTCTGCAAAATTTCTGAAGAGAGAATTCTTGCACAAAGCCAACCTTCCGATTTTGAGGTTGGGAAGAATGCTTTGGTTTTCCTTGGTTTACCCATGAGCACTTTGTCCTGGGGGGCGTGGGGGGGTGAAAATGTGAGTAGTCATGCTCTAGTTCCTTAGCAATGAATAATTTTAAGAGTAGATGCAAGAATTAAATATGGATGATCAATAATTTTAGGTCTTTTTGCAAAGTCATTGAAAGTACAGTAGAACAGAGGTGCAGCAGGCAGGGATAGATCATGCCAGAAGGACTTGAATTTTTCAAGTAAATATTCTGTATTCCCAGGTCCTACTAATTCATTTTTAATACTCCTGATGTCCAAAGCATGAAAAGGTAGTTGCTCCTAAACTCCTGGAGAGACTTGGGGTATCAGCATTGCCATTCCAAAGCACTGGATGGGAGAGCTTCACTGCAATTTTCTCAATTTTAGAGTGCTAGACAAACACTCCACATGCTGCATTATATAGTGAGTTAGGGAGAAATGTGACTTGGAAGGTGCTGCTTCTGCATTACTATGAACCTTTGAAAAGCTGATAAAATGTTAGAATGGTTCATCTTCCATTAACTTTAGACAAACTGGATTCAGATTCAGGCCACTTGCCTATTTGATCTCGATTAAAAGTCTTTGTAAGCTAGAAAGGACGCTTGGGTTTCTGAACATCTTAATGTTTAACCCTCACTGGACATACGTTAGCATTAAATTCTTCTGGGATCATGGAATAAGAGTGCCTCAAATTATCTCTTGCTTGACAGCAATGGTGATTGTTCCCACAAGAGAACTTGCCCTGCAAGTCAGTCAGATCTGCATCCAGGTCAGCAAACACATGGGAGGGGCAAAAGTGATGGCAACCACAGGAGGAACCAATCTGCGGGATGATATAATGAGGCTTGATGATACAGGTAGGACGTCCTATGACAAGAGTGGGGTAACCCCAAACAAATCTCTCTCTCTCTCTCTCTCTCACACACACACACACACACTCTTTTCTGCCCGTTTTTATCAGTGCCTTATAATCTGCTCTTCTTTCTTGCAGTGCATGTAGTGATAGCAACCCCAGGAAGGATTCTGGATCTCATCAAAAAGGGGGTAGCAAAGGTCGACCATATCCAGATGATTGTCCTAGACGAGGTAACGTTTAACTGACGGAACTTCATGAGTTACAAGCTGAGCCCTCAGCCACCAGATTAGCTGTCCTGGGTGCTTTTTGTGGATTCTGGTCAATGGCAGCTTGAAATCGAGGCTCCTTTCCCACCTGTGCAGCTGGAAAAGGAGGCCTCCTGTGGCTGGCTAAGAAACATTGTTTTAACATAAACTGGAACTCTGGCCAGGGCCTGCCAGGTGGGCTGGTTAAACATGGAACGAGTTCCCCAACTGCCCCCTTTTTTATTATGTATTAATTTATTTTGCAGGCAGACAAGTTACTGTCTCAAGACTTCGTGCAAATAATGGAGGACATTATACTCACTCTACCGAAAAACAGGCAGATTTTGTTGTACTCTGCAACTTTCCCTCTAAGTGTGCAGAAGTTTATGGTGAGTTGAATGAGCCCAAATTTGCATAATTGAGCAAAGAGTGAAGCACAGTTATTCTTACCACACTGCAAACCAGAGACAGTCTGCAACTTAAAAGAGTTTGTTTAGTGACCATTCAAAGTTACAACGGCACTGAAAAACGTGATTAATGGCTATTTTTCACACTTATGGTCATTGCAGCATCCCTTTGGTCACATGATCAAAATCCACATGTTTGGCAGCTGATTCATTTGTAGTGGTTGCAGTGTCCCAGTGTCAAGGGATCCCCTTTTGTGAACTTTTGGCAAGCAAAGTCAATGGGAAAGCCAGATTCACTTAACAACCGTGTTACTAGCTTAACAACTGCAGTGATTCACCTAACAGCTGTTGCAAGAAGGGTCGTAAAATGGGGCAGAGCTCACTTAACCATTGTCTCGCTTAGCAACAGAAATTTTGGGCTCCGTTGTGTTCAGAAGACCAGGACTATCTGTACATGCCAGAATGTTTCTCTTTCAGAATTCCCACCTGCAGAAACCCTACGAGATTAACTTGATGGAGGAGCTGACTCTGAAGGGGGTGACCCAGTACTACGCTTATGTAACAGAGCGTCAGAAAGTGCATTGCCTCAACACACTCTTTTCCAGGGTAAGAAGTAAAAGTTTAAGCTAACCTGGGTTTAAACAATGACCAAAGTGATCAAGTGAAATCCTGTAGAATATTGCTTGGAAAAAGAGTTTTATTTAATGACTTGTACAGCTTTTATTTTTGCTTCTTCGGTTCTTTAGGTATTGCCTTGTTTTTGTGTACCTGTCTCCAAGCTTTATAGTCTAGTATTATCTGCTTATTTCCTTTGCAATTTAGAAACAATACAATATAACACTTTATTGTCTTTGGATTTAGCTCCAAATAAACCAGTCCATCATCTTCTGTAACTCCTCCCAACGGGTTGAATTGTTAGCTAAGAAAATCTCCCAGCTGGGCTATTCCTGCTTCTACATTCACGCAAAGATGAGACAGGTCAGTGTGCTGTTTGGAGCAATTAATGAATATCTGTTGGATTTTAGTTGCTGGTTGTAGGAGGGAGAGGAGTAGTGGATCTATTTCCAGATACTTCATATAATCAGCCTGAACAGAGATCCCAGGGCAAGTGTCAGAATAGCAACTGGTCTTGTGAATTGCATGTTCTGCCACAGGGCAGGCAGGGCTTTGAGTAAGTTGGTGAAACTTTTCCAATTCCTTTTCTAGGAGCACCGCAATCGAGTGTTCCATGATTTCCGGAATGGCTTATGCCGCAACCTTGTTTGCACTGGTGAGTATCCTGTCCTTTTCTATGGCTTGCTTATTGTCCAGAAAGGCTCTTTACTAACTAGGCAGTTTCAACGCTGCATTTTTGGAATTTGTTACGGTACTTTTAGCAACTGGATATTGTAAAATTAGGAGAGTCCCAGGTATTGTCATTTCTTAAATAGATGAATGCAATGTGCTTTTACATGGGGTTGCTTTTAAAGATTATCTGGAAGCTGCAATTAGTACAGGTCAACGTTTGTCAGTGAGAACTATTGTATAACACAAGCACTGGAGGCTCTGCATTTGGTAGCCAGAAGAGTAGAAATTTATTTACTTATATCCCGCTTTTATTATTTTTTCTTAAAAAACCTCAAGGCAGCAAATGTGCATAATACTCCTTCCTGCTCCTCTTTTCTCCACAACCACAGGTGAGGTGGTTTGGGCTGAGAGAAAGGAATTTTTCAAGCAGAGGAAAATCAGGGAGTCCGGACAGTTCAAAAGAATATGAAGATTTATTGCATGCTAAGACTGACTATAAGAATCTGAACTACTAACAATCCAAGCAAATTGGAGGTAGTTTAAGTCAATGGAATTCAGGGTGGGCTGGATTTAGGTCTCTTGGTTGTGCGAAGGGACGCCAGACTGATGACGCATTTGACTCCTCCCTTCGGCTCAGCTTGGTCATCTACCAGATGGGCCCAAGTCACTCAGCTGGCTTTTGTGCCTAAAGCAGGACTATCTCAGTCCAAAATGCTGGTTTGGCCAGTAAAGTCCTCCATGGCTCCACACTCAGATCTTCTGCTCCAGCCAGAATCTACCTGTCAGTTTGCACATCGTCACGTTGGGCTAGAAATCAGGGTTTCCAAATCTTAGCTCTGATCCTGAAATAGTCTTCTGGATATGGTATTTTTGGTATAGTCAGAAAAGCAAATTGAGATTTTCAACAATTATGACCATGAATGTAAAAGATCTCTTGTCCTTTTTTTTTTTTTTTTTAATAATTGCAACCATTTTAATGTGATTTTTTATGTTGGCTTAATGCATATTGTTAAAGGGATCATTTTACATTTCTTTTCTCTAAATTGAGGACGTCTAGCTCAAAAAGTAGAGACTAGAAAGTGGGAAATAGGGAGCCTTTTTTTTTTTAAATTTGATTTATATGCCGCCCTTCTCCGAAGACTCAGGGCGGCTTACAATGTGCTCAGCAATAGCCTTCATCCTTTTGTATATTTATACAAAGTCAGCTTATTGCCCCCACAAACTGGGTCCTCATTTTACCCACCTTAGAAAGGATGGAAGGCTGAGTCAACCTTGAGCCTTGGCGAGATTCGAACCCTGCAGTAATTGCAGGCAGCTGGTCTTAATAACCAGCTTAATAACAGGGTGCCTTAAACCCCTGTACTACCAAGGCTCTTTGCCATTGAAAGAAAGAAAGAAACCTGCAGGATCCAGTCTTCAACATTTTTCACTCTAACATTTCTTTGTGCTTGAGGCTACAGAACAATCCAAAAGTTGGATATGAGTTTTGTGTTACTTACATAGCCAGAGATCCTGTCATCCTGAGCCCATCTTTTTTGTATTACTGGATTTTTCTAAGGTGCAAGGTTTATTTTTCAGATCTCTTTACCCGAGGTATTGATATCCAAGCTGTGAATGTTGTGATCAATTTTGATTTTCCAAAGCTGGCAGAGACATATCTCCATCGCATTGGCAGATCAGGTGAGGACATCATTTAATGAAAAATTACAGTCATATAGTACAGGTAGTTGTTGACTTACAACCATAATTCAGCCCAAAATATCTGTGGCTAAGTGAAACATATGTTAAATGAGCTTTGCCCTATTTTATGACCTTTCTTGAAATAGTTGTTAAATGAATCACTGCAGTTATGTTAGTAACACGGTTATTAAGTGACTCTGGCTTCCCCATTGACCTTGCTTGTCAGAAAGGTGACCCTGGGACACAGCAAAGGTCATAAATATGAGTCGATTGCCAAGCATCTGAATGTTGATCATGTGCTATGGGGATACTGCAATGGTCATAAATGTGAAAAATGGTCATTAAGTCACTTGCCATAACTTTGCTAATTGCTGGTGGAACATCAACCGTGCATCATGTGTGAGCAGTTGGGAATCCTCAGGGAGGGGCTCTGGAGAGCAGTCAGTTCAGCCATTCCTCTAGCAAAGGGCTGGTTATCCCCCACAAGGACATCATGCCCGTAAGTGACTTGTTCTTCAGCCTGCTGAGCTTCTGTGCTGCTCTCTGTGTAGGGTGGTAGCAGCTTGGCAAGTTCAGCTCTCTGGTGGGAGAGTCTGTGAACTGCTCTACATGGCAGTTACCAGCTTATCAAGGAGCACAATTGTCGTTTGTACATTGTAAGATACGTCACATGATACGTAAAGCCGCTGTTGGGTTAAACAAAAAAAGCATTACACACATATGGTCTGAAACTGGAAAACATTGCTCCGCCATGTATGCTGGGGAGGAAAGAACTGGTCGCCACCAGTGGGCCACATGCCGTCCTTGTGCAGCAAGTTGCCAGAGGGAAAACCTTTGCTTTTTCTCTTTGAAGGTCGATTTGGCCATCTAGGCCTAGCCATCAACTTGATCACCTATGACGATCGTTTCAACCTGAAGAGTATTGAAGAGCAGCTGGGGACAGAAATTAAACCCATCCCTAGTAACATTGACAAGAGTCTGTATGTGGCAGAATACCACAGCGAGCCTGTAGAAGATGATAAACCGTAATTGCTGCGTAGGTATCTGAGGGACGCCTGGAGGGTGGGTAACCTGAATTGGGTCCTCTCTTCCTCTGGCGCAGCCTGTCCTAGCCTTTGTGGGGCTCTCATGCCCTGGAAGGGAAGGGAAGCGCACATGTAGAGGAAAAAAGGCATCATCGTTAAATCCAGCTTTTGACCAGATTGTGCCCACTTCCCTTGGCATGTGGCTTTGGGACACCAGGCCCTCCCCGAGCCTGCATCTTTGAGGCGTTGACGGGCAGGACACCGAATGGGCTGGGCCACAGCAGTCAGGCAAGTAGCTTGTTGACGCTGTTTCCTTGGTACTAAAGGTCATGTTTTCTTTCCCCTTTTTCTAGGCTTTGCTTAAACACAAAAGCTAAAGCCCTTTGATCTGGACACGTGAAACATCATTTCTTGGGGGAGGCTCCTTCTCTTTGAGGGTTTTTCGTCTTTTTGTTTTGGAACAATTAAAATTACAGAGCTTTCTCCTCCTTTAAAAAAAATTGGCTGTGAAGACAAAAGCAGAAGATAGGAAGAAAATACCTTTTGTTTTTCCCACTTGTTTGCACTGTGTGCTGACTGAACATTAGTTGCACTAACTGCTGGTTTTAATTTCTTTCTTTGTAATGGAGTAGAAGAACTCTGAAATGAGAAGATTCCCAAACTCCACCTTGACTGCAATTTCAAATTCATCCACAGCTGCCCGACTCAGTACATTTCAACTTCTCCCTGGCTCCTCATCTGTCTTTTGAGCTAAAGAGCTTGTTACTTATTTGTGCAAAGTGCCTTATGCTATGAGACCATTCAGAAAATCCCTTTTGGATACAGCCCAAGGAGTCGTTTTGGTTCAGGTCAAAGTCTCTTTCCCCACCTCTGTTTCCTTCCCCTTCCAGGTGCTGGAAGGTGGCCCTTGTCAGTAGTTTTGTTTGGTTAACTTTCTTTTAATGGAGGAATTGAGATGCAGTTGCTGTTCACCCACTCTGTAAATATGTGTATTTAAGCAAAATAACCTGGATCGCCTGGGTTAATTGAGGGAAACCTCCACACTCTGAGAGGAAAGAGCCACTTGCCAACCAATCTGCAGCAGGAGCCCCCCAAAACGCCCCCGGGGCTCTCGCAGAACACTACAGACTGCCCTCCGTGAGTCTCCCTTGGGGGGCACAGCACTTGCTGCCTCCAAGCCATGATGGTTTTTCCTCTCTTACGTGTTCTGCAGAAAATTGGATGTGTATACTTGTATAAACTCTGTAAATATGTGTTTTTCTGTTAAGGGTTCATATAACTTTCTTTTTTCTTTGTTTGGATGAGGCTTGCTGGCATTAAAGGGATTATAGATAGATCTTGACAGCAGCTAAAGGTGAGAGGGGCTCAGTTTTCTGCAACGCTACTCGATGCCAAGCACTGTTGACTCCAGGCCTCTAGGTAGGTCTGGCTTGCTTTAGGGGTTGCAATATCTGGAAGAGATCTGGGTGTCGGGCAAGGTCCTCTTCCCCCCTCCCCCAGCAAGGGGGAAAAACAACCCTCCAGGGAAGCTGGGTTTGTCGTCTTATGGGGTTAGAGGAGACCCAATCACCTCCTTTGTCTCAAAGCAAGGCAGAACCAAAAGCGACTCCAATGAGGCAAAGTCCTGGTCAGCCCTGGCAGCTTCCGGCATTAGAACTTCCTGCCAGCTTGTGGCAATTCTGTTTGAAGCCTGTCCGATGAGAGATTCTAGAGCAGGAAAGGCGAGCCCTCTGCTCTTTCCCCCCCCCCCTCGGGGGGTTGTGCTTCCATTCCAGTAGTGTTGCTTTAAAGTGTGCCCCTCCCAATGTGCTTGATGTTTGGCCTGATGTGCAGGCAGAAAGAGTGAGACTACTCGACCTGTAAATGTCTAACGAATTCCCTGTCGGCCTGCCAGCAGCAGAGTGCCAGGAGGCACCAGGGCAAGCATGGGCTCTCTTGGCTCGGAGACAAGATAGTCGGAGCCCACCCCCTCCCTCCTTCTTGCTTTGACAAGCTAAGCAGTTCTGAGAGAGTACCAACTTTTTCCAGCCCTGACCTCAGAGAACTGTGCCTCCTGACAACCTTTGGAAGTGGAACATGTTTTGTCTAAGTAACCGTAGCAAAAGTTGTATTAACAGAAAGCTCTTCTGCTGGGAATTCAACTGAGGCTGCATCAGACGAGCAAGTCCTTGGGGTGGGACAGCTTGGGGGAGGGGGCACTTGTGACCCAAAGCAAAGCTTTGCTCTTCTGCAGCAGCCGTTCCCAAAGGAGGGGAGAGCAGAGGCAAAACGTGTGCAGCAATCTTGAAACTTGCGAGAACACGTAAAACACCTGATTTGGTGCGGTGAGTTGAGGTGGCCACTCTGTCCAGCACGGCCACGCTCCTCTTGTCACTCTTGAAGCACAGCCTTTTTTAAAGCGAAAGTATTACTTCACCTGCGGCCGCCTAGCAGAGCAGCGGCCTCAACCTCTGACCACCATTGTTGGGTAGCTTTGTTGGGTCAGAAAGCCACCTGACAATGGCTCCTTGTCTCTCAGTGGTGAAGAGGGGCTTGGAAAGGAAAGATGCTCCAGATATTGACCAGGGGCACCCTGGTTTTTTTTTTTTTTTTTTTTATTAACCCCTTCATCTGAAAACAGGCTGAGAATTGGATGTCTTATGCACAGAGCAGTTGCCAACAGTTTCTCAACTGGTTCAGCTGCTTCTGGAGAAATTTTGAGAGAACAAACTCTGGGGCCCTTTTGTTGCCTTCGCCCCCTCAGGTGACTCAATGGTGGGGCAAAACAAGGCTTTGGCGAAAACATTGGTGGGGTCTTCCCAGGACCCCCTGCACTTAGTAGAGATGACCTGGGGTGGGGTGGGGGGTGGGTGGGAGGGTTGAGTTTTGCCTTTTTTAATGATTACAGAATGAGATGGGAGCATCTTTTCCTATAGCCTCTGCTTTGGTGTCTGTTGTTAGAGCTGGATGAGATCACAGAAACTGGACACCAAAGCAGATGACTTTGATTTGGGCATCTCATTCTACTCTTCTTTATTTTAAGGGTGGGCTTGCTTGCACAGGACTGGCTGTATCTTGCCAATGGGAGAGAGGCACTGTTGTGTCCAGGATCCTTTGTGGGTGTGAGTTGTTTCCACCAGTAGTCTGACCTATGCTGTTGGTGCAAAGCATACCTCTGGAGGCTACTTCTGGGGCACAATCATTTTTTGTCCCCTGGCAGGAGATGGAAAGTTCAATCCAAGTGGTGGTGATCCACATGACCTTTGCAAGGGAATCTCATGGTATTCTGTAGGGAGGGAAGGTTGGAGCAGCCAGAGGGGAAATCTCTCTGCTGCAACTCTACTCCTTAGGCAACATTCTGGAGTCCTGTGCAAGGGGGAGGGGGAGAGGGAGGGGGAAGGGAGGATAACACAAAGATACAGCCTTGCTGTACTTTAACCAAGATGTGGGGGTGGCAATGTCTGGAAGAAAAGAAGTCAATTTTCCCTTTCTTGAAACTGGAAAATTTGGGGAACATATTTTTCCATTCAGTTCAAGCAATGTTGTATTTCATTGATCCTTGGTTCAGTTCAGGCCATGTCCAGTACAAACAGTGAGGGCTAGAATTTGTCAACAAGGGGTGGGTTGGGAGGGATGGATTATTTTTTGTTTGGAACTGGCAAATGTCCAGCAGAGCTCAGATTTTGGCACAGCATATGTACACAAGTATATAAAGGAAGGCTGTGAACGTATTGTCAAAAGTGCTGAATTATAAAATCCTGACTTATTTTTAAGAGAATTGGCTCAATAAAAGCTCACTGGGACCTGAACTTGCTTCAGACTCTTTCCTTGTACGTCATGTTGCTCTGTTTGCCTGGCATCACAGGCACCGAGAGCATGTTGAGAAGAACAAGCAGAGCATAGCAAGATCGACTTGCGCCACCGAGCTCTGGAGCTGTTCTTGGGGGGCAAAAAGAGAAGGGGCATTGCTCTGCAAAGGGCTGGGAGCATTTCAATTCCTTCTTTCCAGGCGGCTGAGGATCAGGTCAAGCAGCAGCGGGGCAGCCCTTGGCTGGGCCTGGGAATTTCCCAGGCCCCGCCCCCTCTGCATGCCAGCCCTGCCCAAAACTCAGATGAAAAACTGGGTGTGAAGCTGCAGGTTGGCTTTGTGGGCATTTGCCTGGAATGGTGGTGCTCCTTGGCACCTGAGCTCTCAGCTGAAATGCCAGCTCCGGTGTGGTGGGTGTTCCTGTTGATGTGTGCAGCTCTGGAGGGGTGGCAAGCAATGGCAGGCAGCCTTCCACCTCCATGTGACAGGTGAGTGAGCAAGCTGGTGCCAATCTTACCAAGCCACAAAGTGTGCCCAGGGAGTTTCTCTCTGCCGCCAATTGTCCTGGATGATAATGAAGCGGGACAGGCTAGTTAAGGGAGGAGAAAAAAAGATGGTTGCCTTAGAAGATGCCTGGAAGTGTTGCGGGGAGACAAAGTTTATCCCTGGTTGGGAATGAAGCAGAAGCTGCTGCTTCAGCATTGGGTTGAGGCTCCCGATCTTAGCTCTGCTGGCATATTTTCTGCTCAGAATTGGGCGGAGCTGCTTTTGCCGATTATAGTTGTAATGAACAGCCCAGATGGGCACATTGTACCGTAGCTGGTTCTTCCACGAGGCGAGGAGGAGGAGTTGGCAAGGGCAGGGCTGCTTAGACAAGGGAGTGCCCTGTGAGCGTGGCAGCACACTCCCAGGCCAGGGTGCCCGTAGAGCAGCTCTTCCATGCCCTGTAGAAGAGGCACCTTGGCAGCCTTGCTCTGCAGTGTTCTTGGGCTGCCCAGAAGACACTTGGCGTTTGGGGCCTTGTCCCTGGGGAGCCATGACTGGGCATCAAGGAGCAGCTGCCCCCTTCCCTGCGAAGTCTTGGCTGCTGGTGGCATTTACATTGGCGTTGATTCCCCAAGGACATGGCTCCTCTGCAGACCAGCTCTGCTCTTCCTTTCCAGCCACATCTACTGCACTGGGGAGCTGCTGCGGCAAGTCCAGCGGGCCAGGCTCTTTCGAGATGACAAAGACTTTGTTGACATGCCCCTGAGGTCCAATCCAGGTGAATGTCCTCTTCCCACTGCCTTCATCGCTTGGAGAGCTGGCCCTGAGTGGAGAAAATGGCTGTATGTTGCAATGCAGAGGAAAGGCTGCCTGCCCTGCCGATGCTGTGCTCAGCGTGCGCTTGCTGGCAGGTTGCTTAGGCTGCGGAGCACAGGCTTCCCCCAGACTGAAGGGTGCTAATGCAAGCCTAGCCCTTCCTCACCCTCCACTCCAGAGTGAACCTCGACCAGATCTCCTGCATCTTTGCTCCATTCTTCCAGATGTGGTTCTGAAGCAATTTGAGGAATTAATGAACGCCACACCTGGTGGAGCCTTATCCAAGCTGCAGCTGGCACAATTTGTGGAGGCTCACTTCTTTCCTCCAGGGCAGGAGCTGGAAAGCTGGACGCCTCCAGACTGGACAGACAGGTACAGTTGCATCTGGAAGGGGTGTGGTGACAAATTCCCCACCTCTCAGAGGTGGCACAATGCTGCCCCTTGCAGGGTATGAGTTCTCAGCTAGAGCCTGTTTCTAGAAAACACCCTTCAAGATGGCATTGACTCCCGGCCCCGTTCTGCTTCCGCGTGTTGGTCTTTGAGATCCTACAAGCCACCTATTGCCTGAGGTCACTTGCCACTTCCTGGCCTTGAAGACAGCCCCTCCCAACTTCGTTCAGAGGACTCTTGACCCCGGCAGCCAGCCAATAGTCAGCTCTCTGTCTCTGAATGGCCAATCTCCTGTCTCTGGGGTAGCCACAAGATGCCCCCTCTCAGGCTAGCTCCCCACCCCCCCGGCCTGCCCCCAAATTGCCTGGAAATCTCCTGCTCTCTTAGGTCTTCCCACCCAGGGTGCCTCGCTCTTTCTCTCTTGCTCAGGGTGGGAATGGACGCCGTGGGGATGTTACACAGGTTGCAAAGTGTGTGACATTTTTCTCCCTGAATCCTTGGGGAGGGGGGGGGACTTGGGGAGGGATCATGGTTAGTTTATTGCAACGTGCTCTACATGGGGCTACCCTTGAAAAGTGTTCGGAGACTACAGTTGGTCCAGAACGCAGCTGCATGAGCTGTTGTGGGTGCACCTAGATACACCCACATTACACCAATTCTCCGCGAGCTGCACTGGCTCCCTATTGGTCTCCGATCACAATTCAAGGTGTACAGCCCTACATGGCTCAGGGCCAGGTTATCTTCGAGACCGCCTTCTGTCGCATAGCTCCCAGTGACCGGTAAGATCCCACAGAGTTGGTCTCCTCCGGGTCCCGTCAGCTAAACAATGCCGGCTGGCGGGCCGCGGGGGAGGGCCTTCTCGGTGGCAGCCCCAGCTCTCTGGAACCAGTTACCTCCTGAGGTCCGGACCACCCCCACCCTATTGGCCTTCCGAAAAGCGGTGAAGACCTGGCTTTTCCGGCAGGCCTGGGGCCGTTGATCTCGCTCTTGTGATCTGGCGAGATCCAGTCATGAATGGCGTGAATGAGTTTTTAATGGTTTTATTTTTTTTATTTTTAAATGTTTTTTTCATAATTATTTTTTAAAATGTATTGTGAGCCGCCCTGAGTCTTCGGAGAGGGGCGGCATATAAATTGAATTAATTAAATTAAAATTAAATCTTGAATGGCTGCCTTCTGACCGTCCTGGGCTCCTTGTAGCATCCCCCTCCTCAAGAGGATTTCAGACGAGAAGTTGCGGTTCTGGGCCCGGGTCCTGAACGCCAAGTGGAAGGAGCTGGGCAGGCGGGTAAGTGCCAAGGCTCAGCAGGTTGTGGGGAGCTGAGGGAGGCTGCTGTGCCCTCAGCAGAACCTGCTCCATTTCCCTCCAGGTGAACCCCGATGTTCAAACCTCTCCTTGGCGTTACTCTCTGATCTACGTGCCAAACCCAGTGATCGTGCCTGGGGGCCGGTTCCGTGAATATTACTACTGGTGAGACACACAGAGGGCTGGCGGTAGACCCATGCCCCAATCCACAGGCCTGGCCCGAAGAGGCCCCTTTCCCTCGACTCCCTTCTCACATCCACACATGGTTGCCACCTTCTTTCCTCAGGGATTCCTTCTGGATCCTGGGAGGCCTCCTCGTCTCCAACATGACGGCTACAGCCAAGGGCCTGATCCAGAACTTCCTCTACCTAGTCAGCAAGTGAGGGTTGCCGGGAGAGGCAGGGTTGGGAAGAGGTGTTGCTTCTCCTTCTGCCTCAACTCCCAAGAAGCAGAGGGGAAACCCGCTGGGTGGGCATGGGCAGCTCATCTGCTAGCCTTGGGGAGGCCTGGTGGGGTCTGGCCCTGGCACCAAGCCTCTTCTGAGCCATGTGCTTCCTAAGAGCAGGTTTGGGCACGTCCCAAATGGAGGCCGGGTGTACTATGAGCGTCGGAGTCAGCCACCACTTCTCACCTTAATGATGGAGAGCTACCTGAGCCACACAAATGACACTGAGTTTCTACGGCAAGTATCTTTGAATCAACTGGTGACCGGGACTTTTGGCTTGCTCAGGGCCGCCAGTTCAGCTTGCAGAACTGGCCAAAGGCATTGCGCTCTCCCCCTTCCATCACTGGGCCTAAAGAGGAATGTTTGACCCCCCTTCTCAAGACCTTCTCATCACTGCCTTTTTCAGGAAAAACATCCACCTGCTTGAGGCCGAGTATCACTTCTGGCAAGACCACCGGACTGTCAATATCTCTGTGGGGGGCAAGCAATACTCCCTGAATCACTACAACGTCCAGGTGGGGGAACCCAGGTGAGTGGCACTGCAGATATGGTCCTCCTCCCACTAATTGGACATTCTTGATATCCAAGAACATCTGGATCCCCTTCAACCTTTCTCCCTTTTCCCCACCAGACCAGAGTCCTATATGAAAGATGTGGAGCTGGCCATGGGCTTAGAGGAAGGTAACTGCCCGATTAGGTCTGCAGTGAGGGGAATGGCTCCGAGATGGCATTGTGGAAAGGATATGGAAGTCACAGAGCCTTGCCAACTAGGGATAAGCAACACAGCACATGGCAAAAACAGCACGTACAATTATTGGCTGAATCAGCAAAATAGAGCTTCCACTCACAGCATGTGCAATAATAATTCCATTGCATTCCGCTTTGGTTGAACTCCCTTTGAACAATTCGACAAATTCTGGGTACCACAATTTAAGAAGGGTTTAGGAAATCAGGTAAGACATTAGAGGCAAAGCGTAGGGAGCAATTTTTTAACTAGCTGAAAAGATGTCTCGCACAGAAGAGAACTGAGGCTGTTCTCTCTGATCTCTGAAGGCCAAAGATAATCACAGGAAGGGAATTCCCAATCAAATGTTAAGGAAACCTCTTCATAGTAAGAGTAGTTTGCCATGGATGGGGATGCTGTGCTTCATGGCCTCCCTCCCTCCCTCCCTCCCTCCCATCCGGGGTGCTTTCACATGAATTCCTAGACTGGCCGGGAGTTGCCCCTGAGGACCTCAGGGCGTCTTCCATCTCTAGGATCCGAGGAATGGCAACAAAGCTGCGCCCTGCCTGCAGCTCTTGTGGGCAATGGCGGAGGTTGCCGCTTCCTGCTTCAACGACTGTTTCCCCTCAGAAGCCCAGCAGAGCCTTTGGGCAGAGCTGCAGAGTGCAGCCGAGTCGGGCTGGGATTTCTCCTCTCGCTGGTTCCTGCCAGGCTTCCCATCACTGCAGGACCCGCTACAAGACACCCAAGTGAGAGGGATTGTGCCAGTGGATTTAAACGCCATTCTTTGCAAAGTTGAGCAGCTGTTGGCCACTTTCTATCAAGTCCTTGGTGAGAAATGGGGCAAAGGGCGGCAGCCAGCTGCCCCAAATTCTCTCATGGGGGTGGGGTTGCCTCTTGCTCGATGGCTGAGTGGCCATTGGGGGAAGGCTGGCTTGGCTCTGGGGCCCTGGTGAGTCACCTGTCTGGGACATGGAGGGCAGGCGTGCTCTGAAGGAGGGTGCTGCTTACCCTCTCCAGGGCATGGCGAGAAAGCAAGCAGGTTCTGGGCTGCGCGGAGACAGCGGGGAGCTGCCCTCACTGCTGTCCTGTGGAACGAGGAGGCCGGTGTTTGGCTGGACTATCGCTTCCTCCATCAGAGGCACAACCCGGCCTTCTACCTCTCCAACATAAGCCCCCTCTGGGCCGAGTGTGACGTGGATCTGCCCAGGGCAGAGAAGGTGCTTTCCTACCTGGAGGTAAGAGGCAGCCGGTGGCTGGCCAGAGATGGATGGGGATCAGTGAGGCAGGAATCCCACAGTTCACCTGCACAGATCCTGGCTCATTTCTGGGGGAGCACCCCTAGTCAGGCAGTGGAGAAAAGCCCATTGCCTGCCTGCTCTTCCCTCACTGCAAAAGCCTCAAAGTTGGACTCTTCTTGAGGGGGAAGATGGCACACCAATGGGCAGAATGTTTGGCCACCCAAGACTGAACACTAGTTGCACTTCATGCCACCTCCTGGGATCAGGGCCAGACAGGATAGGTCATCTCAGAGCAGCTTCACCCCCTACTTGCCATCACTGACTGGAAATGCCCTCCTCTATGTGTGTGCCTGCAGGAGAGTTCGGCCCTGTCCTATGCTAACGGACTGCCCACCTCCCTGACACGGACGGGGCAGCAGTGGGACTTTCCAAATGCTTGGGCCCCACTCCAGCACATGGTGATCATAGGTGAGGAGTCCTTCCGAAGAGCCCGGGCTGTTTCACTGTGTCCAGGGCTGGCCCTGCCTCCTGCCTTTCCAGCTTTTGCGGGGGTCATTCACCTGCCCTGTTCACCTGGGCCAATCTCCCTGCCAGAGCCCAGCCAAAACCTGTGGGGCAGCTTCTCCCTGCCCAAAGCATCCACTGATACCATTTGCCTGCCCTGCCAGGCCTGGCCAAATCCTCTTCTCCCCGGGCACGAGAGCTGGCCTTCAGCCTGGCTCAGCGCTGGCTGCAGATGAACCTGGCTGTCTACAAGAAGCATGGAGGCATGTTTGAGAAGGTGAGGTCCTGTGCAGATTCTGCCTCTTCCCTCCGTAGCTGGCCTCCCCATCATTCCTCCACCCCTTCCCAGCATGGAGCCTCCAGTGGAGATCCTCTCCCATTGGCCTCCATGCGCTGGCCCTCAGGGCAACTTAGCCTGGAGCAGCCATTGTGGCTAAGACCTTTTCCTTTCTAGTATGACGTCGAAGGTGATGGGAAGCCCGGAGGTGGTGGGGAGTATCCAGTGCAGGTAAGAGGTCTTGGTGACACCCCAAAGAAGGGAGTTGGGGAGCGTCTCCTGATCAAAGAGGCCCCACTTATCTGATCCCTCTGCTGTTCTCTCTGCAGGAAGGCTTTGGCTGGACGAACGGGGTGGCCCTCCAACTGCTAGATCTGTATGGAGAGCAGCTCACGGCTGCCAGCGCTCTCTGCTCTCCCACCTGGCTCTGCATTGGGGCCTGCCTTATCCTGATCCTGGTCTCACAGCTTCCTGGGTTGCTTGGGGACGGACCTTTCCCCTGGGAAGGGTAGCCGTTGCTTCGGCTTGGCTCTCGAGACCCTCGGATGGGTGTGGCTCAGAACGACTGCGGTGTGCATGCCCTGCACACATCAGGGCCCCATTGCATGCCATAAAGCCTCTAGGAGAACCCCTCCCTCCTCAGCTGTCCTGGGCAGTCTGGCTGGGCAATAAAGTTCTGAGAGTGCGTTGCCAGCATGTGTCCTCACTGGCTGGTGTGGTGCTATTCTAGGGCAGAGTGAGAACAAACAGAAAAACGAGACCAGCCTTGGTCACAGCAGGAAAGAGGAAGCCATGAAGTCAAAGGGATAAGCCCCAGCTCAGACCATGGCTGGGAAACCGATGGTCAGCCAAGGCTGCAATACTGAGGCAGATGAACAGAGAGATAAAAGGAAGGCGCATCTCATGGGCTGATCCTGAAGTCTACAGGGACAGCTTTAAAAGGGGGCTGTGATTCAGAGTCTGCCTGAGTTGGGGGCTTCTGGGCTACTTGCTGGGGAATCACAGGAAGAGGCAGCATCCCCCCCATCATTGACACCCACTTCACCATGGAGTCAGATCGCCCTTTTCCAGCCAAATCCTGCCAGAGGGGCCCCCTCTGATCATTGTGCAGCTCGGCCTTGCAAAGGGTCCTCCACCCTGGAGAAAAAGACACACCTGGCCTGGAGGGGGCCGAGTGTGTTGTTGCTCTCTTTCTTCAGTTTGGTCTTTGACTGTAAATGTGCTCTGATGGGCTGACTGACTGAGACCATTCTTTAAATGAGACAAGGACCATATGGATGAAAGTATGCAAAAGCCTTTATTCTGCTTTCCTGCCTCTTGGCTGCAAAGACTCTAGCCAACAATTTCAGCAACCCACAGCTGCAAGGGGGGACTCTTCCCAGTGGCTTCTCCATTTTGAAAAAAGAGGCGGCCAGCCCTGGAGATGAGAGATCCAAGATGACCTCTGGGCCTTGTCTGCACGGGCCTTGGGCCAGCGGGGAGCCAGCCCTGCACTGCAGAGCCTGATGGTGCTGGTCCCTGCCTCCCGCTCCTCTGAAGCTGGGGGAGTGGGGGGGTGTCGTCCTGGAGTTCGTGGGCAAGGGAGGCTGCTGACAAGTGCCCTGCTTTTGCCACTCGCGTGTCCATCCCAGGGACCCATGGCAGAGGGGTCCATGCCTGCGGTCAGAGGCTGTCCGTGGGAAGCTCTTGAGAGACGGCCATCGGGGGCTGTTCATGGCTCCGCTGCCTCAGCTCAGGAACTGGGTGTAGCCTTCAGCCCCCGTGACAATGACATCCATCCAAATGCGCAGAGCTTCTGCTGAGGGGGCCACCATGTAGTAGAGCCGGTCGTGGGTCTTGATGCAGAAGGTTAGGGCAGGGTTGGGGCTCTGCCGAGAGAAGAGAGATGCTGCCTGGGTGCCTTCTGCCGCCGTAGACCCCCACCGAGCAGCAGGCAGAGTTAATGCCAAGCCTAAGGAGGGCACAAGAACCCACTTCTGCTCGAGGGCAGAGAAAAGGCAAAAGTGGCGCTGCAGCCCTAAAAGGAAGGGGCCACACAATTTGTCACTGAAGAGAGAATGGCAAAAGGCTCCCACTCCTCTGAAGCTGGGGGTGGAGTGGGTGTCCTCCTGGAGTTCGTGGGCAAGGGAGGCTGCTGACAAGCGCCCTGCTTTTGCTACAAGACGCTCCAGGAACAGGGACTGGAAAGGGGGGGGCAGCAAGCAAGGAGTCCCATGGCAGCTGCGCAACGCAAGAGCTTTTGGTAAGCTTTGCTCAGGCAGCCAAAATGTGCCCAAAAGAACCCACGCAGCTGTCAGCATTAGCATTCAGGCGATTCCCTGAGGCCGAAGGGGGCTACACGCTATCTGAGCCACGAGGAGGTTGACTGATGAGATGGTGCCATATTCTGCCCCCGGTGCTGCCCCCCTCCCCCGGCCCCTAAGGAGTTTCAGCCCAAATATTCCCCTCCTGGATGGCTCTCTTAGCTCGGGGATTCAGGATCATGCAGGGTTGCTGGGCTAGCCAGAGGAAACGGATGGGTCCCTACCATGGACAGGCTGGCAGGGAAGAATCTCTTCTGCAGGAGAGGTAAAGGCAGGTGAGGTGCAGCCCAGGGGAGGGGGATGTTAGGGCTGCGCTCAGAGTGCCCCCACTTGCCACCTCCCTGCCCAGGTTGTGTCTCACCTTGGCTGCGCATTGGAGGTGATCATAGTAAACCTCCTGGATGGCTTGGAAATAGATGAGACCTTTCAGCTTCGCCTCGTGCTTGTCTGCAGAGGGGAGAGGAAGAGGGAGACTGCTGAAGCCCGTCTGAGGGCCGAGAGGAGCAACGAGGCAAGAGGGCTGGCCGTGGCAGGAATGGGGAGCCTCACCCACGTAGTAGGAGAGGGTATGCCGCAGACGGTCAAAGACAAACCAGCGCTTCTTCCAGGACCGGATTTTGCCTCCCATCTTGACCAGGTAGCCTTTGCACAGCTTCTCGGACAGGATGATGTGGCTGCAGGTGTCCACGCTGTGGCCAGAGGATTCGATGTGCAAGCGCAGGTCAAACTCCTCTTTGCGGATGGGCAAGTAACGGGTCAGGGGGCGGGCCTGCAGAACGGGTGCAGTAGAGCTGGCAGCAGGGGCCAAAAGTCCTTTTGCCACCCCCCCCACCCAAGCTCCTGCAGCCAGGAAGAAAGTCCGCCTATCCCAAGCTCAATGCTGGACTCCCAGACCCCAGAAAGAAACCTCCCGGAGCCTCCGCCTCCTCCTTGGCCAGGTGTGCCAGGACAGCGACGTAGGCCTTCTCCCTCTCCATGGGGAACGCAACAGCCCTGCCCTCTGGGGGGGGGCATGGAGGGGCTCCTGCACACCTGAGCCAGCTGCTTCTCCCGCATCTTGACCTCTCTCTCAATCAGCTGTTGCCGCTGTACCGTCTCATCCTGCAGCTGCCGCTCCAGCTGCTCCCGCCTCCGCCGCTCGTCCTCCAAAGCCTGGTGACGCAGCTCCATCTCTTGCTCCTGTCGGGACAAAAGGGTGGGCCACTGCGTCCACAGTACCACCCACCCTCTGCCCCCCAGGTCCACAGCTGGATCCCCGGCCATGGACAGAAGCTGCCCACCACCCCTGCCCACCGTCCGTGCAGCCCCGCCACTTGGAGAAGGGGATGGGGTCAGAATTCACTAGGGAGAAGGGGACCATCCGCCTTTCGAGTCCCCTCCACAACTGGCTTGCAAGGGGAGTGGCTCTCCTAGAAGGCTAACTCGGAGCGATCCCCATCCCAAGACTTCTGCTCCCGCCCTCACTCGCGACTCCATCAGGCGGGACCTCTCAGCCTGGGCCTCTTTCAGCAGCTTCTCCATCTCTTCGATCTTCCTGGCATCTGCCCCACTGGCACTGCAAGGCCAACCGGTTGTCACTGCCTGCCCACCCAGCCTGCCTACCCCCCCAGCCCTCCTCTCTCGGGTCTGGTCTGCACTTAGCAGCAGGTCAGCCACGCAGCCCACCCAGAGGCCAGGCGAGAGAACCTGGAAGGTGGGCAGACCTTGTAGGAGTCTGGTGACCGGGGGGTGGGGGGGGCTGACCTGGAGGCATTGTCCGGGGAGCAGGCTGAGTTCCCACTCAGAGATAGGTTGGTCTCCAAGCTGTCCGAGCTCTCCAGGCTGAGGGTGTCGTAGGCTGGCTCAGGGTCATCGGCCAGTTGACCTTGGCCCGGGAAGGGGTGATGGTGGAGGACAGAGTGGGGCACAAGGGGAGAGAAGAGGGCCCTCCCTCGCAGGGCCTGACACTCCACTGCCGCCTTCTGCTTCAGGTCAGCCAGGTGCTGCCACTGCTCCTGAACTGCCCGATGCCCTGCAAAGAGGCCCAGGGAAAGGGAGGCTCAGTGCCAGCAGGACTTCACCTGGCGTCCACCCACCATGAGGGACCAGGGCCCTGCAGATGGGCACGGACAGAGGCATCACCCACCCTTGTGGTGCAGGGACGCCTCACGCTTCCTCCCGAGGTCAAGAAGGGTGCTGGTCAGCTTGCGGGGGGGGCTGCCTCTTCTGCCCGCTGGGGGTGGAGAGCCCTGTGGGAGAAAAGCCATGAGACTCTGGTGGCTCGTGCTCAGGGGGTGCAAGGTGGGGGACAGAAACCGCTCGCCCACTGACCCCAGATGGTTCCTTGCGGGAGGAACTGGGGCCAACTGGGCTGCTACACCTCCTGTCCGTCTTGGCCCAAGAGACGCAGGCCAGAGCTGAGCTTTGGGAAAGGTACTGGCTAGACTGCCCAAGGACACAGTTCGAGGAGCAACTGCCCAGCACCTGCGGGCGTCCAGACCAGGAATGCCAAGCGCACCCCATTTACAAGAGGAAAAAGGAGGGCTGTGGGATCTACAGAGAAGAGGGAGAAAGAAAGCCCGGGGGAGCATTGGAAGAGCCCCCCCCCCCACCTCTAAGGTCACCACAGGGCCTGCAATCGGCCCAAGCAGGATTTGTGGAAAGCTGAACTGAAATGGGCCAAGGAGTCCAATCTTCTCTGCAGCTCAAAGCCTGCCTCTCTCTTCCTGCCATGTGCCTGATGGGGGAGCTCCAAAAGTGGGGAATATGTAATATGGGGGATGCTGCAATGTCCTGTGCCAATGTCCAACCTCCAGCACCCCTCTGCTGGACCAAGGCGGTCCTTCCAGGCCAGGCCCCAAGCCCTGCTGAGAATCAGACAGGCAGAGCCATGGCTCCTTGGGCACATTCTCCCCAGACCTCCCCCAGACCCCTCGAACCTCTCGGAGGCCACTCGAGCCCTTGGGAAAGACAGCGCTGCCAGTGAGTGCACAGAACCGTTGCTCCAGCACCAGGAGGGCTTCCTTCTCCTGTTGGGGAAAGCAGAACAGGGAGGGGGAGGGTCAGAGGAACCCCTCCAGACCTCTTTTGCATTGCCAGGGGAAGGAGCAGAGCCTCCCCCACAGTTGGGCACCTGTCCTCTTCCCCATGGCGGTGAGAGCCAGGCCCCCTCTGTGACCACTGCCCCTTGCCATGTCGCTCACCTGCTGGAGCCGCTGCAGGGTGGCCCTCCTCTCCTGGTGCAGCCGGTCAGCCTCCTGAGCAGCCTGCAGGCGCAGCTGCTTCGCCTGGCCCTCCAGAGCAGCCAAGCGTTCCTGCAGCGTGAAGACAGGAGGGACGCTGAGCGGAGCCACGGATGGGCTCTGCAAGCCCTGCAAGCGGGGGCTCTGGGCTCACCTTCCGGCGGGCCAGACGGTGGCGGCCCTGGGCCTCGCTGTGCAGCATCTCATGCTCCTCCTCCAAGCGGCTCTCCTTCTCCAGCTGCTGGAACTCCAGGTCTTCGAAGAGCTTGGTCTCCGTCTCCAGGGCCTCCGCTTCCTGTGCAGGACGTGGCTGCTTAGAGGCAGCAGTCTGAGCGAGGCTGGCCTGATCGGCTCCCCGCCAGTAAGCACGGCTGGCAGGCTGTCCGTGAGCATGGGGTGAGCCAGTGTTCTCTAGACAGCCCAAGGACCCTTCTTCTCAACTATCCCAGGACAAATGCCAGGAGTGTCCAAAGCCAAAAGTGAGGAGGGCAGGAGTTGTCTGGCACCCCCTCTTTCTCCCGAGGCTGGGCAGCAAGATCCATTCTGCGAGCCGGCTGCCCTTGCTCTCCATCCCCCAAGGCCGCTGAGGCAACTTGGCTGCTGTGTGTGAGACAGGGTAGGGGCACTCCTGCTAAGGCTCTGCAGGGGCACTGCTGCCAGTGGGCCCGAGTTAGCTTCCCCTGCCCCACGGAAGGTGGGCGGGGGTAGAGAGGGCACTGACCCTTTGCATCTCGTCCTTCACTTGCTCCCTCATTGATTCGGGGCAGTTTTCAAGCTGGCTCTTGAGCTCAGAGTAAAACGCCCGCAGTTTCTCAAGCGCCTTCCTTTCCGCATCAACCCTTTCCCTCTCCTGAAGCCGGGAGAAAACGACACACGAAGAGGGGAGAAAACAGGCTTCTCGGGAGCAGGCCATGCAAAGAGGGGTTAGCAAGGCTCTTGGGTTAAGGGGGTCAAGGACTTGGTCTTGCCTCCACCAGGGGTCTGCCAGCCACCCTCGCCAGCAGCTGCCAGGGCACCTACACCTTTCCTCCTCCTGTGGTGTAAAGCCCAGCCGTGGAGAAGCCGCCAATTTATCTGGCCTTCTGCCCCAGACATCCGAAAGCTGCCTTGCCCTGGAAGCGATCCTGGGCAGTGAAGCCGAAGACACGAGAGTTGGATCTGGCCCTTGGAGGAAATATCGTTCCAGATCCTGGCGACTTCTGGGCTGTTGGAAGCTCAGATGAGTCAGTCAAGGCAAAGGGAAATGCGTCTCTAGCAGGGCCAACCCAGATTTGTACCTGAGATGTTTCTGTAGCCCATGGAAGGTCTCACTCTACATCTATCCCCCACTTTTTTAAAAAAAAACCAGGACGGATAGGTGAAGCATGCATTGGAAGCCCCTGGAATAATGCCAGTTTCCAGGGACGGAAAGGAGCAACCATGACAAGACCAAGGCCGGGAGCATCTTGACGAGATCAACTGCTGGGCAAAAAGCAATGAAATTCAAAGAGGTGAATTTCACCTGGGAGAAATGCAAAGCTTTAATCTGAGGATGAAAAACCAAAATCATCAGCGTGGGATGGCAGGCGGCAATGGGAACTGTACCGGGCAGTGGATGAGTAAAAGGATCGGGGGTCTGAATGGATCACAAGCTGAACATGAGCCACAGGTGGTGTTGCTACCAAAAAGTAAAAGCTGGCTGAAGCTGCGTCAGCAGAAATATAATGCCAAGATCAAGCAAAACAGTGGTGCCTCTTTATTCTGTGTTAATCAGACCATACCTAAGAGACCGTGTCCAGTTCTGGGCACCACATTTAGGACAGAGACTGACAAACTGGAATGTGTCCCAGAGGAGAGTCACCAGGATGATAAGGGGCCTGGAAGAAAAGACCTACAAGGAACAGGTGGAGGCGTTTGTCAGGTATGTTTAGCTTGGAGGAAAGGTGGGGGGAAGGGAGAGACATGGTAGCCATTTTCAAATAAACTGGCTCTGGAAGACAGGAGAAGAAATAATGGTTTTCATTCACCAAGAAGCAGACTTTGGTCGGACTTAGGGTAAATCTCCATTGCCAAGACCTGTGGTCTGTCCTGCCAGAGGCATTCAAGAAAGGAGAGATCAGCCTCTGCGGCACATGCTGTAAGGAGTGGACCCCGCATGATTCCCGTTATCTCTGTCTTTTCTTTCAAAACCAGGATCGATAGTGCAACTTGAGGAGCACATGATAGCAAACTATGCAAATGCAGCCGTCACACCTGAGGCTGCTGCAGGGCCTTGGTTCCCCTGGGCTGCTCAGCCTGGGAACCAGCCTCAGAATTGGGCTCCACGTAGAAGGACTTCCCAGTCTCCAGGCGCAAAGCAGGTGGAAGTTCTCCTACGAGGAGCAGAAGGAGCATCCTCTGGATAGGAGCCTGGGTGGGATAAACAAGTACGGGGCATCACCTGCTCTCCACAGGCAGCTCAACTTCTCAAGCATGTCTCAGAGACCAAATCTGGGTTGGGATCCTATGTGACCAGATGACCAGCCTGTCCCCAAGGACTCAGCCAGATGGTCCTTTCTCAGGCAGGGATACAAGCAAAAAGAGCGGGGGGAGCTCCAGTTCTGTCACCCCTTCGCAAGCGGGTCGTAGCTGCCACCCCAGATGGCCTGTAAATGCCAAGCACTGGTGGCTTCCTAGAAGGGAAGGGGGGCTACCCCCAGGGCTGAGTGGACAATTGAGCGTGAGCTCTGCCTCTCCTGGCCCAGACAGATCCCCCACCCCCCAAAGCTGCGAGCAGGCAGAGAAAGAGAGAGCGCAAGAGAGAAAAGAGAGGGGTTGGCACAGTTAGTGTTGGCCGGGATGTTAGTGGCTGGGCTACTTCGGAGTGTGTGCTCCCTGCCCCTCAGGCTCCCTGTGTGAGCAAACATTGGGGGAACCCAGTGTTTGCACGGCCCCATGGGCACCTTTGCCTGACCAAAGGTGAGCAGCAGAGGCGGCTGGGGTCAGGCTGATTTGCTCCTGGCAAGACCTGTCAGTTCGCCAGGCTACCCATGGCTTCTACCTTGGGACACGCAAAGGGTTTCCCCCCAGAGCTAGGGAGGGCTTCCTCTAGGGACTAGGAAAGCGCCCCTTCCCGCTAAGCCCGAGAGGCCTGGATCAGGAGGGCAGAACCCACTAAGTGAACAGCAAAGGGAGGGTGGCTTTGCCCTCCCCATCACCTTGAGCAGCAACCTGCCAGGCTGGAGGCTCCCCGGCCAGTTACCTTGTCCCGCTCGTGGCGAGCGCTGGCATCCAGACTGGAGAGCTGCTCCTGCAGGAGTTGCACCGCCTGCTGTTCCTGCTGCAGCTGCAGGATCTCAGCTTCCCGTTCACCCTGTAGGAGGGCCTGCTCCATCTCCGCCTGGGCAGGGCAGAATGGCAACTGCATGAGCACTGCCAGCCACCAGCCTCTCCCTGCCCCCCAAGGATGAACGGCACTGCCAGTCTCTTGGCAGGACAGCTCCCCCTTCACCTCCCAGGCGGTCTCTCGCAGCTGCTGCTCCAGCCCCTTCAGGCGGCTCTTGAGGTGGTCTGTGCTGGCCAGCAGGCGGGTGTGCTCTTCTTCCAGGAGGGCCAGCTCTGGAGCGGGTGGCACCTCGTGCTGCAGAGGAAGTGGCAACCCCTGCATGTGTGGGCGAGGGCTTCAAGCCTCCCTCCAGAGGGAAAGGCTGTCTCCCAGGCCATGGCAGTGCCTGGCAGCCGGTCAGGGGATACAGGGACCCACTGCCCACCTCCTCACCTCCTGGCCGGCACTCTCGGTGCTGCTGCTCTCCTCCTGCAAGTTCTCCTCCTCCCCTCGCTCCTGGGGGGGCCTGTTCCCTGGTGGTGGGAGCGCCCCATCAGCAGCAGCATTGGCGCCGCCCTCGTGGCCCAGCTCAGTGTCCCCCCTAGTGTACTCGGCGCACAGGCTGAGGATGGTCTCCAGGCGTTGGCGCTCCTGGTTGCCCAGAGAACAAGCGAGGGTCACAAGAGGCTGGTGAGGTAGAAGGAAGGGCCTGGCACAGGAACGCCCCTCACCCAGACCCCTGTGCCAACTGGGTTTGCTACCTGACCGACCCTGGCCAGGCTTAGCCAAGCTGCCAGGAGGGAGCAGGCTGGCTTACGGCAGCTGTGTCGACCCAGCTGTGTCTATGCCCAAAGCAGCCCCCCCCCTTGGCCCTCTGATATGTTTCCCTCCCCTGCATCCATCTCAGCCTATGAGACTAAGTCTGCTTGGACAGGATTCGTCCACCTTTCCTACACTAAGGGCCACGCATCCTTCGCACCGGCCTCCCCAGCTCTCCACAGTGAAGCTGAAGTCCCCTCCCCAGCTCGACCCCTGCTCACCAAGCGCTCCATCTCTTGCTCCCGGAGACGCTCCTGGCGCTGCCATCGGTGGTACTCCAGCAGGCCGCTCTCGCGCATGCCCAGCAGCTTGGGCGTGCTCTGCTTCTGCTCCTGTGTGGGGCCCAACAGCTGGGACCCCCCAGGCCTCTGGCGGCTTGGCTGGGGAGAATCCGAGGGCAGGATAAGGGACCCCAAGCTGGAGGCAGAGCTGAGGCCAGGTCCACCGCAGGGCTTGCGTTGGATGGGCTCTCCATGGATGGAGGGAGGTGAGGGGCTGCGGCTCCTCAGGCAGGAGGAAGAGGGGGGAGCGGAAGATGCCTCCCTCCGCCACCCCCTGGGATTCTCCCCAAGCTTGCCCTGCGAGGAGAGGCTGCTTCCGGGGGCCGGCAAGACTGCTCGGCGCCCCAGGGCTGGGCTGAGGGGGGGTAGTTCCCGCATGCTCTCCAGGGGCCGCCGTCTGAGCTGGGGACTCTCAGGGAGACGCTGGCCGCGGCTAGACTGAGAGGCGACACCTGGCAGCTCCGACCCTTGGCAGGCTGACTTCCCCAGCTGGGCTGGTCGGGAAACTCTGACGGGCAGTATTTCCGGGAAGGGCCCAGGTCCTGGGTCCTGGAGGGCTGCAGCCTTGCCCTGCAGCATGCCGGGAAGCTGGAAAGCCCTGGCCGAGCAGGGGTTCCCGGGTGATGGTGGGCGAGGGCTACCCAGCCGGTTCTCCTTCAGTGGAGAGCCACCATGCTGGCTGGGACAGGGATCCTCTGCAGGAGGCCGGGCCTTGTGCCTTGGCAGGGGGCTTGTGGGGCCATCCCGTCGGACCTTCCTCTCGGCTTGGGGGCTCCCTGAGATGCAAGCAGAGCTTAGGAAGCCACTGGAACTGCTCAAAGGGTCTGGGGAAGCCCCCCCATGGGGCAACAACGCAGCATGGCAGTAACTGGAGGATCGGACAGGCACCGCAGGGGGAAGGGCAGGGACCGTCTCCCGCCAGCTGGCTAAGGGGCTCCGGCAGCTGCTGCTGCTGCTGGCAGGGGAGGAGAGTGGAGAGAAGGGAGGAGAGGAGGCGTTTTCATAGGTGGATCCCATGGAGGTGTTGCTGGGGCTCTGGGGTGGGGACAGAAGGGAGCAGCCCCCCCTGCCATTCGCAAGAGACACGGCTGTTGGGGACGGAGGGCTCCCATCACCACTTTCCTCCTGCAGCACCAATGAATCCATAATGCCCTGCAGGTCTCTCTCAATGGAGCTGACCAGGGAGAGCGATGCCCTCTCGGAGTTGCCGCTGACGGGGCTCTGCCACTCTGCTGCAAAGAGATGGGAGTCTCAGAAGGGAAAAGTCTCGGCTGCCTCCCCATTCCCCCTTCGGGGCCAGAGCACCTGAGCCCCCTACCCTGAGGCCAAGCCCACCCAGCACCCTCGCCTCCGAAAGGCCGGCCCAAGGTCCCCATCAGGTCTGCCACCCGCTGGGGCTGGGGAGGAACCTGCCGCCCCTCAGCCAGAAGCGCAGAGGAGCCAGGCGGCCCCTTCAGAACCCCCTCCCCCACCAGACCCCCTCAGGCGAAGGACCCACCTGCTCCCAGCCCACAGGGGGCTCCTGGGCTCTGCCCTTCGGGTGGCACCGCTTGGCTTTTCATCCACTTGGCCTCAGCTGGGTGGCTGAAGCGGAGGAAGGTCGCCCGGCCCAGGCAGATCACGTGCCCTGGGAGAAGGAGCCCCGTCAGCCAAGCAGACCCACAGAGAGGCCAGGTCCAGCCGTGCTGTGCGCCCCGAGAGTGGCAGTTGCCTCTGGAAAGCTCTGGGGAGCTTTTGCTCCTCCAGGCCTCAGGGCGTCCTACCTACTGCTGGGCGACTGCAATGAGCCTTCTGTGGGGCTGCCTTTCGAGACTGCTCAGAGGCTCAGCAATGCTGCTAGGGTGGCCAGGAGGCCAGCGCACAACTGCCACCAGCTGCAAAGTCCAGGAAAGACCCTCTGCCCACAGCTGCAATTCAGTCCAGCCCTCCCAGCTGGCTCATGCCAGAGCTGGGACCTTCCGGGGGAGGGGGGTGTCTTTGCAAAACCTCGTATGAATGAGTCTGAAGGTGCTCTCAATAGACCATCCCCCCAGCTGTTCTTCAGTTTGTGGTACTGAACATCAAAAACAATTTTTATCCCCTGACCCCCACCCCCTCCGATGGATACGATTGCTGCAGGCTTCCCAGCCCACACAGGGAAAGGATGGGTGCAGAGAGTGAGGCGGTGCCCTTGACAGAGAGATGCAGGAGGCGATGCCTGGGCAAAATAGGCAGAAGCCGTTTTTAAAAGTCCAGAATGTCCAGATATTGTTTGGAAGTGGTTCAGGCAGATGCCTCCCTAATTTTCTGAAACGTAAGGAGGCGGCCCAGCACAATCAGACTGCCAGATCCCTTGATTGCTACTCATCTCAATAAAAGCAGTATGGAGCTGATCTCCCATCATGGTCTACTTAATAGGGTTGATACAAGTTCACCTCCTCGCAATGCCTGTTCCAGCCAGTCCTACCCTGGGTGCAACAGCCGGGCCCAGCCAGGAAAGGGCCAAGTGGTCACTGAAGCTCTGGCAATGGCTGCTCCATCTCTGGTGGGCATCCAGCTGGCAGCACTCTCATGTGATGGAGAGTGGGAGGCCAGTGAGAGCTCTGGCCACAGCCAGGCTTAGTATTGGAAAAGTAGAACCCAAAGACCCCGGGGGTCTCCTCCTCCTCCCCTCCTCAGCTTTTCAGCCCGTCTGAGCCACTAAGCAGCTGTGCCTGCTGCAGCGCAGAGCCTGAGTTGCATTGAATTGGGGACCTGCAGGAATAACATTCCAGGATCCTTGGCGCGGCAGACAGATCAGCTCCTACAATTGGGGTGGGGGGGGGATCTGAAGTCAGGAAACACAGCCTCAGCACACAGGCCTGTGCCCTCCCCTAATATGAGACTTTGCCTTAGCCAAGGGGGGTGCGGCTTGCCTGGAAGGCCCTCTGTCCCCTCAGCAGCTGTCACTCTCGGAAGGCCAGGCAGCAGCCTTCAGGCTTCACTTAGTCTGACTCTGAGTCCTAAACATCGCAGACAAAGCAGAAGGAAAACCGCAATTCTGCGGTCCCTCCCCGCCACCAAAAAAATGCTCCGTTGGCACCAATTTTCTGGCCAATTCTGGAGCAAACAAATGAAATGGAAAGTTACTAAAAATGGAGCCCTGATGTGCTAAAGAAAGCTTGTATGGTCTAACCACCTTCTCCTGAATGCTTGCACCCAGCCCAAAATCAGACCTGACCCCCAACAAACTGGGCTGTGGGACCATTACGGGATCCTGGCATACTTGGATGAAGTGGGGGCATCTCAGAGCACATCTCCCAGAAATAGCCCCCAAAGAAATCTGCTGCCTCCAAGGGCTCAGCAGCAACCCCAACTGCAGACGGAGCCCATGAGTTTTCTGGAGACGCAGCCCAATCCTGGCAAGCTTTTTCCAGCTGCAGAAGGCAAGTCAGCCTCCCCTTGCAAAGCCCACTGCCTCAGGGTAACCAAAACCAAGTATGCTATCCTCAAACAAACAACCATCTACTATTTTGGTTTATCCTGTCCGCCTGGTCACCAGAACACACTGACCCCCAACTCCGAGATTGCAAATGTAACAAGCTAATAGACAATCCCGCAAAAGCTCTGTGGGAAGATGGCCACTGCAAAAGGCATTTTGGGGGGCAAGGGGGCTCCAAACACATCAAGCAACCCACCCCACCCAAAGCTCAAGGTCTGGGGTGACTCAGAAAACTCGCATGCAAAGGGGGCCTGGGGAAGGGCATAAACTCTGCTGCTCTTAGGGGGCTTCCTAGGGCCAGAGACCAGCGGAGGGTGGGGGATCGGGTGACCCATCCCCCCTTCCCCAGAGCACAGCATTTCATGTCGAAAGCTTCCCCGAGCCTCCCAGTGCTTCATCCTGGACAGGGAGGAGGGCGAGCGGGCTTGGCTTCTGCCCCAGCCAGGAAGGGGGCGCTGGCTTCGGAGGGGGGAGCCCCCAGCCCAGCCGGGAAATGGGAAAGAGGAGGGGGCGCCGAGCCCAGCTCCAGATCGCGCTCTGCGGGGAGCTGGCGGAGCCCTTGCTGGGAGGCCGTCCAGAGCCCGCAGCCCTCCGGATCCCGCCCGACCTTCCTGGCAGCCCCAGCAGCTTACGCGGGGGGCCGGGCGGCGGGAGGACGAGCGCCCCGAGGGGGAGCAAGCGCCGAGCCCGGCAGAGCGCTCGGCTGGCCACCGAGGCTGCCGCTTCCCCTGTGCCCAGCCCGGAGCCAGCCAGGCGCAAGACCCCGAAAGGCGGCTGGTGGGCAGAGGCTGGGCTGGCTGGCCGCGCGGCCCCTCGGCGGCTGCCTCGGCCACGGCTGCGGGGTGGGTGACGGCGCGTTCCAGGCTGCCCGGCGCCCCGGCTGCATCCCCGGGGCCGGAGGAGCCGCCAGCTGGGCGGAGCCTCCCGTCTCGTCGCCGCCCGCCTCCGGGATTGCTCAAAATAGCGGCGGGCGGCGGCAGGAAGGGTCTCGGCCCGCCCGCCCGCCCGCCCGCAGGGCCTGGCCGGGCTCCGTGGAAGGGCGGCTCCGCTGCGCTGCCGGCCCCTTCGGCGCTCCTGCCACGCGCGCCCCGCTCCCGGCCGCTTTTGCCCCGCCCGCCAAACCGGGGCCCTGGTCCCGGCGCTCCTTTGCTTGCTCCCGAGCAATTGCCGCGGGGCTGCCCAGTTGCAGGAAAGTCGGGGGGAATCTCTCGCTTGGGCAGAGCTGGGGGAACCGGAGGGTGGGGTCTCTGCCGCTCATGGCCGCGCCAGCTTCAGCCTTCCGGCCCAGCCGCCACCTGAAGTCCCTGCAGGAGCGCCAAGGGCGCGGGGCGGGAATGTGGGGATCCCCCCCCGCCCACCCAGCAGGCCTGAGTCTGCCGGCCTTCCAGCGCAGCGGAGGCTCCGATGAAGCGGAGGCTGCAAAGGGATGAAGCAGGGGCAGGGTGAGCCCCCTGGGAGAAAAGCCACTTGGCTACTTGCCAAGGCTTCTGGCCAATTCCTTTTCAAAGTTCTCTTTCCAGGGTCTGGTCAGACCAAAAATATGATTCAGACAGGAAATGATGAGTCTTTGGAAAAGTTGACTTGGTAATTTCTGTTGCAGTCCGGATGAGAAACAGCAAGAAGGAATTAACTAGAAAATGGGGGGGGGGACAGATGTTGGGGACCAGTGCTCACAGAACTCCCCCCCTCGAGGGGGCTCTTCCCAGGCTCTGCTGCCTTCGGTAAGAGATCCTTCCCTATGGAGCCTTCAAACATTCCTTCCCTGCTATTCTTTCTTAACAACTGACCTGCAGTGATTTGCTTAACAATGGCAACTGGGACTGCCAGAATCACCTGTCACTAAGCGGCACATGCGTGTGACACTGCACTTCCTGACTGCATCATGGATGGATGGCTTGCAATTCTGGCCCCAAATGCTGTTGTAAACCAAGGCCCTCCTGCCCAACTGAAGGCCAATAGCTTGGATGGAAAGGGACCTGGGGCAGGCGTCTGAGTTGAGCCTGCATCTACAGAGGCCAAGAGACCCCCACAACCAGCCCCAACCCCCAGGCTGCGCTTGCTCCCGCCAGTCAGCCCCAAAGACAGGCAGGGCCCACTCGGCCTGACTTGCAAGGGATCCCGCTGCAGCCGCTCTTGGCCAGGAAGTCCCTCTTTTTACGGGGAGCTTCTGCAGCTTTCTTTGAATATAAAGATGGGTAACTTTCCCCTCTGAGACCATCAGAGTTAGGACTTTCAGGGAGGGTGGCCAGCCACAGGAAAGGCTCTTCAGAGGGGCCATCGAGAACCCAGGCCCAGGGCACCACAAAAAAACCCCATCAAGAGCAGAGGTCAGCTGGGGTCTCACTGGCAGGCGATGGCTGGGCAGGGTCTTGCTTCCCTCCCGTTAGCAATTGTCCAACCTTGGCTGACTGAAATACCACCCCCACCCCCGCTGCCCAACTCTTGCCTCATTCTCCTTTCTGCCAGCAAAACTGCTCCCCTTGCCAGGGATGCGGTTGCCATGGTGATGATCAGAGCTGGCAGGGAGGCTTTTTACTCAGTGTTGACCCAGGGCGCAAGGAGACTGATCACTGCCCTGCCACCCTCAAAAGAGCTCCTAGGCCAACCTTAGAGGGCTCCTTCCTGCAGATAACCTCTGCCTTAAGGCTTTGTGTGGCTCTGCCATGTTTCCCCAGAGCTGTGGGGCAGGGAGGGAGCACCCCTCTTTTTTGGACCTCGGGTGGACTCTCCCCTCCCCAAAACTCCAGAGCTTAGCAGCACTAGGCTTAGCCCAACTGGAAGTCCACCGGCCAGGGAATGGAGTGGGCCCACGTTTGCAGGAAGACGCAAATGCCAGAGGGACACTGCACTAATGCAGGTCCCATCAGAATCCAGAACCGAGCATTCCCGGAGGTACTTGGCCCAAGGCAGCATAATGAGTGTGCAAGTCTCTCCGTATCCGACCAGCAGAGCCTCTCCTCTCCTTACCTTGGGACAAACGGGTGGGGTGGGTGATTGGCTGCCCATCAATGGCGCAGGGATGACCGCAGGGATGCAGTGTGAGAGTCCCACACACATTTTCAATGAAGCAGTGTTGAGGGGCCACCCCAGCCCCCTGTAGCACAATGTCCCCAGTAGCGGAGCCCAGGACGGTCTTGCCTGCAAGGAGACTGTGTGAGCGGGGGTGGCACTCTTCCTTCAAGGGGGAGCAGAGAAGGGAAGGCCCCCGAGACTACAGAGACATACCCTCTTCCAGAGGCAGCAGAGTGATGGCAGTGCTGAGGCGTCCGCTGCCCAGGCTCACCAGGTGCGGCTTTTGCGTCTGCACCTTCAGGCCTCGGCCCGTCTCAGTCAGGTCCAGGAGGCTGTTCTGCAGGGCAGGGGAGAAAGGTTGTCAATAGCAGCGTGGCCCCCTCCTCAAGCGGGCAAGAGCAGAGGGCAGTATGGCTTCCCTTTTGGCCACTCCTGGCATGAGCAAACCCCTCCCTCTTTCTTAATTATCATCCTCCAGCCAGGCGAGTTGAAGGTGATTGCCAGGAAGAGTAGGAAAAGGCAAGAGGGCAAGTTGTCCAGCAGCTTTAAAAGGGGCAGTGAGAGGAAAGCAAGCTGAGCAGGCATTAGCACTGGCTGACTCAGGAAGGGCTTCCAAAGGGGGCTCTCACACTCCTTGGCTCACTCTCCGGCCCGCGAAACCTCAGGACAGAATGGGGTCCCCTCCTGAGCCACCACTGCCACCTGGGAGGACCAGCACATTCTGACAGGCAGGGGGTTCTCGCAGGGCACCTGCTCACCTGAATGGGCTTCTGTACTTGGCAGGGAGGGGCAGCCAGGTTGTGGTTGCAAGTCTCCATGGTGGGACTCCTCTGGCCTAGGAGGGAAAGAGGGGAAGCCTGTGTCAGAAGTGCCAGGCCACAGACTGCCCGAGGTTCAAGCCCCGTGCAAGATGCAGGCCGTCCTGGGGCTGGAACACAGGACAGGTCAAGGCTGTCCCTAGGAAGGGGAGGCCTCTGGTCCTCGCCCTTCATTCTCTGCAGGGAAGGAGGGGAATTTGTTGCTCTGCCAGGCGTGGTCCAGGAGAAACATTTCTGGAGTGCTCCCCTCTAAGCACAAATAACTGTGTACCTATTTCTCAAGAACAAGATATGTATTTCAGCTTTTAAGTAGTTGCTCTTCAGCAGCGGGGAAGAAGAGGGAGCAACTGAGCCTTTAAGCAGCCCTCCTGACACATACAAGGTTAACTTACCTCATGACTAACTCATTAGCACAAATATCTAAAATTATCTTCAGCTTCCTTAAGTTCAACAAAAAGCTAACTTCTCTCCATTGTTTTCTGCCCAAGATATGGTGGCACCATAATGATTAGACTGCATCATTGCACACATTTTGCTGGATCTATGGCACTGTCACCAGTGGGCAATGACAGTCTTAACACTTGTATACAAGCTCAAGGCTTCCTGGGTGTTTCTCTGCAAGAGACAAGTATCAATTCCCCTCTGAAAATATTGCAAAGAACTGCTTGGCAACCAATTACAGGCACAGTTGTGTTTTATCACTACAGAGCATGGGGTCACCCACGGCTTGTTTTCATTGCGACATCCCTAGGAGAATCTGAGCTCCTGCATCCAACCTCTTCTGCACCTGCCAAAGATTGCTTGCGGTGTCTGTGCCCTCACCCCAATTCCAAATTCCCTTGCTTCAATGCCAGCTACTGTCTCCTCATCTTCTACCACTATTTCTCAGTTGCCTGCAGCAGAATCTTGGAGAAATTAATAGTTGGCAAAGTAAACGTGAGATGGGCAGTATCGGAATTTGATAAATAAATGCCCAGTAAAGGCAGCTTCCAAGTCATGGAACGTGACTTACCTGGATAATCCTTCTTCATTCAGCATCCCCCAGCATTTCTCCCTTCCTGGGGGAAGGGGAGAGATTTTGCCCCCTTTCTGAGGGCAAAAAGGGAAACCTCACACTGCCATCTGCAAGCCCAACACCTGCACTGGCCCAGGAGAGCTAGCAGGGCACTGCCTGATGAGAATTTCTCCCTCCCAAGCACTGGCACACCCCACCCCACCCCAATCCAGGGTCCTTTCAAGAGACGAGAGAAAGAGGCTGCCTTGTCTGTCTTTGACCTGCCCAAGGAGGAGAATGCCACTGCCCAGAGAAAGGAGGGCTTCTGGTCTCCCGGCCCCCTCTTTGCCTAGGCAGAGGAACTCTCCTGGGGGCAGGGGGGAGGGGGTGCCTGGCTGTTCCCCCTACTCTCCTTCCTACTCAGAGCCACAAGTCCTGACAAGCAGGCTCTGTTTGAGGAGGGAGGGAGGGAGGGAGAGAGAGAGGAGAGCTGTACCTTGTCAGCCACAAGGCGCCTTTCTTCTCTGTGCTGCCAGAGAATGAGCTCCTTGTATGGCTGAGTGGCTGGGCAGCAGAGGCCAAGGGGTGAGCTCCAGCCAGGCTGGGCCTGCAGGGCTGATCTCTCCTGAACCCTGCCAGAGGGGGGAAAGGGGGAGGAGAACAACTGACTCCCTTCCAGCCTTGGAGGAGCACCAAAGGCTTCAAGGCCAACCAAGGAGGCAGCCTGGGAAAAGTGGGGGTGGTGCTGTCCTTGGCCAGAGCCAGGCCAAGCCCAAGCCCAGCCGCCCACAGCAGCCAGGCTTCCAGAGAGCTTCTGACGCAGGATCCAACCAAAGGCAGGAGGTGGGAAAAGTCCCAATTGTGCTGGCCAGCACCAGATCCACTCTGCCAGAAATTGTTCTGCACCAGCAGGTCAAGGCTCTCCAAAAACCGAGCTCAGCCCTTGGTGCCACCTCTGTGCCGAGCCTTGGCTGCGCTCCCTGCCTCAGCCCAAAGATCAGGCAGGTCTGGGTTTACCCAGAGGCCAAGAGCCACAGGCTGGACCTGCTATCCCCAAGTGCCTTTCTGGGGCTTTCCTGGGTTCAAAGAGAAAACTGGCGAAACTAGCACTGGTCCTGGGAAAGGAGGAAGGCAGCTTTTGGGACTGGCGGCCCACTTGCTTCCCCAGCTCAAATCAGCATCCTGTGCTGGCAGCCACAGCTCCATTGCAGGAGAAAAGCCACAAGGAGAGGGTGGCACGGCTGGTGTAGGGGGCAGCATGATCAGCATCAGGAGAGGACTAGGTTCTCCCAGAACCTTGCGTTCTTCCTGAAGGACTTTTCCTCAGACCCACCAGAGAAGGGAGAAGGACCGGGCGTGATAGCTGCCCCAAGTCCAAAGCTTCTGCGTCTCAGTTAGAGATGCTACAAGATGCCCAGGTCAGATTATTCCAGAGCCCACCCCAGAGCAACGTTCAGGCAGGCTGGTCACTTCTACTGCCTGCATTCCCTCACAACAAACCTGCAAGGTACAAACTTGTCCTGGGATCCCTGGGCAGTCTCCTTTTCAGCGCAGCTCAGGTCCCGGGCGCAGAGCTCCCACCCTGCTTGGAGGCCGGAGCTACAGGAAATCTCCGCGGCTTCCCGGAGCCGCGGGGCCAGGCAAACCCTGAGAGCTCCTGCTCCAGAGACCGGACAGCCCTTTTCTCCCAAGCAACAGCAAAGGAAGGCAACGCCCGCCCCCTCCGAGACCGGCAGCTCTGGGAGGGAGCAGGGGGCTCGCCTGGCCTGAAAGCAGAGCCGCTGGCCCGAGCGCAGGTGGGCGGCAGGGACGGCCCGGCCGGCTTTTGCGCGCGGCGTTCCTCTCCCCCAGTCCGCAGCGCCGGTGCGGGAGGAATGAGCCAGGAATGCGCGGAATGCGCCACGTCCAGGCAGGCGGGGAGCGGGGAGGGGGCCGCCGGGCCGTCGATGCCTCTGTCAGCCGTCCAGGAAGCTCCGCCCTGCCAGAGCCTCGCCGGCCGGAGTCAAGCGGAGAGGCGCGGCCGCTCTTTCCATCTCCCGCTTGGCCGGCCCGGACTTCCTAAACGTGGCCCGGGCAGCGGAGAGGCGCCCCCTGCATTACCTGCGCGCCCCGCCCGCACCTGTCAAGCGGGCTTGCCCCTTCGAGCCCCGACGTCTTCGGAGTTGCAGCCGCCGCCCGCCCGTCCGTCCGCGTTGCTCTTTCAGGGCTGAAGGGCCGCCGGCCGACGAAGGAGGAGCGCCAGGCGGGGACCCGCCGCCCTCCCGGTTTGCTCCCCCTTTGCGCGTGCGCGCGCTCGACCAGGCCCGCGGGCAGCTGGGGTGCGCGCGCCTCCCGCCCCGTTCCGGATTCCGGAGGGCCCCCCCGCTGCCCCCGAGACGGAGCTGCCGCGCCAGAGCCGGCGCTGAACAAAAGGCGAGGGCGGGGAAGGCCCGGCGCGCCTCCCTCCGTTCCGCGGCTGCTCGGGCGCCCCGAAGCCGGGCTGGACGCTCCGGCAGCTCCTCGCGAGTCCTTGCGTGGAAAGCGCTCGGCTGGGCATAGCGGGGGCACCGCGGGGGCTGTGGGAGCCCAGCCGGGCGGTTTCGGTCTCGGTCTCAGATCGCCCGAAGAAGAGGAAAGCTCAACAGTTCCTGCAGGGCGGCCGAATCGGACTCGCCTCCCACGCTCCAAACAGCTGAAGCCGCCCCGCTCGAAAGCCCCTCGCCGGGGAGGATGGGGGGGGGGGGGGCCAGGGTTTTAAACCGCCTTGGGGGGGGGGGGGGGGGGGGGTAATTTGTCACTCATTGAGGCATTTTAAATTTTTTAGGCAAATTTCGCGCTGACCCTATCCTGCACTTCTGGGCGCTTACCGATAACAAAGTCAGAAAACTTCATTGGAGCCAGACTCCAATAAAAATAAAATGTAATAGCAGTCCCCAAGATCCGACCGCTGGGTGACTGATTTCTGGGTCCCCTTTTATTTCAACACGCCTGAAATAAGTTTTGCATCCATTAAGATGATGCACCTTTTGCCCTGCCTGAATTTCATCCTGCCTGATTGCCCAGAGTTGTCCCTTGCTGCCAGAACTGCAAAACCGTTTTGGCCTTTTAATAAACAATGTCAGTGAACGGGTACATAATGGAACTTGGTGGCCCTACTTAACCCTGTCTGCATGCAGAGGCATCCTTCTTAAAACAAACAAAACCAAACCCAGCACTTAGAACAGGGACAATACTAACTAGAAGCTGAATTGTGATGGCGAAGGATGTCATATTTACAGTCTCTGGCACAAAATCGATTTAGAAAATAAGAAATATTTTAAAAACTTGACATTGGAACCCTTACAAATGGATCAGCAATGAATAAGACAGTGGGCACTCCTGGCTGGAAGTGACAAGTGTGGCACGCCTTGTTTCCAGAGTTGGAACTATTTTGGCTCAGATTATATCAGAACATCTGGAAACCATCAACCTCATGATGCTGCCTGACGTGAAGTCACAGCAACCAGAAGATTTGAAGAGCTGCTGCAGGCAAGGTGGGTCTGGATGAGAGCCCAGCTCAAGCCCTCCCAGCCACTTCTGTGTCTGCTCAAGGGATCCGGAAGTGACATGTGGCGGGAAGGTCCCTGGCCCTTTGCAGGAGGTTGTCAGCTGGTGACTGACCTACGAGAGGGCAAGAGGGCCCATGCATTTTGACTTAAACCCAACTTCAACCAGAATAGAGCTGGAAAGGACCTTGGAGGTCTTCTAGTCCAACCCTGAGTCCAACTCAGCCGCCCTGAGTCTTCGGAGAGGGGCGGCATATAAATTGAATTAATTAAATTAACCCCCTGCTCAAGCTGGAGACCCTATATACCATTTCAGACAGGTGCCTGTCCAGTCTTTTCTTAAAAACCTACAACTTCTAAAGGGAAGCTTACTCAGACAGGACGAAGGGCAGGTGTTAGATAAAGGGTGGAGAGCAGACTCTCCCGCCATAGCCTTTTTCTTTACCTAAAAACCAACCTACAGGAAAAGTGGATCTTGCTCACACACCGTTTCCCCCATGAAGAATCTGTTTATGCTTGAAGCATAAATAGCTCAGGCAAATCCCTGCATTTCACTGTCCAGTGAAAGTGGGAGAAAGGCACATGTTGGGTGCATGGAGCTCTAGTATAGAATCTGGCCTGGCATTCGATCACCTTCCCCGAGTGCTCCTGAGGGCAAAGCTTCCAATTTGCTGCTCTGCAGGACAAGGTGCAATGCCAACTTGCCAGGACAGACTTTGGACGAATAGATTTGAACCATGAGACCTGAAAGCCCAAGGCCTGTGATTCAGTCTGGAAGCAAGTCAGCCGTGGCCCTGCGTGTCCTCCGGATGTGCCAGGAATCAAGGAACAGGCCATCTCAGATGGTCACTTTAGGGAGCACGAGGTTAAATGTGTAGGGAGGCCCTTGTTGGTAGGCTTTTCATTACCCAAACTAGGTAACCTCATCAGCACTCATGGTAATGAAACGTCTGCAAGGAAACAAGCAAGCTTGGAGAGCATCAAGGATCCATTTCAACCCTGACTTATTTTGAAGGAAATGCAATTGGCCATCTCACCAAACACACACATTTCTCAGGATCATAACATACATTTTAGCCCAAGGCTCCCAAACACAGAAGCTAAGTTCAATTATGGTTTAGTCTCAACATCTTAAGGGAGTCTTACTTTAGTTAAAATGCCTGCTCCAGACCAAGGTGCTCCTTTGGCACTGGCCTGGAATCTCCCATCCTTTCTGCTCTGAGCCCCCACCCTGTCAGCTGCGCCATCAGGGCTGGACAGGCGATAAGCTGCCTGCCATGCCTTCTCATTTCTGGTGGGTCCCAGTTCATGGGGGGAGGGACACTCCATTAATTTCCTCGGACTAGCTCACCCCTCTGAAGCACAGGTGTTCTCCTGCAGCAACTACTTCTGGGATCTAGCACTGCTTCAGGACACAAACTCAGTCCTTATTTGCCCAGAGCTAAAGAGCACTTTTTTTCCTTTTAGAATGTTCTTTATTAGATTCAGGAGCAACGATTCTTCACATACACTGGAATGTGTCATACAGGCTGTAATTATTTTGCAGGGTTCCAAAACCTTATTTCAGTGTCACCTTCAATGTCATTTGAGAGTAAATTGCATTTGACAATAGAATTAAACTGAACCCCATATTAAGAATCAGGCAGACAAATCTCCAATCAGTATGATTCATGGCCCCCACCCAGGGCTCTCTGGACAGAGGTGGTGTGGGAGAGGCTGGGGTCTTCTTTAGCAGGTGAGCACAGCCCAATGCACTCAAGGTGCCCAATGCTTCCCTGCCCCCAAGTCGATATTTCCAGGGTCTTAAAAGTCAGAGAAGCAGCCAGAAAAAGCTGTCCTCTATTCTTCTGGGTTCAAGAAAACAATCAGGAGGAGGGAGGAGCTTTCAGGCGAGAGCTGCACAAGCGTGAAAGCTTCCCCCTCCTCCGCTCAGGATCAGATGGATTGGCAAGGTCTGCACAGCACCAGAAAAGGGAGGCTGCTGGCCCTATTCCTCTCCCGTGGTAGCACTCTCTTTGCCTTGCCGCTGCATCTGGAACCAGCAGGGCATTCTGGGGTACCCTCTGTGGAAGAAAAGGGTGGGGTGGGGTGGAGGGACAAGGCGCCGGCCAAGGTGAGGCAGCTGTGCCAGAGAAATAGGCAGTCTCTACCTGCCTGATCAGTCGGCACCTGGGAAATAAGGTCAGTGGGTAAACAAACGTCAACGTTCCCCTCCGATGCTGAAGGTTGCAGCTCTCTCTCTCTCTCTCCACATAACCAGCCTTAGCCTTGCTTGCTGCTTCCCTTCAGCAAGGGTTACAGGATCTCATACTTGTCCACGAGGAAGGTGGTCTCCGTGGAGAATTTCACAGGGCTGTTCCCATCCACCTGGGTCACTTTGGTGACCTGCAAAAAGAAAAGAAAATCAGTCCATTGGGAAGGGCGCTTTGCTGCGGCTCCATGAGGCAAGACCTGCTACCCACCCCTGTCCCTCGATTTCCCCAGGCACCAATAAAAAGGTGGAGGTTTTGGTCTCGATGAACGACAGGAGCGGCCTCAAGAAACAGCACTCGACGCTGACAAGGACAGAGGCCCAGGACACCATTCAGTGGAGAAGCAGCTGGTCTGCCAATTCCTATCTATCTATCTATCTATCTATCTATCTATCTATCTCTATCTATCTATCTATCTATCTATCTATCTATCTATCTATCTATTATTTATTTATTATTAATTAATTAATTAATTTTTTATTTATTTATTTATTATTTAATTTTTATACCGTCCTTCTCCCGAAGGACTCAGGGCAGTGAACAGTTAAAATAACATACATATAAAATCTTCAGCATAAAGATTTAGAACAATTTAGAGGAGATTTATGCCAGCCCGGCTTGGTGAAACAGAAAGATCTTATCTTTTGCTTCGATAGGCAGCTTCCTCCAAACAGAGCAGAGCAGAGCAAAGGAGAAGGGCAACAGTTGTCATTCAGCCCCCGTGAGACACACCTGAATGTTGCAAAAGTTCTTCTTGGAGACAAAGGAAACGTGCACGGGAAAGAAGTCATTTGGTCGCCCTGCGATGCTGAACTCCAGGCTGCCACTTTTGTTTTTGGCATCAACCACTGGCAAGCACCACTCGAGAAGGTTTTTTCGGCTATCGTGGCGATATTCACCATTAATCTCTCCAATTACAGGAGCCCCCACACCAGACCTAAACAATCAACAATGAGTTAGCGCTGAACTCCCCACCATCCCGGAACTGGCACTACTGGTGCACGGGAAGGTTCCTGGCAGGCAAGACAATTACTCACGGCAAAGGGATGGCGATTACCACGTCATTTAACTCCAGGCTGTCCTCCTGCAGCTCATATTCGATGTTGACATCACAGTTGTTGCCGCTTTCTGAGGGCCAGCAATTAACTAGGATCCAAAAGAAAGCCAGCTGAAATGGTTCAACCAAGACCTGAATGTTCTCAGCAGGGACAGGAGCAGAACACAGGCTGGCTGGCTTCCGCCTCTGGGATGCCTGCTACTCCCCGAACTGAAGCAACTCACTGGTCAGCGGGATGAGAGACTCTTCCGTCGTTTGCAGCCGCCATTTCAGCACTCCCACGTCACTATTGATGGGGAATGACTTATCTGGGTTTTTCAAGCCAATCACCGACTCTGACATAAAAAGCTTCTTGTCAACATTGGGGTGAGTCTGAAAAGGGAGCCACCAGTCAGCCAAGCCGCTCCATCCCAAAACAGATGCGCGCAGCTCAAAATATCCCTGATCCTAACCTCCAGCCAGCCTTACCTGAAGCTGCACGCCTTTTTTGTCCTCATTCTCAATGTGGATGCAAATCCGAGCAAACTTTTCATCCAGGATCCGCAGCATGATCATGCCATGCAGCTCCATGTTTTGAAGCCCCCCATCCCGGCCACAGGTGAGTGAGATCTTCTCCTCTATCTTCATATGCACACTAGAAGAGAGAAGCAGCCAGGGGACCGGACATTAGGTGTCTCCTTGCTTCCAACTGGGCTTCTCAGATATTAAGAGAGGCAGCCCTGCCTCCTTTGTAAGCAGACCCACACATCATCACTACGTATTACAGTCTTGACCCTTGCAAGTTCACTGAAAACCCAAACAGCATTGTGCTATCCTGCAGTGTGACTGGTTTCTTTATGACTTACAGCTTGGGACAATGTTGAAGTAGACCACATGACTCAGCTATCAAACTAAGGGTTAAAAAGCTCCCTTTGGCTTAATTAGTCCACTGTACTATCAGGCTGAAGAGCCTGATAGTACAGTGGACTAAAGCACTGTTATTAACATCTGCTGCTTGCAATTACTGCAAGTTCAAATCTCATCAGGCTCAAGGTTGACTCAGCCTTCCATCCTTTCAAAGGTAGGTAAAATGAGGACCCAGATTGTGGGGGCAAAAAACTGACTTTGTATAAATATACAAAAGTATGAAGGCTATTGCTTAACACATTGTAAGCCGCCCTGAGTCTCTGGAGAAGGGTGGCATATAAATTAAAGCAAAAATAAATAAATAAAAAATAACAATGCTGTCAGTCAAAGCTGCACTCGACTATATGCAATCTGCACCAGGCTGCTGAGCTCCTGCTTGAAAGGCCATTAAACATATTTGTCATACTCCAGAAAACCAGGCTTCCTCTGAGCTTGGGCTAGAACAGAGACCTGGTTTCTGCTATGCAGGATGCTATGTGCCTCTCTGCATTCCTGGGTAATACACGTACCTCTCCATGTTAATAGGCGGAGCAAGAACAGATGCTGCATTTGAGGAACGCTTGCCAACTGAAGAAGCAACAATATTTTCACCTTCGGATTTTAGTTTATCCACAAAATTATCCACTTCCTTCCCTTTAGTGCCGAGCTTAAGTGCCTTGTTTGAACCAGAAGGTCTAAACAAACAAAACAAAATGCATGAGACATTTTGCCCAAAGGAAGAATGCAGCAAAACCCTTCCCTGCTTTCCTTGCTCTGCATGGCCCATTTGATTAAAAAACAAAACAAAACATGTTCATGTGCCAGCCAGGCTCTTCAGATGAGAGAAACCCCAAGGAACCACAGGGAAGTTCTCAGGGCTATAGTCCACCAATATATCTGCTACAGATCCCAACTAGGTCACCACCTCACCCTATTTTAATTTGACTACTGCTGCTTTTGCATTATTTGGCATTTGAAGATTACTGTAAATCATTCTGAATCTTTACGCAAGCAGGAAAACAATTGTGACCCCCACAAAGCAATACAGATAGCCCTCACCCCACTGCATTTAGTGACTGTTTAAAGTTAGGGCACTGAAAAAAGTGATTTATGACAATTTTTTACTCTCTTGAGCCTTGCTGCATCCCCATGGTCACCTGATCCAAAATTCACGGCTGGCGATTGACGCATGTTTTTTATGGTGGTAGCCGTGTCCCGGGATCATGTGATCCCCTTTTGCAACCTTCTGCCAAGCAAAGGAGGAAGCTAGATAACAACCATGTTACTAAATTAACAACTGCAGTGATTCATTTAACAACTGTGGCAAAAAGGTTGCAAAATGGGGCAAAAGTCATTCAACCACTGTCTCAGCAATAGAAATCTTGGGCTCAATCGTGGTCGTAAGTTGAGGACTACCCCTAAAGCCTCCCTTGCAACCCATTTACTTTCCGCAACCAATCTCTCCCCCACAACAAATGACACACCTCGTTGGAGCCGGAGTGATTTTTGGCTTTTCTGACTCGATAATGGTTTCAGTGATCATAGCAGCGAGGGTGCCTCCTGATACGGCTGAATTGCCAAAGCCCCCAAATCCTGGAGCTTTGGTGCCCCGCCGCTCGGCATCCCTCCGGGCTTGTTGCAGCTCCTTGGCTTTCCGGCGCATCTCAGCCTTAGCTTCTCGTTCTTGGGTCTTGAAACAAAGAAGCAAAAGCAAAAGCTTTGACCCAGAGCAGAAGAGGAAAGAAGCGACCATCTTCCACGGAAAGCCAGAGGAACCTCGACCTACCTCGCGAACGGCCCTGAAGACCTTCTCCTCGTGGGAATCCATCTCGGTAAAGGTCCGGATCTGGGCCAGATTGACGTTCTCCCGGTAGCCCAGGGCGACGATCTCGTCGAAGGCAAAGATGAGGTCGAAGCAGTGCTCGGCGATCTCGTTCTCCTCCAGCGCCCTGCAATACTCGGGGATCTGCGCGGGGCGACGGGGAAGGCAGCTCAGGGAAAGTCTGCCCGGCTCCCTCCCCGCCCGGCCCGCCGGCCGCCTCCCCCGCCCCGCTCACCACCCGGGAGAAGAGCCGCAGCGTCTCCAGGTCCTCCAGGATGTTGCTGTTCTTGGTGGTGATGAGCGCCATGTAGAGCTTCTCCAGCGGCTGGTAGACGTAGCGGACGCTCTCCGTCTCCACGAAGGTGTGCTGCTTCCCCGTGTTCATCAGCTTGGGGAAGGCCGCCAGCAGCCCCTCGATGCGCGTCCGCGTCATCTCCACGAACTGGCGCGACACGATCGCCTTCCCCGCTTTCGTGCAGACCGCGGCGGCCAGGAGCACCTGCGGGGGAGAGAAGGAGGCCCACCACGCTCGAGAGGCGGCTCCGGAGGCCGGACCCCGCGGGGAGAGCGCCGGCCCGCAGCCGCCTCTCCGGCCCGGCCCCGCAGGCTCCCGGCCGCGGGGCAACGGCGCGTCCCGGGCGAGCCTCACCATGGCGGCGGCGGCGACCTCCGTGGAGCTTCTGCTGGGCGCCGCGTCTCCGCTGCTTCCGAGTCCCGCACAAGATGGCGGCGAGCCACGTCTCTCAGGCGGAAGCGGCGTCACCGCGCAGGCGCGGTCGGGCCGGGGGGGGGGGAAAGGCCGCCGGCTCTCGCGAGACGGTTCCGGCCTCCCGTTGCCTGGCGACTGACCCGCTGCGGCCCGCACTTCCGTGGCCTCCGACGCAGTATGAGTGGAGCGCCGCCGTCGCCGCCCGAGCCCGGGCTGCAGGTGCGGGGCCGCCCGGGGGCGCGTCCGGGATCTGGGCGCCGGCGAGCCGCCGTCCCTCGCGCTTCTCTCTCTTTCCCTTGCTTTAGACGCGGCTCGTGGAGAACCAGCCCTACGACGAGAGCCTGGACGTGAACGAGACGGAGGACGTCGCCAGCATCTACGCGCCCAGCCCGCCGCAGCCCGGTGGGTGCCCGGTTGGGGCGGGGGGGGCTGGGGGAGGCGCGCGCCGCCGCCCCCCGTGACGCCGCCGCTCCCGCCCGCAGGCCCGCGCCCCGCGCGCCCCCCGTGCAAGGACAGCAGCGACGAGGACGAGGAGGGCGCCGCGGGGGCCCTGAAGGGAGCGACCACCCCGCCGCGTGCGCCCGGCTGGGCCCCCGTCGCCGCTCCCGACCGGCCCGCGGGCGCCCTGTTGCAGCCCGAAAAGAAGGGCGGCGGCGGCCCGCTGGGTTCCGGCCGGCGGTTCAGCGGCCACGAGGTGGAGGATGACGACGAGGACTCCTCGGAGACCGACTCAGACGAGGACGAGGACGATGAGGACGACGAGCACGGCGCCCCGCTGGAGGGGTAGCGTGGGGGGGGGCGCGGGCGGGGGGCGCGGGCCGAGGGGGTCGTACGGGGCTCAGCCGCGCTTCTTCCCTCCGCAGGGCTTACAACTCGGCCGACTATGACTACCTGCCCGTCTCCCTGGAGGTGAAGGAGCTGTTTCAGTACATCCGGAGGTGAGGGGGCTGGTGGGGGGGGGGGGGGGGGGGGGGGCAGGAGGGGTGTCCCAGGAGGGATGTCCTGGGCTGCACTCAGTGCCTCCCACCCCTCAGGTATTCCTCCCAAATGATCGACCTGGAGCACAAGCTAAAGCCTTTCATCCCGGACTTCATTCCTGCTGTGGGAGACATCGATGCCTTCTTGAAGGTGCCAAGGAGCCTGCGTCCTGCCCATCTTATGCCCTGTGGGGGGTGGGGAGCATTTGTCTCCTGCAACCCTTTCCTTGCTGCTGGGCCTCCTGTGGGAAATGCTTGAGAATGGGGGTGGGGGAATGAGCGTTGGGCTCAGGGATTTGGTCTGCCCCTTTGGGACGTTCGAAAAGATGTTGCTGTGGCTCATTTCTTGCAGGTTCCACGCCCGGATGGGAAGCCAGATAATCTGGGCTTGTTAATGCTGGATGAGCCGTCCACCAAACAGTCGGATCCCACTGTACTTTCCTTGTGGCTCACTGAGAACTCAAAGCAGCATAATGTGGCCGTAAGTGGAGGAGGAAAGAAATGGGTAGGAAGCCAGCCCAGCAGACTCAATCCGCTGACGGGGTCGGTTTGCGTTTCTAGCAGCAGGTGAAAGTAAAGAGCCTTGAGAATGCGGAGAAGAACCCCAAAGCTGTGGACAGCTGGATCGAGAGCATCAGTGAACTCCACCGTTGCAAGCCTCCGGCTACCGTCCATTATGCTAGGTCTGCCTTGAGGTCCCCTGAGGAGCCCCTTGATGCTCCCCGCCTTTTCCTTGTTACAACCGCAGTGCCCCTCCCCAGGGGAGCGCTCCCATAGGGCCTCCAGTTGGCTGGCTCTCAGAGCTGCTGCTCGCTGCTTGTCCTTTGCAGGCCGATGCCCGATATAGATATGCTGATGCAAGAATGGTCTCCAGAGTTTGAAGAGTTGCTGGGAAAGGTATAGTGACCTCCCCAATGGGTAAGTTCTGCCCAATGTCCTATAACTGGTTTCTTTGGGGGCTTCCAGCAGGATCATGAGCTGCTTCATGCAGAGCGCAGTCAGCCCTAAGCTTCCCTCTCTGCCCCCCAGGTGAGCCTCCCGACCGCTGATGTTGACTGCAGTTTAGCTGAATATACAGACATGATCTGTGGTGAGTGCTCTGACCCCATGCCCAGCCGGAGGAGGTTTGCTGAAGGACTAATTAGACTGAGCCAAATAGCTCTGGAACCAGACATTTCATCAACTGTCCAGCACTTGGCAGAGTCTCTGGGTTCCACTTGATGAAGTTGAACCTGGAGCGTTTCTTTTGGGGTTTTTCTCCAGCCATTCTGGACATTCCTGTCTACAAGGGTCACATCCAACCTTTGCACACCTTATTCTCGCTCTACTCTGAATTCAAAAATTCACAGGTAAGCAAGAGAGCTGCTATTATTGCTATCCACAATAATGGGGCCTGCTTGAACAGGTCTTTTCTACTTGCTTTCACCAGGAGACTCGAGAAGAAACGGTCTCCGCAGGAAGCTGAAATCAGATTCACCTTATTGCTGATTCCTTTTTTTTTGGCAGCATTTCAAGGCTTTGGCTGAGGGCAAGAAGGTTGCCAGCCCCCCCTCCAATCCACCCTCACAGGCTGGAGAGACAGATATTTTAAGCTTCACCTGAGAGTGAAGGTCACAGCATCCTGCCTCCTGGTATTTAAATAAAGGTGCTGTTAACCTCAGGGGTATTTAAGAGAGGTTTCCAACTCCCATTTCCTTGGAGTTGTTGCTGGCCTGGCATTCAGATGATAATTCAGTGTAATATTTGTGTAATAAAGTTTTGCTGTAGATGTTGCTCTGCCTCTCAAGAGATCCTGTGCAAGCCAAGAGTTTGGGGAACGTCGGACTTTGAGTCTTCTTATTGGGCCACAGCTTCCCAGCACCATGTGGTTTGGGGCTCTGGGGAGCAGAGCAAATCTATGGTAAAGCTGCCCATGAAACGGGTCCAGCAGCCTGCTCTGCCTTTTAATGCAACCTATGCCAGCACCATATGTTTGTGCCTGGGTTTCTGGGCTCTGTGTTTATTAGGCTTCTTTTACAACCCAGGGACCAAGAGTCTTTCATAGCAGCCTCACAGCCAAATCCAGGCAGGGGGGAAAAGGGCAACACTTTAACCACAGCCGTTTATTCATTAAGCGTAGAAGTTGCAAAGCTACAATCCTAAACTGAGATGTGCATGGCAATCGCCTTCCTGGTCTGTGGATGGCAAAGGTGAGCTTAGGAAGGCAATCCTCATATTGGAAGGAGAAACAGGGCAGCTGCTGGATGCCTGTTTTGCTGGAAATGAGTAAAGGGTGAAAAGTATCCTCCCTGTAAAGATCAGCCTGTTGTTCAGGACCAGATCCTGCTGTGGGCGCCTTTGCCACTAGGGGTGCGCTCACCATCCTGTTCCACAGTGAAAAGCAGAGATACTCCTGGCGCCTTTTGCCCACTCTTCTCCATGCCTCGCTTGCTTCTCTGTGCTTGGAGTGGACCCGGTGATGGTCTTCACAGCCAGATTTCATCGCTACTCATACTAGTGGCTCTATAAATATATCCGACAGTAAGAAATTGACCCAAACCTGCAGAGATGGAAAAAGATATAGAATTTGGTCCACAGCAGTTACTTTTGCAGGATTTTTGAAATGAGCATGCAGGATCATCCCACATAGATGATTTACTTCTAAGCAGATTCAGCTGCAATAAGATAAGGAAATGGGCAGGCATAAGTGGGTGCCTTTCCCACAGCACTGAGGGCAGCTTACTTCCTCTGGTAGCATGCCTGAAATACTAGATGGCAGAAAGGGTGCCCTTGCCCTGCAGGATTGCATTTTGCCAAAGCATCCAGGGTTGCTGGTAAAAGGAGGCTAGATTAGGTAAGCCTGATGCAGCCACTGGGCTTTTCTTCCGAAACAACCTCCCACTAGCAAAGCTGGCAAAAGGCCCTAAAATGCTTCTTAGGACAAACATTCTTCTGGCTCATCTCATGTCTCCCTGGAGTGATGAGCGCACAACAGTCTTTTCAAGCACGAGGTTGGAGCTGGTCAGTACTGTCTCTTAAAATGGGAATGTTTCTAGTATTTGACAGCTTTTCCTGCTACAGAATTAGCTGTATTTGGTATCATTGAATGCTAGCATTTCCTATGCTTCAGAACTAAACCGAGACACTTGGCCAAATGGACGTAGCCCCCCCACCACCACACACAGCAGAAAATCTCGCTACCTTGTTCAGCAAGGGCTGGGTGGTTTTTTGTCTCCGAAACAGCATCTTCACTTTGCTCTGCAGGAGCACTATTTGCTCTACCTTTGGAGTAGAAGGAAAGAGGGCTGGAGCAGTGACTGCCATCCCTTTTCCCAGCCACCCCACCCCACCCCACTCATCACCACTCACTTTTTGGTTCCGGTGCAAGGTCATTGAGTTGCAGGTTGGAAGGGAGGGACCTGTTTGCCCGTGGCAGACAGACTTCCTTCGGCTGTAAGACATTGCTGTGGGAAATGCAGAGCAATTCGCTCTTGGATCCTCCCAGCTCCCCCCCCCCCCTTCAAGGCAAGGCCACATGTTCTTGGGAGTTTACCTTTCTCTGACCCTCAGAGAAAGCTGACCAGGGCATCGGTCTCTGGGGATGTGCATATGCCACCAGTCAGTGGGTCTGTATAAACTATTCCCGAAAGAGGCTACAGAGCAAACAAGGGGCTTTTACCCCCCTCTAGCAGTCCCAGAAGGTTACCTCAGAGGAAGCTGTACTGCTGGGCCATGTCCTAAAGAAGAGGAGAAAGGAAGGTGTTAAGGTTCCCAGCAAGGAGACAGGCCCAGCCCAGGCTGAAAAGGCTTCTCCTGCACCTACCTGCTGACTTTTTGGCCGCCTGGGAAACAGTCCAGCTGATTAGCACCCCAAAACTCAGGAGTATCACCAGAGCCACAGCAGCTGCCCCCACCAGGGCCACCAGAGGCAGTTCAAGTTGGGTGGCCAGGAGACCTAGAGAAGCCGGAGATGCACCCCCCACCCCCAGTCAGCAGACCGTGGTCTCATCCAGCCAAGCAAGCTGCCCCTCTGCTTGCTGGCTTTTCCTGGCCTCAGAGGAATTTTGCCAGGGCCATTCAAGCGGTTGAACGTCTGCTTCCTGCAAGCCAAGTGCAGGAAAGGCAGCCTGGGGACGCAGAGAGTTGCATCCGACTGTTGGGACACGGGTGGGCCCTGGGGTGACAAGGAGACAGGACCCCCTCGGGGCTGTGGGAAGACAGGGCCGTTTGATGGAAAGGAAGGCTTGGCTCGGGGGACTCCGAGACCTCCGAGAGGGGAGGAAGGCAGGCCTTGTGCCACGCACCTGCCCCGCCCCCAGGCCTTCGCCCCGTATCGATCAGCCCTACGTACCGGGGAGCGGAACGGAGGAGCTGGCGACGCCCAGGTCGTTGGAGGCGCGGAGGGAGGCGTTCCGGGGCGGGCCGTGCAGCTGCACCCTCACGGTGTGGTTGGCGAGCCAAGGGTAGGTCTGGGCGTCCAGCAGCAGGAAGCGGGAGGCATTGACCGTCACCTGCCCGTCCTGGTCCACCCAGGTCACGTCGGCCGGCGGGTTGGCTTGGACCAGCACGAAGAGCACCAGCAGGAGGCCAGGCTCGCTCGCTTCGCGGTAATAGGCGTCCACCTTCACGATTTCGGGCTGAACTGCATTCGGACAGAGGGCCGCAGCCGCGCCGGTCAGCCTCCATCCCGCTTCTTCCCTCCGGGGCCCCAGCCCGCACCCCCCCCAGCCCCCGCCGGCCGCGCTCACACTGCACATTGAGGAGGACCGAGGCGGTGGAGATGCGCCCCGTGGCCGGGTCGGTGGCGGCGCAGTCCAGCCGGTGGTCCACCCGCCGCGCCGTCACCACGAAAATGCCGCGGCCGTCCTCCCCCGAGGCGTCGCCGGCCGCCGCCAGGGGCCTCCCGGATGCGTTGGTCTCCTGCCGCTCCCCGTTGAGGTACCAGGTGAGGTTGGGGGCCGCCGCCAGGCAGGTGAAGGCGCGGCTCTCGGCCTCCCGCAAGCTGCTCACCGACAGAGCCCGCCCGTCGATCCTGGTCTCCGACGTCGCCACCGCGCCTGCGGCCGAACGGAGCGGAGGTTACCGGCCGGGGGGAGCCGTCGGCCGCGAGAGAAAAGCGCGCCGCCCGCCGCCCTACCTGGCGTGGCGCGCCGCAGTAGGAACGGCAGCAGCAGCAGCAGCAGCTGCAACGGCGCGGGGCTTCCGGCCGCCGAGCCGCCTCTCCGGCGCCGGCCGGTTGAGCGGAGGGGCCGCCCCGGGGACAGCAGCCAGCCTCTGGGGGGCGGCGCGCCTCGCGCTGCGGGACACCGAGCCGCGTCCATCCTGAGCTGCGCGGCGAGGCCGGAAGGGCCGGAGCACCGCAGGCCGGTCACCTCCAGGATGCGGCAACAGCGTTTGCAGCCGAACGGCACGTCAGAAATCCCGACCTGCATTTCTCGGTCCGAAGGCTCGCGATCCTGCCCGAATACCGCCGCCACCCGCCTTGGGTATGGCCGGCGGCGACCTGAAAAAGCGGCGAGTGAGCAGCGAGGGCCTCTTCCCCCTCCCTCCCTGCTTCCGCAGGGGGCTGCTGTGCCCCGGAGCTGCTGGCGGGGGACCCGGGCGACAAAAGCAGGCCTTGGTTCGCGTCTCAAGCCGTGGCCTTTATTCAGCTGCCCCTTCGCCCCCCCCCCCTTCCAACGTCAGGCTCAGCAAGTCTCCTTCTCCTCTTTCGGGTGAGATTTCCTCATCACTTCCGATAACATCTGGTTGCAGAGGGCTGCATAAGGGTTCATCAACGCCAGCTGTCGGCGGGCAAAGATGCTGCCCAGGGCGGCCGCCTGCTCAAAGCTGCTCCGGGCCGCTTCGTCCTGGCCTTGCAATCGCTGGATCAGCCCGCGTTGCACAAAACCTTGGCGCGCCACCGGCCCGACCCCTTTGCTGAGCTTCAGGGCTGCCTCCAAGTCTTCCAGCGCCTCTGGTGGGATGGAAAAAGAAAGCGTGGCCGAGTTAATTAAATAAACGTCGGGTCAGTGCCTAGTACAAACAGGCACCCTCTCTGTGGGCTCCAGGAAACCGGAGCCCTTAATGGCACAGGTGGGGCTGCCCACTGCACCCTTGTCCCATTCCCAGAAGCTTGGCCTGGAGGGAGGGAGGGAGGGATAGGCCTGGTCAGAGGAACATTCTTGAAAGGCACATGTGATGGTCTCGTTCTACGTTTCTGTCCTGCGTGCCTATTAAGTTTTGGTTCCTTTCTTTTTGACCTAATTGTGAGTCATATTGTGAGTTGGATAGCCATATAAATCATAAACAATGGAGGGATCTGAAAAGGAACAGGATCAAAGAGGGAGCGTGGAAGTTCGGGAGGCACTCCAGTCACCTGCCATGTTTGTATGACCGGTTGTCCCAATGGATGGGAACCCCTCTTGCAAGGAAGCCTTATACTTCTAGAGCAGCTGCTGGCAGTTTTGCTTATGGACCCAACAAAACCCAAAAATGCTCTGCTTAAGATGAAGAGACCCAAGCGGATATAAAGAGATGGTCTTGCTTTGTGCTTTGGACCAGATGCCCTGCCTTCGTGCCCTCAGCGAATGTGGTTTCTCCCTACTCCAGGCCGAGGGCAGCCATGGTCACCAGTGGAGAGGAGGAGGGATGAAGCCCTGAGTACACTTACTTGTGACATCCCCTTTGAGCCGAAGAGCTTGTGCACGGTTGTTGAAGGCCGAGGCTCGTGCTGGAAGCAGCTGGATGGCTTGGTTCAACTTTTCCAGAGCCAGGGCCAGCTCTCCTCCTTCAGCTGCTGCGATTCCCTGGGCCTCCAGGTGAGTGGCTTGCCTGAGCAGCTCAGGATCAAAGCCGCCTTCTGTCACCAGCGTGAGAAGCAGACTCAGGAAAAAGGGGGCTGGCTCTGGCAACTAATAATTTTTAGAGCCCGCCAGATGCCAATGCCACCCCAGAAACGATAGGTCCCAAGCAAGTCTTCAAAGCTAAGCTTTCTTACACAGGCACTTGTAGTAGCCAAGCAGCCGTGCCTCCCCCACCCCCTCCCCCTCGATGGTCACTTGGCTTGCCTTTTGAAAGGCCGACTGCCCTTCAATGGGAAGGAAGCAACAGGTTAAGCCCCGAGCCCTACAGCCTCACGGCTTTTTGAAGCATGAACAAAGGTAGCAAGTGTCTGAAAGCAGCCTGCCAACCTTTTCCTCCCGGTCCCAGTTTTGGAGAGTGATGGGCAAAATCTCTCTGCCAACCAGCCCTTTCAAGTGACTGATTTGAAAATGATTTGTGAGAAACAGGTTAAGGAATCTGTTGAGAGCCCAGAGATCGGAGGCATCTCCTTGCTCCCGAGAGCTTGCAAAAAGAGAAGCCTCTGAAGTTTATGGGGGAAAAAACCTCCCCCCACCCCAATGGAAGCGAGTCATCACCTTGAATTGCTTGCTTCCCCTTCTCCTCCTGGAAATCTTCATCAAAAGGAACATTTGGGTAGAAAAGAGTTTGCAAAACTGCCCGATCCTTCATGGTGGCCATGTTGAAACCCTGATGAGTTCTGTGGGGAGGCTCACTTCAAAGAGAATGCTCTGGCTGGGGAGGAAGGGGCTGGTCCAACAGCAGCCAATGGCCATGAGGGAGGAGCGGGGCGGTGCCCGCCAGCCTCCTACAGTGCAGAAGGCAGAGAGGGGCAGCTGTTGGAGTGTGATCAGTGAGCTGAAGTGGAAGTTGAAGTCCTGTCCCCTTTTCCTGAGCATATTTGCACAGGTGAGATGGGGAAGGCCAGAAAGAGCAGGACCGAGGCTGCACAGGAGAGGAACTGGGTGGAGACAGGACTCCATCTCAGACAAATCCACTGAACAGGAAATGTGGGGCTAGTAGATGAACCATCTGACTCTAGAGGATGGGGCTTCCTGGTACGGGAATTGTGGCATGAATCCAGCCTTTGTGGAGAGCAAAGGGAGCTGCTGCAGTGGTCAGCATCCAACCCTCAGGCCTTTGTGCCTGACAAGCCAACTCAAATGGGGGCGGTTTTCTCCTCTCCCGACTCCCCTGCCCATCAGATGCTGCTGCAGTGGCCCCGCCAGGTGCCCTGAGAGGGCCAGGCAGGAGTAAGGCCCCACAACTATTTTGTTATAAGCTGCCTTGAAGACTTTGTTGAAAGGTAGGTACACTTGCCATTCCCTCTTGCCCAGGAGCAGAGATGGAGACATCAGTCTGACTTGAGTGACTTCGGGGAACACTAGAGAATAGCAGGGGGCAAAGTACAGTACAATCCCCAGGAGGACCATTAATAGAAGGCCGAATTGATGTGCTTTACCTTCTGGCTTTCCATTTTATGATTGGTTGATCATTATAAATACTAACTCTTATGTATTACTGATTAGAAATACATCCTTAGTTATTGAGAATATTGAGAAGAATTCGGCTTCCATCAGCAAGAGACGGCAGAAACAAGCATTTTGGCTGAGTGGCAGGAAAAGGACAAAAATCTGCACGCTTCTCACATTGGTTCATCTGCTTGAAAGTAATGAAAACCCATTTTCTCCAGACCAAGTGTGGCGATTGATTTAACAGGGCTTTATTCTTTAGGCTTCCTGTGAGAAAATGCCGCGGAGGAAAAGAAACCAAAAATACGAAACCTCCCAGCAAAGACTGGACCGAGTCGTTCGCTTGCTCTCTTCAGGATTCTGGAGGGAAGCTGCTGCTGGAGACTTTTGCCTTGGGTCTCCTTCAAAGACCTCCAGGGGGGAGCAAGGCTGGAGGTTTTTGCACAATCCCTTGTTTTGGGCATGCAGCATTTGGAAACCTGCGGACCCAACCAGCAAAAGATACTGGAATACAGAACTGGGAGGTCAATGGCTGTCTCGTGTGTGGGGAAGAAGGCCTTTCTTTGGTGCAGGCAAGGAGAACAACAGACTGGCCTGGGAAAAGTCTCAGCCCTGATCAAAAGAAACCCCATCCTTTGAAGCAATAAACTTGACATGTTTATTAATTAAACTATCACTTAAATAAAAAAGTGCATAGAAAATAAACATGTTTAAAAACTCCTTTTTTTGTACAACTATATACACTTATTTTTACATTCAGTCTTTCAGTCATTTCTTAAAACTATTGAAAGTACTTCCTTCATCCCTGTAACAATGACAGGGAATTAACACTGATGCAGCACAAGCAACACATTTCCTCTTTTTAAAGAAAAAAAAAAAACTCATTTTGGAAGAACACAAGAAAAAAAGAGAAATTGGTTTTACATGATAAGTTGCTTTTTGTATGGATCAGAGCCCTGTTTATGTAGCTTTTGCAAAGTGGCTTGAGACATTTATTCACTACCTGTAGCTACTGAAGACGCTGAATCCAAGAAACACCACGGGCACAGTTCTTGGTGGGAAGGCGAAGCTGCAAGACCTTATTAAGAGACCAGAAAGCGCACAATGCAGGCGAGGAGCTCCACCAACTGGAATCCAAAAAGGAAGAGGCGGAGGAGAGAAGCAAGTTGTACAAGGATTGACTATTAAACACAGAAGGTCAGGAGCATCCACAGCAGCCAAGTCTCCAGCCTCACTTCTGGGAGGTCTGCATACAGCTCCCCACATCCCCCCGCAATGGGAGCCGGGTCCAGTGGAGGCGGCATCCACTGCCCGTGGAGCTCTTGGCGTGTTGTTTTTCCTGCCTTTTCAGCAACTGTAACACAACCATTATCTAAAGGGTTAAAGGGAATTCAAAGCCAGGCTTCAAGACACAATGCAGTACGATATTAGTCCTATAGATACCTTATTTATAGTCATAAAAACTTGCAGGCGTGTGGGGGGGGGAAGAGCAGGAGATGAGCCAACAACAACCTGGCCAAATGACATGATTCTGCACAGAGGATGAATTTGACTGAAAACCCGGTATTGCTTCACAACAAAGAAGAGAAGATTCTTGCCCAGCCCTTTGCAGTGACCCGCTTTTCCTTTAAAAAAAATAAAACCTCTAAAGGGTGGACTGACTTAGTATTCTTCGATCTCACGATCTGTCAGTTCTTAGAAAGATACATTCATATTTCCAGGAAGCTTCCTTTTGCTCCCTTCTCCTTGCCCCTCTGGAGAGGCAGCCTCTCCCAGCCTCCCCCTCAGGTGCAGCAGCAGCATTCTGGGGTTCAGAGCAGCCCAAAGCAGCTCTGCTGCTGCTCAGGACAGCTAGGTTAGCAACAGGAGGAGGAAGAGATGCCTGTGAAGGGGGACCCAACCAAATTTTGCTTGAGCCGAAATTCGGAGCCTTCAGAGAAAAGGGAGCAGCCTTTTCTAGCAGCCACAGAGCAACCCAGCAGCCAAGACGGAAAGAGCAGCTTTAGGCAGCAACTGCCTCTCCCTTTTAACCCCACCTGACTCGTGCCTCTTTCTCCCGAACTGCCTCATGGGTACAAAGGTCTGGCCAGCTTGGGACAGCAAAGGTGACGGTCAGAAGCAGCAACTCCTACTTTCCAGGAGAGGGGTGGGTGGGTTCCCGGTAGCAGAAGCCAGGGCTTTGCACTGAGGGGCTTAGCTGGGGCAGGCCGTGATTCTGCTCCCTTCTAAGAGATGTGCAGAGTTGATCTGTCTTGCCTCCAGAGTAAGATAGACCAGGGCACAGCCTGGTGAGAAACTGAATGTTTACTTCTCTGGCCTGAACCAAGGCAGGAGAAGGAGGGAAGGTTAGAGAGAATCCCGGCGGTTTCCAGGGAGAGTCGACTGCTGGAGAACGGAAGGCCCACCAAACGGTTCCATCCTCTCCAGAAAATGGGAGAACGCTTCTTAAGGGGCAGCCGAAGCAGCACCCAGAAAAATCTCCTTTCCCTCCTGAGGGAGAATCAGGATGTTCCTGACCCAACCTTGGAAAGACCATCCTATTAAAATAAAACATTCACCCTTAAAATGGATTCTTTTTTAAGTCAAGAAGCAACCATGACTGAAAAAATAGTCTCCTAAGTGCTCTTTCCTATGAAGTGCTGCTCATAGAAAAATATACAAAATATATTTACATTTATAAAATTTTTAAATACTAAAATGTAAACAGAACCAAGGAAAATCCAAAGACTTAATTCGAGATGGTGCAACTGAAGGAGGCTGAGGGGGACTGTTTCTAGAGGCTTGAAAAGGGTCATGGATTTCACCAAGTCCAGGCTCCCTCATCTCCTTTGCGAATGCTGTGGCTGCTGCTCTTCCAGCGGCTGCCACAGCAGCTCCGGCCAGACTGACCAGCGCTTTTCCTCCTCAGGAAACAAGCTGCGCCCGGGATGCTCCAATTCGAGTTTGGGGGCCACTAAATTTCTGAGACGGGGCCAGTGGAGGAGGGTCAGTTGTAAACGTTCAGTACGAGAGGCGGTTCTCTGGGACAGAAGCTCCTCCTCCAAAGGTCTGCTTGGCCTCTGAAAGCTCATTTGCCCAAACTGCTGCCTTGGCCACAGGAATTTTGGAGAACCACCACTCGGCTGCCAGCCCAAGCTGGAAGGTGAGGGTAGGGCGCACATTCCAAACTTGAAGAGGCAGCCAGGTGCTCGTGCCGGTTCAGCACAATCTTGGTTGCTGCAGCCCACATTCCCATTTTCTTAGTCCCACCACAGCACACCAACATCCACCTCGCTCTGAGCAGGGTATGCCAGATCAAGCCAACGCATCTGTGGCTGTGGAGGAGCACCAGCACCTGGCTCTCCTCTGGCCACTGGTGTGGCTCAGCTCAGCTGCTCAGTTGAGGAAACGTCGGCATTTCTTGGCACCGCAATTGCAGAGCAGCTTGTTGCTGGCATCTTCAATGGGAAACTTGTAATCGTAGGTGAGCTCTTCACCACGGTAGATCTTGCGCATTGCGAAGATGACGATGTGCTTCTGCCCGTCGATGTTGATGACTCGGGAGTAGCAGTTGGGCTCACAGGAGTGGTTGATGAAGCGTGCTGCATTCCCATGCATGGTGGCGTCCACGACTTCTGAGTCGTCGATACGGAACATGTAGCAGCCGATGCCCTGGGAGACAGAGAGCATATGTGATGGTGAGATCTCCAGAGCCACTCCCGACCAGATGGGACAGTCCTACCAAAGCCAGACCAACTCACCACTCCGCAGTCTACAGATCTGGGCAACTGTTCCACGAGTAAAACTGCCTAGCCGCTCACTCACCTTACTGTCATAATATTTCTCGCGTTTGTCAGTTAATATGGAGCGAATCACATTGCCAGCATATTCAATCACCATCTCCCCTGCATCAATGTTCCTTTTGCAGAAGAGGCCCCGTCCATGGATAGGAGACCTGGCAGGATGGCAGAGGACACAAAGCTGATAAGCCTCGCGCTGTTCCTGGGGGCATCTGGCAAGTGAGCCTTCCTTCAAACATCTCCAAGCTCAAAAATGTCATGAGGTCTCCCAGGGCTGATTCCCTAGGTCGGTTGGCTCAAATTTCTCCTCCTCCCTCTTTTCTGTCAGAACCCCCACTTACCTGTAAACCCCAACTGCCTCCTTGGAGGTCTTCCTCAAGTGTCGGAAGCGCATGGGCATCGGAAGATCCATGCTGGTCGCTCTCCTGAAGACAGATGAGGAAGAGTCTGCTTGATGGCAACCTCTGACAATAAGCATGACTTCATCAACCTGAATGCTTGAGGCAGCCCCAAACCTCCTCCTTGAAGCATGACAGGACCCTTCCTCCCCTGGCTTTGGGTTCTGGTCCCTTTGCGAATTTACTACCATCCATCATGGCTTACAGCTCAGCTGTAGGAATCCAAGCCCCCTCCTCCCATCTACAGTGATTTACAAAAAGCCACAGCCTGATAGCTTTTCCCTCCTGTTACGTACCGGGCAGATTTCAGCTGCACCTCCTCTTCCTCCTCATCGTTGGGATTGTACTGTGGGGGCCGACGATGCTTAGAAGCCAGAAAGTTGAACATGTCAAGACCAGATTTCCTGCAGTGCAGAGGAGAAGCATCCCGCATTACACCGACTGCCACGGCAGCAGGTTTCCAGCTATGTTCCAGCTCAGACAAGAACAGCAGCGAGGGAGGGCTGGCCTGGCCCAAATGCCTTATGGCTCACCACTTTGCTCTGGCCTCAAAGAACTGATCTCCCTTTCCCCCCTTGTCCCTTCCGCTTCTTGTCTTTTAGATTGCCTGCCTTTCTCCTTTAATGGCTCTGAGCCACTGTGGAAGACTGTAATTGTCTGAAAAATGGGATAAAATACAACACATGAAGAACTTTTAAACAAAAAGAGGCAAGCAGAGAACAATGCTTTGGGGGGGAAGCATGCTGTGCCCACCCCAAATTTTGGAGAAAAGGTGCTACTTTATTCTTCCCCCTCTCACTGCAAGGCCCTAAGATTTCTCTTTCAGCAGCAGAAGCAGCAGCAACAGCAGCAACTTTGGGGAGAAAAGGGGAAGGAGCAGGAGTCCACTTGCCTGAGGTGCCCTTCAGCCCTGGCAGAGCCGTGGGGGTTCACGGGAGGCTCCTTGGCTTCCTCCGGCTTGTGGAACCTGAACTTGTAGTTGGAGCAATGCTTGGCTCCACAGAGTTGCTCTATCAGGAACACAACAGCATGGTGGAGAATGCCCAGCATCTGCAGCCCACTCACACCTGGAAGAGGGAGAGGCGGGAAGAGCAGCTGTGGCCCCAACTGAACAGGGCAAGGTAGATCAGGCTAAACCCACCTTCGGAGCAAAGGCCGAAGGGCTGGAGAGGGAAGCTGCCTGGCTTGGAACCCAACTGAAGCTGCTGAAGTGGCAGCAGCTCAAGGTAAACCTTTTCTGCCCGGTCAGAAGGGCCTCAGTCAGCACAGCACCTGGCCTGGACGCCAAGCCCTGCTCCCACCCTCACCACTCCAGCCCTCTTGGAAACAGTGCAAGGGCTGTTCTGAATGGAAAGGGAACCGTGTGGCGAGTGCAGCGAACAGAGCCTTGCCCTCTCAGTTTCCCCTCCAGCTGCTGGCACCTGCGAAGGACAGCTGTTTCAGGCGTGCGTTCGACCGAGCTTCTTGAACTTTGTCTGTCAAGGACTTCCAGGCTTCTAAGGTGAAGAGAGCAATCAAGGATTTAACAGAAGACGACACCCAACAGTGTCACACAACCCCTTTGATGCAAGGCTCCTGGGCCCACCTTCAATACTTTCTGCACAGATCTGGAAGCCATCATCACTGGAGATTTCAAAAACCAGTCCTTTCTTGGGCTTCTTCTCTGCAAGGCTTTCTTTCCGCTTTCGCTCCTGCTGCAGCCAGAACATGAGGGGGGAGCTAAAGCTGCTTTCTTCCTCTTCTTCCTCTTCTTCCTCCTCCTCAGCATTGGAATCTGGAGGGAAAAAAGGAACCCTCCTGACTTCTCAGCCACATAAATCATCAAAGACCAAATAGGAAACATTCCAAGAAAAGTTCCCAGCAAAGCAGGACTGTGATATACAGACCTCCAAGTCCTGCAGCTCTCTGGCAGGGCAAAGGGACACCTGCCTTCACGTACCTGGACGCTCTAACTCGTTTGAAGAGGATGGTGTTGGCTGCACTGGTGGCGGAGGCTGTAAAGGCCTGTGGAGGGGAGGAAAAGGCCAAGAGACCCATTTCAGCTGCAGGCCTTCAATATAACCGAGATGCCTGCCACCATCTCCGGTTAGCTTAGTAGTTTGACAGGCACACGCTAAGTTTTGGAAAGTTTTCTGGGAGGTGCCTACATGTTTGGTGGGAGAACAGATTTGCAACAGAAGACCTTTGGCCGCAACGGTCATCCGCTCTTCTGAAGCCTCAAGAAGCATCGCCGATTCTATGGTGCTGAACACTCAGCAAATGTGGACATTTCTAAAATAAGAACTGGAGCTCTGTTTCCCTGGCTGTTTTGAAATCCACCGAATTTTCACTGGCATTTTTGGCATGGTGAGAGACGCCAAATCTAGGAATGATTCTTGCCTAGAAAGCCAGTGGGTGTGTGCATGGCCTTGGACGCTTCCTCCTCCCACCAGACTTAGCCCCAAAAGATCCACTTACCCTGCTGATTTGTGGGCTGGCTGCAGGATGTCTGTTGCCTCGTCTGGCTGCACCCTCAAGGGCTGGGGCCTAGGAGACAAGGGCAGGCAAAACATAGCTTGGAAGTCGGGCTTACCACAAATCCAGCGACACTGCCGCTGAACTGTGAGACCCCTGTGACTTTCACCAGGCCGGGGAGAGGCTAGTTCCTAGAGCAAACACTGGCAAAAGCACAGCAGAGGCATCACCTTGGGCTCCCCATGGTGCTTTTAGAACCAACCAAGGCAGTCCAAACCAGCCAGTGCCCCTCCCCCCATCCTGTTGATTTGGCAGCAGGGCAGAGGGAACTCGCCTCTCAGCCAGCGGGCAGCAAGTACCACAGAAGGGCTGAGGGGCTTGCTTGGAAAGGGGGGGGGAGTCAGGACCACAGCTCTCTCACCCTCCACCTGGGTCCTGGGCTGCCACCCTCGTGCCTTGTGGTGGAACGCACTGGCCAGGAAAGCTGTTCCAGAATGGAGGTGCCCTGGGTTTCTTCCCGGATCCTTTGCTGCCCAAAGAGGTCGGCAAGCGCTTGACTTTGGATTTGGCCCTGGTGGAGCCCAGCACGGTAGAAGGGGAGCTCCCAGGAGAGGCTGTGGGGACACAGGGGGCCGATCTGTTTCGCCCCATGGCTGCCGTATCCATCAGCTGGGGGAAGTCTGAAAGGGGAGTTGCCTGTGAGGGGGGGAGGTCCAGGTGAGGGTGGGCCGGCCCAGCCTTGCAAGCGAGAAGCTGTGCGAGAGGCTCAGCCTGGTAGGCGCTTCCAGGATCGGCAGACATGCCCACGGCCTTCGAGGGAGGCAAAACAGAGATGCCGGTGGCTACAGCAGTCGTTGCTGGCCCCGCAGAGGCAGACTGGGCCAACGAAACCTCCTTGTGCGACGGAAACATCCTGGAAGCTGGCGGCGGCGCTGAAGCAGGCTGCTCCGGGAGGCTCAGCCCTTGTCGAGTGGCTTTGATTAACAGGCTGCTGAGGGAGCTCATATCTGAAACGCCCGGCACGTCAGAGTTCCCTTGTCCCAACAGGTGGGGCGGGACCACTGGGCCGGGGGTAGGTGCTGGCAAGGGGGCCACATTCCGCCCAGGTGGAGGGGAGGCTATGCTGGGAGATGCTCCAAGAGCTGCCTCTGCAGCAGCTGTTCCCACCTCCTGAGGCAACAGAGGCGCCTGCTCAAAGTATATGACCCCTGGCTTGGAGCGCTTGATCATGCTGGGTACGGTTCGAGGGCACGCGGCTCCCAGATCGAGCAGGCCTGGGTGGCCAGGCGGGGAGGACCGAGGGAAGTTCATTGAGGCCAGGTCCGAAGGAGCAGCGGCAGAAGGAGCAGGCTTCTTGGCCCTTCGGGAATGCAGGCGCGCAATGGGCCGCTTCTTGCCCAGGCTAGTAGGAGGGGGGGTGACTGCAGGCCCAATATCTGCCCTAGGATTCACCTCGGGGTCAGGCAACTGCTGGACCCCAATCAGAAGGCTCGAGGCAGCGCTGCCAAGGGCTGCTGGGAAGCTGCCGGTGCCGCCACCGCCGCCACTGCCACCGGAGGGGCTGGCCGAAAAGGAATGCAAGTGCTGCTGATGAGGCATGGGCAGCAGGCCTTTGCTGGCCGCAGGAAAGAGAGGTCTGGTGGAAGGTAAGCCGGGGCTCAGGCCTGCAGCCAGTGCAAGGCTGGCCGTGTCCATTGGGCCCAGCACAGAAGCCCCGGCCTCCATCCCGGCTGGCCCAGAGCTGATGGGAGAAGTCAGCTGAATCTTTTGGGTGAGGCCGTTGGGGAGCGTCTGAAGGACGTACAGAGGCTGCATATTCTGGTTGACCACCAAGAGCTTTTCCGCAGCAGCCTTCAGGTGGAGAGGGGCAGTCTGCACGGCAGCATTTGAGATGGGAGACGGGCCGGGCTTGTCAGGGGCACTTGGCCCATATTTGGGGTTCTGGAGCGGGAGGGAGGGAGAAACGGGAAGGCTGGGGGTCCCGCTGCTTCTGCCAGCCAGATCTTGGCCAGCCCCGAGACCAGCTTCCCTCGGTCCACAGGGCGGGCTGGCCATGTGCTCTGCTTCCAGGTGGCCCTGAATGAAAGGGTCGGGGGTCAGAGGGCCCTCGGGGCTTGGGGCCACTCGTGGGCTTAGCAATGTTGGCTCTGCTTCACTGGAGGAAGCCTTTTCTGTGACCGTCACCCTCTTCTCAGCAGAATCTGAGGAAGGGAGAGTTAACATTGATCTCTCCCCTGAGGTGGCAAGGGAAGGTTCTGGAATGACTGCAAGTCTGCTGTGGTTCTGACTGGGGACTGCGGGGCTCCGAGTAGTCAAGACTGAGAGATCCGAAGGCAGCTCTAAGGGCAGCTCAAATTGTTCCTCTGCTGAAATGGAAGATGAGACGCTGCTGTCTACTGGCTCGGCTGTTGGCAGCTGCTGAGAAAACACTTCAAAGAGAGCCATATCTTTGCCCCGATTGCTGTCGAGCCCCAGTCCTTCTCCCAGAGTCAGGAGCTCCGAGGACGACGACTCCGGGCTCTCCCCCAGGGCCTGCATCGAGGGGGTGTTTTTCAGAACAAAGTCCATGATGTCTGAAGGAAGAATGTTCCCACAATCGTCACTGTTATTATTGTCGGAATCGGACTTCAGCAGTTCTGTGCTGAATGTATCCAGCAAGTTCTTCTCAGAGGGCTCCGTGTTGGCACGAGGACGACGACCAACAGCTTCTAGGGAGCTCAGCTGAGCTTCCAAAGAATCTTGAGTTTTGACCCGGCAATTCTCCATTTTGGGATCAGCTGTTTTATGGCCAACTGAACTCTTGGTCACTTGCATTTTCTCCCCACTATCTTCACTTCGTTCAAGTTTTAAGTTTTCTGTTCCATTTTCTTTGCCGCTCCTTTTGTTTCCTGAACTGATTTTCCTCGTCGTTACCGTGATGCTTGCATCACTTTCTGTTCCATCATCCACACCATCCAGCTGAGAGATTTTGGGGAGATTGATCTGTTCCTCTTCACGGAATAAACTATGAGAAGCCATGTGCTCATCTGAGCTTGAGACAACCGTTCGGGTGAAGTTGTAGTAATACAGGTCCTCTTCATCTGATGTGCTGAGGTCATCGGCACCGTCCACTTGGCCTTCAGCAGACCGCCTGCCTCTCTTCTTGCCGGTGGAGTTGCTGTAGAAGGGAAGGTCTTCTTCACCATATGACCTCACACCATACAAAGGTGTCAGACCAAAAAACATGTTGGATCTGGCACGCGCACTACGCCGAGGGTATCGCCGCTTGTAGGACCCATCTTCCTGTTCTTTGGCTCCATCCTGGATCATCAAGCTGCTGTCTTGAACAGGCAGATTTGGATAAGGGGGATCACTTGTGGCCATTGAGGAGGAAGCAGAGCTTTGCGTTTCTGGGACAATACAGTCATTTCCTGAGTGCTCTAGAATGGAAGCCGACTGGGGCACAGATGTGCAAACCCCTGGCTGAGATTCTGCATTGTGTTCTCTCGGAACATTTTTGGACTGGCTCTCACCTTCCATCTTGAGCGGAGTCAGGGTTACTTTTACTGTGCGCTTCTGTGAATTCTGCAAATCCTTGGAGGTGGCCATTTCACCCTGGAAAGCAGTTTTGGATGTCTCCTGGCCAAGGAGGCTATTGTCAATGAGTTTCTCAACAGCAATGCTGTTATATTGCTGCTGAAGAATATGCTCAGATGTCATTGCCCGATGAACAAATTCTGTCTCTGCGCATTCTTTGTGGCTACTTGGGAGGACACTTAAACTTCTAAAAAGCTTACTAGAATGTCTCTCTTTTGTCCCCTTCTTCATTTTTTGTCTCCTCTCTCTACCCACAGACACTGAATCGTTTGTGCATGGAGATTGATTCCTTGAAAATGGTGAGGTCTTTGCTTCTGGGGCTTCATAAAAGCAATTTTTGTCTGTCTGTGTTAGATGCCGGTCTTGTTCCTTCTTTGGGGGGTTCTGATGCAACAGTGCAGAAACTATGGATTCTTTGGGAGAAAGCAGTCCAGAAGAGGAGTCTAGGTACTTCCCTCCCTTGCTTGGGTTTCCTTCTGGACTAGAGATACTTTGTCCAGGGCAGCCTGTTTTTGAATTCCCACAGGAAGAACTCGGATCTTTGGGGCTCAGCAGCTTCTCCTTCTCTAATTTGGCAGAAAAGGGCCCTCCAGAAGGCACAGTTTCAAAGGAGAGGATTCCCTCCCGAGGAGCAGCTCCTCTGCCTCCGCTTAGGATGGCCGGACTGGGAGGGGCAAATGTGTCCTGCAGTGCAACGTGCAAGGCTGCTGGTCCCATAGAGCGTTCGGTATGTTTGATGCTCACGCTGTGCTCTGGGATGGGACTCCTGCTGGGTCCTGAAGAGATGGTGCTGTGCTGAGCATTAGTGGCCCCAACTCTGGTGGGAGGCAGCATCCAAGACCTCAGTGGCTGTGAAAACAGAGATGCGCTGGGCCTCCGGGAGCCAATGCTCCGAAGTCCAGAGGATAACAGAGGATCTCCCACAGTTACGATCTCATGTGTCACAGGGGTAGGGCTTCCTAAGGAGAGATAATTTTTTAAAGAAGAAAATTGAACATAACGAACCTCAAAGAAACCTGATCCCCAGGGTTAAGCACTTCTTGTCCCTAGCTCAGTTCTGCTTTTTCCCTCAGACAAATCCATCATGATTTGGGTGCTTTTGAAGGTAGAAAGATAGGCTTTGACTCAAAATAACACACCAGGACTGGGAAAGTAAAGGGAACGAAATTTCTCCCAGGCTTTAAGTTATAATAGGGCTAGTTTAGTCTTATCTGGAAATACTTTTTAAGATATTTAAATTAAATAAATATCTGAATATAGTTTTAAGTAAGAAAAAGAAGAATTCTGTATTCTCTAGATGTAGTTAAGTCAAAAGCTATCACAGAAAAAAGAGTTGTGAGCCAGACCTGCAGAAGGCAATGGCCTTGAACCCGGAGTTCGCTGGGAAGGAGCAAAACTTGGCGTTCTGATCCGCAGAGCCTTGAAGTTCTGAGGATGTGGAGAAAGATCTGCCGTGGGAGGGTTTAGGTCAGCTGATGCTGCACGACCATCTCTGGGTGGAATTTCTGCTGCAGGAGAAAAACAGGACCATCATTTGATTTGAATTAAAATCAAAATGTATTTGAACCGACTATTTCAAGGGGGAAAAAATCAGAAAGAATAATTTCTCCTCAATAACTTCTATTTCCATAGGAAAGGGAAAGGGCCCTCACACCACATCAACTAGAGGTGAGAACTATACATGTTGGGAGGGATGATTTTATGACTAAATATTGCTCCAGCAACATTTCTGAGAAATTCCACCTGCCCTCCATTAGGCAAAAGAACCCTGAAAGTAGGCCTATTCTAAATGCCAATTTCTAGAGCTAAGGAAGTGGAAGCTGCACTGACCACTCAGCCCCTTTCCACCTTCCTCTGGAGCTAGAAAGAAGTATTTTTGCAGGTGAACTTCTCAGCCCTCAATTCAAAGGCAGTTCTGAAAAGGAACTGCCCAGGCAAGACAAGCAGCAGATCAGAGGTAGCTGCCAGCTTGATACCCTCTTCTGTTGCCCCACACCTGAAAGTGACACTGGGCTGTGGACAATGGTCCGGTTGTCATCATGTTCCATGGTGCTGTTGATGTCAGAGTCTAGGAGAGGAGGACGGCATTCCATGATCTTGCACGTGTAAACACAACGTTTTCGAGCATCAGTTGTGCTCCAGTAAACCCGGGAGCACCTGGACAAACAGTATATACATTGGATAAGTGCTGGGACAATAACATAATTTTTTTGGAAATTTTGAAGCCACAGAAAAATGTTGGAACATTTTGGAAAAAGAAAACAAAAACAAAATAATTAAAAATTATCTTGTATAAAGTTTAATTTTCCACAACATGAATTCATTCAATTTATATTGGCTATAAAAGTAAGTAACATTACTAAAATAGAATAACTCAAGCTCCTTATCTTTCAATTACTATTTGATGACTTTTCCTGCTCTTTTAAGTTGTTTGGTTATGGGGGCTGGAATCTCAAGCAGCGGATTGCAAGAAGTGTCTAACCTGAGTATTTGGGACAGAGCTTGTCCACCTTGCTTTTGCAACTGCTGCTAGCTCACAACATAGGAATGTGTAGGGAAGACCTTCTGTTGTGCACATCATAAAAATTATGTACAGGGGAGGAAAGGGATTTAGCATATGGATGCCGTACCTTTAAAAGTACTCATTCTAAAGGAAGGTACAAGCTGTCCTCACTTAACAACTGCCTTGCTTACAACCATTTGAAATTATAATGGTAATGAAAAACTAACTTTACAACCAATCCTTGCATTAACAACCTTTGCAGGTCTGTAAAGCAAAAGAAAGCTGAAGTAAGACTGTAAGCACAGTTGTGCTTCACCTAATTACCAAGCTGCCAGTTGCAATTGTGGTCACAAAATGAGAACTACCTCGTATTTCATAATCCAATTAAAAATGAACAATGAAAAATAAGGAAACAAAAAAGGGATGAGGAAACAAGGCTGTTCTTTTTTTCATTTCTTGTGGAGAACCAGGCCAGCCAACCAGCACTGCCCTGCAGCCCAGGTTTCTTTCTGAAAGAGGTTGGGACACAGCTTCCACTTACTGATATCCAACTGGAAAGAGCTTGTCTTCGCAGTCAGAAAGGTCATTCAGGATGCCGAGACAGTCAATGCTCATCGACCCTACATGGAAGTAGAAGAAAGGCTGAAACACAAGAACAGCAGTGGCACAAGAGACCATCTATTCTGACCCCACTTCACAAGTGGTCTTACCAATCATCACATGGATGTTCTCTGGTTCCAAACCATTCAGAAACTTCCGCCTCAAGCTAATTCCTTCAAAATCCACAAAGACTCTTCTCAAGACCTCAAAGCCATTTTCTGGCACTATCTGCAAACAAACCCATGGCAGAATAAGTCATCCGGGCAAAAAACAAGTGAGGGAAAAAGAAAAGAGGCAAGTGGCATAGGACGTACCTCCCCTTTGATCAAATCCTTGTGCCGTGGGCAGTACACCTTCTTATCCTCCAAGAAGACACAATTTTTGGCCCGAGAACACATAAAATGGTAGTTACTGGTGCAAGTGGCCAGGCAGCAGCCGACTGTGGCACCCGACTTCTGGCAGAACTCACATCGCTGCAAGATTGGCATGTTACTCTGATTGTCAAACTGCACAAATACTGCACGGTTAAAATGAATGTTACGTATCTGATTAATATTATTATATCAGAGAACTCCTAATTGGTTCATCTTTTTTGCCCCTAGCTGTAAGCAAGCAAAGCTACTGGTCCTTTTTTTTTTTTTTTTTTTTTACAAATTAAGCACATATTTAAGGTTACAACATTGTATTTCACTCATTTAAACATACTTTTAAATCTATTTATTTAATTAACAAAGCAGCTGAGAAAGATCACCAGGCACTCTGAAACAATCCGAAGGAATCGGCACTTAAGGAAGAGACTGAGCCTCAGTTCAACTGCTTGGGGCAACTCCCACCTTAACTGCTGAAAAGTGCCTTTTTACGCCCCAGCCTGGCTGCTAAGAATCTGCCAAGGAGAGCCCATTCCACATTCTGCAGACTCCTTTTTTCCTGTTACTAGCATGACTGAAATAAAATAATAACATTGAACTCATAGATATATTTTTTTCAGATATTCTTTCAGAAGAAACCTTTTTCTTTTCTGAAAATACTGATCTGTGGTCCCACAACTGAAATTGCTATACAAAGAAGCTTCCTTGCGCCTGGAGTGGACAAGAAGAGAAACGCGGAAGAAAACTCATGCTACCCACCAGCTGCTTCCCACGAATCACAGCCACGTGCACGTTCTTCAGGGAACCATCCTCCTCCTCAAACACTTCAGCTGACCACAGGGCACAGTTCACGTGGGTCCACTCATTCTGGCCAATATAAAGGAGACGGCCAGCATCCTGTAGAAAAGCAAACAGCCCACCAAAGGCACTCACAGGCAGAAGTCCCACCCTGTTCAGGGAGGAAGTGCTGCTGACGGAAGAGCTGGTAAGTAGGAGGATGCTCAGAAAAGGCCCATTATTTTGGACTCAAATTGGAAGATGTCTCGACCCTCTGTAAATACTGCTAAGGTGCCTTCAGATTGTGGCCAAACGATTAGCCCAAGATTCCTCTCACAAACAGTTTATGCCTATTTAATTTTTATTTTTCCCTAATGCATGCTTTTGCATCTGTTTCTATTGTAACAAAATATCTGAATTTTATCCTGAGATTTTAACCGATCTCTCCCAGCTCTGAGTCATCTTTAAAGAATGGAAAGAATCCTTTAGTCACTAATATTTTTCTAGTATTCTTTTACGAAATGCTTCTTGAAAACCAGGCACTGAATTCTAGGCCTAGGCATGAAAGCTGGCCGGCCGGATGTCTTTAGGCCGGTCACTCTCTTTTAGCCAAACCCACATTACAAGATTGCTGCTGAGGTGAAAATGCGAGGCAGGTGTGTTGAATATGTTTGCTGCTTTGAGTTGACTAATTTTCTAAGTGGGATCAAAGTGTAACAATCTCTTTGATAGCATTATCTGCTAAGGGCATTTGCTCACCAAAGTCTCAAAGGGATTTAATTGAATGTTTTTAACTGACAAATGATATCACTCTAAGGTACGAAGATGACTCGAGATCAATCTGCCAAGATTAGTTTAAGTAGACGGAGCAAGCAGGAGCAGCTCAACAAGACTGAAATCGGGATCTGGCACTACTTACGTTGCCTCCATCATCACCGTACTTCAGGCAAAGAGCACACTGCCGGTTGTCTTCCACATCCGGAGGAGGGGAAAGTTCTAGGCTGTCATCTTGGCTTCTGTCGGGACCTCAAAGCAAATGGAAAGGATTAATTCCCAACAAAGAATATGAGAAAGAAACATGGAACGGAATTAACTATGGGAGCCATCGACCCAGTTACAAAGGGCAGAGCAGTAAGAGCTCTTTCAAGCAACGCAAAGAATTTGGAAGAGAGGGAAGGGAATGGGATGCATTTCATTCAGGCAGAAAGCGGACCCCAAGGCTCCTCTCTGCTCTCCCAATGCTCAAAAGCCCGTCTTCCAGGAGAACTTCCTACAGAGAGTGCAAGAAAAGAAGGCTCAATTTCTCACTGGATAAGGGTGAGGCAGGAGGACGCAGTGGCGTGGGAGAGTTTGGCTCTCCTGGCCCTTTGGGTTTTGGAGCTGGAATTATTTTCTTCATCAGAGGGGGCTGTTGCTGAGCAGAACGGTTTTCTTCGCGCTCCTGCCACTGTGCATAGTTATGGTCAAGGGAGGGGGGCAGGACAGCATTCGGCAGCATTCCACTGCTAAAAGACAATAAGAGACATGGCCATATGTTAGATGCAGCTCTGCACTTCCAAAGCCCTCCAGCTCTTCCCTCAGCTCTCTTCGGAGACAGAACGATGCCAGAGGACTCTTCCTTCTGGCACTCAACTGAAGTTGCCGCCTGCAGCCTGAGAGACCATTCAGAAGTCCACGTGATTTCCAAGGGACAACATTAAGGTACCACCTTTGCTTAGTGGGCAGGGAGTGACTTTGGGAAGCAGAGCAATTACTTACTTTGCCGTGACTTTGTTTGGTTCCCAAAATCTTGACTTCTTTACATTGAACCATGGAAAAACTCGTTCCATTTGCTAAAGAGGAAAACCACAATTTTAAATAAAGTTCAGTATTACATTGCTTGGCATTAACCTTTTAAGAAAACTGCCTCAGAGCTCGGCAATTTTATTGGAATGCTGCACTTATGATAGATTTAAAAACAGTTTCTTTGGAGAATCAGAGCTGCTCTGGGAACAAGGGCAACACCAAATTTCCTCAAGACAAGGCAAAATACAGCCTACCCTCATGAAGAAGGACTTCACCACACTGTTGGCCTTCTTGAGTTCCAGCTGCCCTCCATCCGCGTTGATAGCTGCTTGGATTATTTTAACAAGATCATCGCTGAACTCCAACTAGACGGGAAAAACAAGATGCACCTTAAGGCATGCCTCACTACCCTCAGGAGCTGTAGACTCTTACAGCATTTTCAATGGGCAGCTCCCTGGCCCAGCCATGCCGGAGTCAAATGGGTGGCCTCCTCTTCACTCACAGGAGGGCAACAACCATGCAAGAAGTGGCAACAAGATTGTGGCCTTTCAGTGCCACGCCACAGCGTATTTCATCTTGGCTTCAATTTTCTCTTCACCCCAGCAGAAGTCCTGAAAGTGAAGGTGGCCGACTGCGCCAAGACTTACCACAGAAGAATAGCTTCCTTGGTCCATCTTCCTTTTCACGCCTTCTAGATCGAGTGGTGGCTGTTCTTCCTGCTTGCCAACCTCTGTAAGTATGGGAGGGTCTGGGCCTTTGGGAGAACTTTGAGAGGGTACGCTTTCTTCTGTTTCAGGATTCAAGTCAGGAGGTTTGGCTGCCTGAAGACAGACAAGAGGGTAGAACATTTTCTGCAGAATTTTACAAACAATATGCTAATGCACAACATAGTAATCAAGGGGAGAGGGGTTACTTTCGCACATTAAGAAAATTAGTAGCCCTGTCTCTTGGACAACAGTTCTTCCACCTACCTTTCCACACATGCACACCTAGTACATTAATACCTGACACATTTTTAAACCTACAGCTCTTCCAACAATGCACATGTATCCATTGCATTCAGCTACTTTGGAACAGAAAAACTGGAGATTTCTGCAGGGGTTCACTTGGCGTTGGTGGTAGTGGTGTAAGGACCACCTCCTAAAACCTTGAAACCTAGGCATCATGAGGTCTAAGAGAGCTCATTGGTGCAAAGCAGTGTTTGTTTAGGATTCCTCCAACTTTAACTGACATAGGATAATAATTGCCATATGAATTGTGATAGTTGATACCAAACCTTCAGTTCTTAGCTTATAGAATTGACTTCAGACTAGTGATGCCTAGTTAATTCTGCTTTTTTTCCCTAGAAATTCTGCATTTCCAATAGCCAACATCTCCTAAATAGACAGACAGTTGGTTTGTTAGTTTGGGCAAGAAAAAAGGTAAACGTACCTGCCGATAACGCAGTAAGTGGCTGGTCGTTCTAGAGTTCAGCAGGGCTGTCAAAACCTGCTTTAAAGAAAGCTGCAGTTCTTTCTCGAGGGCCAGCCGCCATTCGGGAGGATGCTGTTCAGTGCAGTTAATGCAGGTGTAAGCCACGCTCTCCGGAAGGTTAGAGAGGATTTCATACATCTCATCTGAAGGAAGAAATGGTGATGGTTTCATGGGTGCCAGAAGGGTGTGTTGGTGCAGTGACAGGAAAGAGGGATAGGAGGATAAGGGCTTGACTATGTTCTGAGGTCTCAGGATTAAGTGAATGTGGCACCTGCCAACTCGGCCAACTTACGCATGAGAGGAATGTGCCCTGCTGGACATCTGGAACAGGAGTTTATATGGGAGTCTGCTAGTTTAAGTAGACTAACCCTTCCCCAAACCATCTCACAGCATTTCCGCTCATCTTCCAAGATCCAAGGCAACTGCGATACTTTCTAAAACTGGCTCAATGCATAGCTTGACACGGTCACATTTCTATCTGTGAGCATGAGAGGAATTTCCGGATACCAACCTTTACTGCAGGGTTTCCCCACCTTTTTTAAAAAAGCAGAGTGATTTGCAAAAGTATTTTAAGGGTGAAGTCTTTTGACCGTAAATGCTCTTCCTCACCAGAGAGGTCTTCACATTTGGCATGAACCCAGCGGTCACACTTCCCACACTGCATCATCTTGCTTTCATAGTCATCGTCGTCATAGCACTTGTCACAGAGGGGGCAGAAGTTCCCTGCAAGGAGCAGAAAATGAGGAGATGGGCTCACACAACCCGAGAATCGGGGCCAAGCAGGGGCTGTGGACGCCTCACAAAGAAAGAATGGATGCTGGCAAGTCCTGTCGCTGACTGACAGGGGAAAACCCTTCTCAGTTCATACAGGTAAAATGGGACTTATGATGATTTATTTAACAAACCACTATTAAAACAGTGCAAGTCTTAGTATGATCTATGAATCAGGCAGTGTGCGACTCTATATAGGAAGCTGTCCGCCATTCCCCTTCTAAGGCCAGGTTGAAAAGCAAGGATTTCCCTTCAGGTGGAATGGCTGCCAACCCTCCCAGGCCTTGGTCCTCAATAATATTCGGCCCTTTTGCACCTTTAGCGAAGAGTTTGGCACAATCGTGACACAAAGAGAAGTCATGGGACCATTGTGCATCCCATCCTTTGCCTGGAGTTGTCGCCCCACAGCTCTTACAGCGAACACACTTGGTGCAGATCTAGAAAGAGAGAAAGAAGCTTGTGTTTTTTTCAAGGATGACGCATTCTGAGAAATATAGCAATAGCACTTAAGACTTAAATACCACTTCACAGTGCTTCACAGCCCTCTAAGCGGTTTACAGAGTCAGCCTCTTGCTCCCAGCAATCTGGGTCCTCATTTTACCCACCTCGTAAGGATGGAAGGCTGAGTCAACCTTGAGCCTGGTGAGATTTGAACTGCTAAATTGCAGGCAGCTGGCAGTCAGCAGAAGTAGCCTGCACTACTGCGCTTTAACCACTGTGCCACCTTGGCTCTTATATCAATATCAATATATTATCAATTGTCAATATTATCAATAAATATCAATATATTTCAATTAAACTAGACACAATGTTCAATAAAGAGAAGAAATCACAATAGCAAAATAAAAGACCAATACAAAAGGGGTACTTGAGAATGTCCATTTTCCCAGGAATTTGTATAATCACATGCATTCTCCTTTCCCCCCTTTCTTCTATTTTGTTTGGGCAACAAAGTCTGCCTGAGAAATCCCCAGATCCCCCAGAGAAACATACCCACACTTTCTTCTTCTTGGTGGGCTTAGTTGGGTAGTTCGGTCCCAGGCACTCTGGGTGATAGCTGTTCCGGCACTTGTTGCACTCCAACAATTGCTGTGGGATTGCAGAAAAGAGCAGTGGAGTCACACAAAGCCTGGGCACAGCGTTTTAGGCTTCAATTGGCCTGTCCGGGACCCCTCAGTTCTAACACAAGTTCACAACGTCCTGAGTGCCAGTCCACTTTTCAGGTGTCAGAAAGTGAAGTGAGTTACCTTGGAGGCCTGATGCTGTCTCCCACACACATGGCAGAACTTGCAGCGACGACAGCACCAGTTTTCCAACTGGTCTTCCAGAGGGCGTTCATTAACCTCTAAACAGAATTTGTGGAAAGGCTCACAGCAGACCTGGCAATAGACAAACTGCAAGCAAACAAACAAGTCAGCCAATCAGGCAGGCCTACTGCGCTCGCTCGCTCACTCTCTCTCTCTCTCTCTCCCTCCCTCCCTCCCTCTTAGTTTAGGAATTTTGTAAGAATTTGGTTCTTAACTCAAGCAGCCCTGAGTATCAAACTTAATTGAAAGGCAAAGTACAAACCGAATGAATGAATGAAGGAATAACAGTATAATGGCTCCACCCATTAATATCCAAAATACAGTGGTACCTCAATACTCATTGTTAATTGGTTCTGGGAGGCGCAATAAGTACCAAAAACAATGCGTACCAAACAAATTTTTCCCTTGGGAATAATGTAGTGAGTTACAAGGCAGACGGTGCTGACAAGTTCCAGCTGCTGTGCTGAGTAGCAAACAAATGAGGAGCACCGAGATAAAATTTTTGGGGTCAAAATGCACTGAGTACCAAATTCAATGAATTTCAAAGCCATTGAGTACCAAGGTACCAGTGTAATACAAAATTGGGTCCATAAACAAAGTCATCTGAAGATGCTTTTAGACCACATCCCAACTTGTCTGTGAGCAATTTCACTTCTACAGCAATCCCAGACTCCGCAACAAGCAAAAAATATTTTTCAGGGCTTAGAAGGAACTGGACCTGTTTTGTGTTTTCAGAGGCAAATAAAAAACTTTTAAAACAACATGATTCTGCAAAAACAATGGATTGTTTTGATGAAGGATTCAATTCCATCTATGTGTTTCAAATTTACTTAAACAATGCAACGGAAAAAAAACCCCTCCAATACCTGGCTACTCTCTTACCTCCACGTTCCCGCTGCTGGCACACAGGAAGCAGACTACTCTGGGAGTTATCGGAATGGAGGTTAGGATACCCAGACCCCCCATTTCCCAAACGCTTTCAGCCTCACAGTCCTAGAAAGCAGAGAAGCAATGCCTGCGTGAGCTGGTTCTGCCAGTCCCCCAAGACTCTTTGCTTGGCAGTACCATGTGGTGAGAAGGGAGAGAACCGTCCCTACTCCATGGCCCAAGTCCTGAGGGAGAAAGCCACGCTCAAAGCTGCCTTGTTACCTTGAAGTCCACTCTGATCCTGTGGACCCCGTCAGTCAGGGGCTTCTGCTTGGAAGGGGTGTTGTTGGATAAAGGGCTCAGGGTGTTGAGCGCGCTATTCTCTGGCTTGCTGACTGGGAGGGGCTTCTCCTAGAAGGATGGGAGACACAATATTTCCTTTCTTCCTTCCCAAAGTGGTTTCAGAATATATTAACTGAAGGCACAGGCACCTTGCCTAGCCTGTGATAAGTGGTCAGTCTCAAGAGACACCGCAAAATTTGTGCTGAATTATCACTACCATCAGTCAAGGAACAATACTGGAGAAATATCACACTCATATTATGTACCCAGTTTTTCTTAAAAGGCCAGAAATGCTAGTATTTGGCATGTGTACACGCACACATTTTGGGGGCCCAGACCTGAACCTGGCTTTGGATGGTGTGCTCTGGGTTTGCATCCTCGGAAAGGGGGGTCAGGATCAGGCTTTAAGTAGTAGGACACAATCACAGAACATTTTTTTCTTGAAGCAAGATGAAGCATTAGGTTACCTTTTCTTTTGGTTTCTGTTTCACCGGTAAGCTGGGACGTGGAATGATTTTCTTCTGTCTGTTTTGCTCAATGGCTAGAAAAAGTACAAACATTCTTTGTAATAACCTAAGATTTTTCTCTTGAAGCAACGAGGCATTTGGGACCTTGTCGGGGCAGAAAAGACAGTATCCACTTTTTGTTTCTAGAAACGAAATCTAACCCCTCCAGAACAATCAAGTTATACCCCAGGCCTTTCCCCACTCCCCAAGGAGGTCTATTTCTTCTGCTTTAAGTATGGGCCTGGATTAAACTGAAAGACAGAAGCAAGAGGAACGCACCACGTGCTTTGCTAAAGGATTGGGATGTGCATACAGCAAACAGGTACACAGAAGGAGAAAAAGAACAAATGATTACAAAAGAGAAAGGCAAGTCCCATTTGCCTGCTGCTTCCTCATGTGGCCATCAATGTGTGCCCAAGAAAGCACCTATATTTGCATGCAGTTGTTGAGCCGGGACATTTCCCCCCTGTGGGAGGCAGTCTTACACCAGAGAGCAAGGCCCAACCGGACTCTCCAGGGAGCAGGTATGTCAGTCTTGAAGGAGAGGCCGCCAGGAATGTCAACACGTACCTGCTTCCAGGGATGGTGCTACTTTTTTCTTCGGCTCAGCCAGGACGGTTTTGGGGGCTTCCTTTTTGGGCGGGCCTGAGTTAGGCAGCTGGACAGGGGGCAAGGCAGGCGGTGCTTGTTTGCCAGCTTTCCGGGTGGCAGAGGGAAAAGGCTGCTTGGGGTCTGGGACAGGTGGCGGCAGCTGCCCTTCCTCTATCTTTCCTTCACTGGCCTTCCGGGCTGGTTCGCTGCTTCTCTTGGAGGCCTGATCCTCTTTCCCCAAAGCCAGAGGAGGAGCTGCTGCTTTTTGCCCTGGCTCCCCCTGAACTTTCCCCAGGTGGCTGTCTTTCTTTTCACCAGACTTGGATTTCTTCTCCTTTTTTTTCACAGCTGCAAAGCAGAAAAGCATCTTGATGGACCTGCCAGCCACATATGGAGCTGCTGTCCTGAAAGCCCCCGTGCCCCGCCCCTTCCTGCTCTCCCTCTGCAAAGGGCTTCCCACCTTTGGCTTGCTTCTGGAGATAAGCTTTCGATGGCATCCACTGCAGATTCTGACACTTCCTCATCCTTCAGAAAGAGAAAAGGAAGAGATGGAAAGACACATTACTAAGCCCTCCACAGGGGGATTCTGCCAGCAGGGTCCCTGGTGCTCTCTGAGCTTGGTTGTTTTCTTGCAGATATTTCATTACTCAAACTAGGTAACATCATCACTAACACTGACAATGTTACCTAGTCGGGTCATGAAACGTCTGCAGGAAAACAACTAAGCTCAGACAGCACCAAGAATCCTCACTTCAACCCTGTCCTACAAATATTCTCATTTATTGATCTTCTGTTAGCCCTGGTCATTTCTGACTCACAGACTTTGGGGGGGGGGGTTTGATCCTGTGAAAAGAAATGCCCTGGGCTGCCCCCCGCAAAAGCTCCCAGGTAAGTCTGGCTGTCTGAAGTGATTGACACCAGCAGGACATGCTTGGCAATGTCAGCCGTTCAGTTGCAGTCAAAAGAATTCACCTGAGGTTCTATTGAAAGGAGAGAAGAGGAAGCATTCCCCTTCTCTGCCTCAGACCGACAAGGCAGCCCAAGTATGAGTATTGGAAGGACAGAGGAAGGATTCCCACAGGGGAGCTGCTCCCCCATTTTGCTTAGAGATAAAACCAACACCAACATGGCAAAAGGAGACACGGGCATCAGGTATGACAAAGATCTTTTACTGAGTTCCCCTTTGCTCCACCTGCACATGCCTGCTTCTTTACCGGGACGGCCTGAGAAAGAAGAACCCAGCTGCCATTGTGATGAGAAAGACAGAAATCCAGGCCAAAGCATGGGAAAGTCTGGCATCCTTGGCCAGTGAGAGTGAAATCAGTGTTTGGGGGTACTTTGTTGTCCCCCGGAAGAATCGCTTGTAAGGAGGCCTCACATCCACACACTTACTTGCAACACTGCTTTTTTATGTTCCGCCCACCAAATTTGGGTTTATCCAGACAGTTTGTGCAGACGCCACAATCTTCTGGGACTTGGCAGCCTGGACACTGCCCACAGCGTCTCGACCGCCGGCCTTTCTTCACAGGGGGCTCCTGAGGGGCCTTGTTTCTGGTTACTGGCTTGATGGGCTTGATGGGAGGTGCGAGGGGCTCAGCATCTTCTGATCCAGCAACAGAGGATTTGTCTGTCAAAAGGACCACCGGCTATTAATTAAGGACCACCAGCATCAATGGAGAAAAGTGACGATTGTGCTGCTTGCACTTTTTCTAAAGGAGCACCGCAAAAGGGCCTATTCAGATTTATTTTTTTTGTAAAATTACTCTTCCATTTAGCAGTATCCCTTATGTTAATTTCTAACACTCCTTAATATAAGGAAAGAAATGCCGTCTTCTATCCAAATCAAAACATTTACCATCATTCCCCATGGAAGACAGTATCTTCTCCCGTTCTTCCCATGGTAAGGCACTCAGGGTGGGCATGTCATCTGGGAAGACTGCTCGTTTGCGGCCCAGGGCTACGGCTGCCCTCCTGCAGACATGCTTGATGCGTGGACCTCGCACAGAGGTTTCGGAGGAATCACTCTCTTGACCCTAAATTCCAGCAGAGAAACAGATGGAATAGGGTGATACAATATTCCTGCCGTGAGCAACAGAATCCCAGTAGAGAGGCATGGCTGGCTGGCTTCTTGGCCTTCTCTAACATTTATGTTTCCGAGTGGGTTCCCTTCCACAAGGCAGAGAGGCTTCGCCTGAAGCCAACCACTTGCAATTGTGCAGGTATAAACACAAAATGCATCAAGGATCTCGGTGTGTATGAGCTTATAGTCAGCATCTACTAGAAATAACACATAGCAACATCTACATATTGCAAGACATTTAGTAGCTGTGTTGTATATAACAACCCAAGGCAGCTGGGATGGGCAGGAAGAAAAGAGAAAGTATGATTTAAAAAAAAAAAAGCCCTCCCTGCAGTAATTCAGAGCTCATCTCTTTCCCCAAGATGGAAGGTCTAGAGCAGGGGTTAGCAACCTTAAACACTCAAAGAGCCACAAAGGTCCTAACTGGAAGCCCCTGTTCAATTCTGGAGCTGACCGAAGTCCGGTTCCCCCACCATAGAGTCTCCTCCTAGTTAGTTAGTTTAGTTAGTTAGTTTATTATATTTATATACCGCCCTTCTCCCGAGGGACTCAGGGCGGTGAACAGCCATGGTAAAAACAATATACAACAAAAATTAAAAGCTTATTAAAATAATTCAATCATTCAGCCAAATTTAAAATATCCAACTAAAATCATTTTAAAACCCCTATCAAAACCCAATTTAAAAAACCTTTATCCTGTCAGACCAGCTTGCTGGAACAATAGGGTCTTCAGAATGCAACGGAAGGCACGGAGGTCGGGGATCCTTCGTATGTCCGGGGGCAGTTCATTCCATAGGGCCGGGGCCCCCACAGAGAAGGCTCTCCCTCTGGGGGTCGCCAGCCTACACTGTTTGGCTGACGGCACCCTGAGGAGGCCCTCTCTGTGGGAGCGTATTGGTCGGTGGGAGGCAATCGGTGGCAGAATGTGGTCCTGTAAGTAACCAGGTCCTAAGCCATGGAGCGCTTTAAAGGTGATAACCAACACCTTGAAGCGCACCCGGAAGACCACCGGGAGCCAGTGCAGCTCGCGCAAGATGGGTGTTACATGGGAGCGACGAGTCGCCACCATTATTACTCGCGCAGCTGCATTCTGGACCAGCTGGAGCCTCCGGGTGCTCCTCAAGGGGAGCCCCATGTAGAGAGCATTACAATAGTCCAGCTGGGAAGTGACGAGGGCGTGAGTGACTGTGCGCAGGGCGTCCCGATCCAGAAAGGGACGCAACTAGATCAGGCGAACCTGATAAAAAGCCCCCCTGGCCACGGCCATCATAGGATCCTCCAAGGACAGCCGTGAATCCAGGAGGACGCCCAAGTTGCGAGCCCTCTTTGAGGGGGGTAAGATATCATCCCCAATAGCCAGCGATGGTGTCAGCTGGCTATATCGGGCCGTCGGGAGCCACAGCCGCTCAGTCTTGGAGGGGTTGAGTCTGAGCCTGTTCCTCCCCATCCAGATCCGCACGGCCTCCAGGCAGCGGGACATCACGTCAAGGGCATCATTGGGGTGGCCTGGGGTTGAAATGTACAACTGCATGTCATTGGCATACAGTGCAGCATCCTTTTCCCTCTACCTGTGCTAACCGAAAGCCCTATCAATGGTGGAGCCGACTGGCAACAGGGAGCTGCAGCAGAGGGATGAAAGAGCCACATGAGGCTCCAGAGCCACAGGTTGCTGACCCCTGGTCTAGGGCTACAAAATGTTTTGAATTCAATTCCCAAAAGATGTTCTGGAGTGCAATGGGGTGTGAACGCAGCACCCATCCACAAATGTTAATACAGAGGCACAAGATTCCTGGAAGGCGTTGTTCCCATTCTGGTGCACGCTGAAATTCCTTGCCAGGAATTCCCTTACAAGGAAGGAAAGACGCAAGAAACTTTAAGCAAACAGCTCAGAATGCTAATGTCTGTGAGCAGTGGCAGTATAACAGGAAACATTTTCCGGTTCACAGCTTCTCTGAGTTTGCTTAGCGAGACCCAGAGACCACTTGCACTTGCACCTTCTCGGGAAACTCTTATCAAACTCTTATTTCTTGTGCTACCTCCCTTCTAATCCCAATATTTTTGAAATATACCTGTCCTTTGGGCTGATCCACCTGTTTAAGGGACTTGCTCTTCTCAATCTTGTAGAGCTGAGCTTTAGCTTTCTTCAGGAGACTGGCTACCCTCTTGTCAGTCATTGGAAGTTTATCAGCATGAGCCAATACTGAGCTGATGGACGAATGTTTCACAATGCCAAGTGAGGCAGCAGGAAGACGCAAAGATTCTTCCTTTTCTGCAGAAGAGGCTGCCAGGCCAAGGTCCAGATTTGATTTCTCCAAGCCCCCTCGGATTTTCTTGGGTAACTTGGTCTTTATGCTAGCTGAGTCCACAAGAACTACCGCAGGAACATCTGCTGCTGGATCAGGGGCAGTTAGTTTCCTCCGTCCTGCAGGTTTTTTGGCAAAAGATGAGGTTGCTACATCTTCACTGACAATAACCTTTCCTTTAGAACCTCGAGTTGATGGGAATAAAGCAGAGCTACTCTGGATTTCTGAAGCCTTCTTCTTCTTCTCTTTCCTCGACTCACGTTTGTTTTCTTTCTCCCTATCTCGATCTCTTTCTCGGCTTTTCTCCTTCTCAGGACTGTTGTCCCTTTCTTTGTCTTTGGACGGCTCCTCAGCAGCTTTCTCTTTGCTCCTGGACCTCTCTGTCTGTGGACCTGGTGCGAACCAAGGAAAAAGGGGAGCAGTGCCACTGGATGGGAATGGCTCGGCAGGAAGGTTTGTCTGCTTCCTCGGTCTCTGACTTTTCTCTGTTGCTTCCCCAGTCTGGGACAGGGAATGCGAAGGGAAAGTGAACGTGGTGGCGTTTAAGGCACTAGTGGCAAGGGAGCTGACAGAAATGCTAGTTAGGGAAGAAGAGACGGAGGAGGACGAAGGGAGTGTGGACAGCTCAGAGGTGCTGAGTCTTCCGCTTCTTGTCCTCATAGAGTGCGAAGGAGATCTCGACTCAGATCGAATTGGACTGAACACTCGCCTCTTTCGTTTCCTTGAAGAAGCTGCTGCTGCCGTAGCGCTTCCCGCAGCACTTCGACTAATTGAAGAAGGCAATGTGACAGACTCAAAGATGCGTGAGTGCGCCTCACTGGGGGTGAACCTTGGCGCTCGCAACAGGGGACTTCTCTTGTGTAGATCAAACCTTGTTCCAGAATGAAGAGGAGAAAATAAGCGGGTGGGAGCCGTGGCCCCAGGAGGGGTAAAGCCGGCAGCAGCAGCAAAGCCCACATCCTCTGGGGTCAGGGGCGGCGGCCTGAAATTATCAAAAATCGGCTTGCGGATAAGACCTTCTTTGGCATACTTGGCAGAGGAAAAGTACTGGGGTTCAGACCGGGAGGGCTTCAGAGAAGTCCAACGAAACGTCGGTTCTCGGAGGATTGACTTCCGCTTCTCTTGCGCGGGGGCAGCAGCAGAAGATGGCAAGAAGGGTGATGCCAAGGGAATGGTGGGAGGCATGAGCCATGGCGCATGATCGGAGATTCCTGCTGCTGGCTGCAGGGGTGGAGGTGGGGTAAGCAGTGGGGGGGGAGGTGAAGAAGAAGATGACTGCTGTTGAGACACACTTTGGAGGCTGGGCAGCTTCTTAGCTGCTTTGGGAGCAAAATTTTTCTCTGCCATTGAAAACCTCCTCCTCCTTCTCTGCTCAGTACCCTCATTATCAGGGGAGGTGGACTCTGGCAGGGACGGGTGGACTTCTGAAGTATTGTTGCATTCTTCTGAGAGAGCTTGCATCTCTTCGGAAGCCTGTGAATCTGTGGATGTATCAACACTTGGACTGCTGGACCGTGAGGAATCTGAAGATAGCTGAGAGGAGTGCTGAGATGCGACGCTGGACTTCTCGCTCGACTCGCAAGAGGTAGCACTGAAGCGGCTGTTTGGGGTAGACTCTAAGCGTGCTATTTTAATTGGCGGATCATAGTCTTCATCTTCAATGAAACGCTTGGGAGTCTTAATTATTCGTGAAGAGATGGCACTCACCACAGGCATAATGAACTGCCGAATGTTTTTGAGCTGAGTCCTCCCCTTCCGGCCCTGAAGCTTTGCTGCTTCTTTCTCCATTTTCTTTTGAGCTCCTTTTTTTGCCTTCTGCAAGAGCTGCTTGGCAATTGTGGCATCTGTCCTCTTGCAAGAAGGAATCATCCTTACTGGTCTGCGAGGGCTCTGTCTAACTATTGGCTTTTCATCTTTGGGGAGAGATGGTACACCCTCTCTCTCCTTTCGCGCCCTCTGGACTTTCTCCAGCTGGGAACATACAAGAGCTGGCATGGTCTTCAAGCGATCAGAAGATGGTGGCCGCCCTCTCCTGCGGGCAATCTGAATCCCTTTCCTCCCAATCTGGAGCTTCCCGGACTTGAACTGAGACTTCAGTGGGGAGAGTTTGCCTGTTCTTAATTTCTTAATTTTTGCAGCATGCTGAAAGGTAGCTGATGGTGCCCGCTTTATTTTCTTTACATTCTCTTTTTCTTCCTTCCCTCCTTTCTGAGCATCTGGAATGCACTCTTTATGGCTGATCTTGAATTTCACACTGGTTAGAGCAGGAGGTCTCCCTCGCCGTTTTTCTCCACTTTTAAATTCTTTCCTTTTTATTTTTTCCATGGATGTAGGTTCTGGCTTGCTTGAAGGTGAATATATTGGCAAGGGCTCTGGTAGAGCAGCTGGACTTCGGTCTGAACCGTTCCGAGGTCTCCCACGAGGTTTACGTGCACTAGCTTTGACTGAGACTGCAGAAAAAGAACAGAAATGTGTACATTAAGCAGGGAAATCCTTGTTTTCAGGCATGACGCAAAATGAAAAAAGGAATGAGATAAGAAAAGAAGAAAAGGAAAGGGAAGGGGGAGGTGAAGAGAAAGACCCAACATTTTATAGTCAATGTCAGAATTCTACATAAATAGGTTTAGTACGCATATTTAGATGACTAAGATTATAATGCTAGGAGAATTGAATTAATCAGTTTACCAGGTCATAAACTGAGTCACAAATCAACAATGGCTGGACTTGGAAAGGAGAAGCCATCCTGGATCTTTTCCTGTTGGATTATCAAAAGCCTTAGGAGCTCAGCAGCAAGGGAAACTGGATTTAATAATCCCCTGCTACTTTCACTAGCCGATGGTCAAGACAGAAACCACATATTTGAATTTAAATTTCATTTCTTTTTCATCCGGACATTCAAAGCAGACTTTAATAATAGACAGCATTTCTATTGGTGGGCATTTCCAAAGATGTCTTGAAATATACATAATGGCTAGGGCAGAATCGTGTATGGTGGGAATGCTTAAAAGAATCAATTAACTTCCAAAAGATTACATTTAGCCCTAACTGACTAAGTCATATCATTCAGGCAATTGTGTCACAGGGACATTTTACCCATTATAAACTCAGTTAATGAATCTTAGCCTAATCTTTAGGGAAAAAAGCTGGAGAAAGCCACTAAAATGTTTCCCTGTGATTCCCAGACCTGGCAGCAGAAAACTTTTTTTTGTGTGTGTGAAAAGGACAGCTGCAGCAGCCAAGACACACCGTACACTCTCTATGATGTAACAAAGTCTTATCAATATTCTCCTGGTGTAAAATGGAGCGGAGAATCTGTATTCCCCAAATAGTGATTTTTGATTCCATTAATGTGGTAATAGAAGAATCTGATTGGGCCATTAATGGTTTAAGTGTATTGTGCAACTAAGTCATGATTTACAGGATACCATATTGTGTGGCATTGAATTTACTTGCATGCTGGGGAGTGTTGTTTTGATCTGGGCAGTAATGTGGCTTTTACTTGTGTTTTCATATATCACTGGACTTATTGTATGCTACCAAGTGTTCTCTTGGAGTTGGATGGCCTTCATAAAACTAATGAAATCAATAGCCACTGTGGCTCTGTTCAGCAACTCATTATTGAAAAAAGCTTAGAATATTATATTAAGCCAGCAAATACAAATTTCAGGTTTTGGCATTCAATAAACTTTCTTTAGATCAACTACATCTAAACCCCATTAAAGCAAATCCCATTGAATATGGTTCAGATTGCAGTAGGTTGGGTTTACCTGCAAGGGACTTGGGGGAATTGGTTCCTTTGGCCTCATCATCTGAGCCAAAACCTAAAAATTGCTCATCCTGCAGAAAGAGGGAGAGAGATGGTTTAAGTAAAAGTATAGTGAAAACAAAATATAGTTGAGAAAAATCAACAACACTGACAATTGCCTGTTCTGAAAAAGTGGGGGTCAAAATTCATTAACAACCTATTTTATATGGCATCTGCTGGAAGAGAGGCCACCAGGGGAAATGCATCTCATAAAGCCCAAAAGACAGTCTGGATCTGCATGGCCTATGGAGTTTCCCTGAATGCCTGCAAAAAGTCAAGAATCTTAAGATTACCCTCCAGAAAAAAAATATTTTTGCAGAAGGTAACAAAGGGAAGCCACTTCTTTAAAGAGCCATTTCTTTAAAAACTGCTGTTTTGGAACATAAAATTGAAGGCTCTCTTCACAGCAATAATTTGCAACATCTACCCAAACAGCTCCATTAATTCCACCGGGGAGGAAGAAATTTCAATGGGTATCAGCCCGTAGGACTAAAGAGAACCTCCATGTTAAGGAGAAGCAATCGGTGTTAGGACAGAAGCAACAGCCGCCGCTGATGCGAGGGCCTCCTGCTGTGGGGCAAGCTACTGTATGGCAAGTAGTTCAGCTCAGTTGGAAGCTGAAAGGTCATCAACTATGTGCTCCCTTGTTCGTGCTGCCCCTGTCGTGGGAGCCCATGCCCAGCCATGTTTTCCAGAGCTGGCCCAGGGTCTCTCTGGAGCAGAGGCATTGCAGCCTCCTTTGGGCAAGAGCTTCTGGCAAAACACTGTCAGCACCCCCTCAGTTTTGCTCCTGCTATGCCAAAACCCTAGGCTTTGCTTCTACTTTCCCCAAAATCTCTTGTCATCTCTTAATGAATACCAATCCTGCCCCGGCTCATGCATTTTCAGGACCTCCCCCCCCCCGCCCCGAGAAATTGGCCATTCTGAGGCGGCAGCTCAGGAAAAGAGCTGAAAAAGCTGCCTTTCCATACTTTTCTGTGACATTTGGGCCCTCACTGCATAGGAATCAAAGAGGCTGATTTGGGGCATTAAATTGCAAGATCACCCTGAATGGATTTATCCTTGTGTGCGAGGGAGAGAAAGAAAGAAGGAGAGCAGGGTATGCATGAAGCGTGCCTCCTCGGACAGAAAGGAAGCGGGGGGGGGGGGGGGGCTGGTTGGCCTCATGCTCCAAGCTCAGCTCCTCTGTCTCTGGAATGCCGGGAAAGCCAGTTTTGCACACAGCACTCCAGAGCGCAGCTCTGCCAGCCCCTCCCCTTACCCACGTGGGTCTCCCTGCAAGAAGTAAACAATCTTTGGCTGAGGATGGGCAGAGATTCTGGCAAGCTGGCAGAAGGGGCAGCGCCTTCACATCTCTAACTAGCATGCGGATGACGGGTTCTAAGCAGGCAAGGAAGCAGAGCGGTTTAGTCAGGCCACCAAAACTTCATCACTCCAAAGCCTGCTCTCTTTCCAGGAAGCCAAACTTTATCAGTCTAAGAGTTTCTCAAAGAAACCAGAGCTTCTGAAGATCAAAGGCTGCAAATCCTCCAGCACTTCAACAACTCTTTGAGTCAGGACTCTGGACTCCTTTGGTGGGGCACAGCTGGAGGAAGGATGGAGGGGGGTGCAGAGCAGAAGCCATAGAGGTTCCAGCAGCCTGAGAGTCCCAACACCTCAGCAATTCAGCCCCAGGATTTGGGCCTCCAAGCTCCCATGCTTTTCCCTTTCCCTCCCAGCCTGACAGTCAACAAGCCGAGAGCAAGATTTCCCTTGGGATTTACTGCATCATGATGTAATCAGCAAGGATGTCAAGCACAGCCCAGGGCTTGAAGGAGTCAACTCTGCTCCTTCAAGCCCTGGGCTCACTTTGCCCACTCCTCCTCCAGGCTTTCCCACTGGCACTGCCCCAACTCCTAATCCTGCCACCCTGGGGATTCTGTCCTGGGAGCCACCCCAGGAGGTTTGGAAGCCAAGACCAGCTAAGCATCCGAAGGTCTTTGAAAAGTCCCAAATTCAGGTGTGACTTTATGAAAAAAGGGGCTTGTTCATTGTTCTCTCTTTGCCACTATTTTAAAAGTAATAAAAAGAATAAATAAATACACATATACAAAAATGAAAAACAGGGCTTGTGCCACAATCAGAGTATTTTAAAAACGTCCATTGAAATTGGTTATGGTGTTGGCTCTCTCTCTCTCTCTCTCTCTCTCTCACACACACACACACACACACACACACACACACACCAGCCAGACAAAAGAAACATTTGAGCGGGAGGGATTGGGGTAGAGTGGGATGGAAAAAATTGTCATAAACAGAAAAGCCCTCCACTCACATTTGCCCAACCAGATTAGATCTAGCTGAGCCACTTGGAGAAACTGCCTTCTTCTTTTTAATGTTTTATTTATTTTCCAAGGCCAAATGATCAATTGTGCAAAATGAAAATTGTGGTTTTTCTAGTCTGGTATAATGTACTTTATTCCATAATTGCAACACACGGTTTGAGGCCTAGAGACTTACAGCCATGGGGTAGCTTGGCTGACTTAAGCAGGGCTGAATATGTCTAGTCCTTGGATGGAAACACCAGAGGCCATACTGAAAGTTGAAAAAACATTGAAGATGATAATTCTATATTTTTGCTTCCACAGTTGATCAGTGCATGTTACTACTCACATATAGATTACATACTGATACAGCACTGAAAGTGAGATGCAACAACTGGACAAATACTATTCCAATCTACAAAGGTGTTATTCGAGGCATGCTTGTTCCTTTTAAAATTTCTATATAAATGGTCTGTTGAATCATCTCAATAAACTGAATTTCCATCCATCAGAAAACATTGGCAGAGAACATATTTCTATCTTAATAAAGATACTTTGGTAATTTTAAAAATCCAAATAGAATATATTAACACTATGGGGGTTCTTCAGTATAACAAAGAATCAGGTAGAAACACATTAGCCCAAAATGAAAAGTATAGGTTTTTTTGTCAGGAAACCAAGACTATATTGCCGGTAGATCAATGGAAATTTAACTGAACTAATTCAGTACTGTTTTTTAAGAACTTGGGAGCTTCCAGGCAGGAATCTGGCTTAAAGAAGGTTCATGGATCTTATGTGCCCCAGAATTATGTTCCCAGAATTGCAGTGGGAACTTCAAGGTTTCCCCCACCCCCTAAATAGGGCAACTTCTACAACTTCTACATTTTTGGAAGTCAAATGCCTAGCATATTTTTATCTAGAATCCATTTTTTTGTTACTTCATCCCCTCCTAGAATAATTGAAACATCTAAGGGCTGCTTGGCTGAATTTTACATGCTGCCCTATTTCTGAAGGGAGGTATGTTGAAGGTGGCATAATCAGCTTTGTTGTCCCTTTTTCCCACAGGGTTTAGCCAGGCTAATGATTCATGGAAAATACCTATAGTGAAGACAATGTCTGTATTGGGGCTTATCTTCTGCCTATTTATTTACATACACTGGATAATGAGCTGAACACAGGGTGCCAATCTGATTTGGCCAGAGCCCCACATCTTTCTCTTCGCAAAAGTAAATACAGAAAGGCCTATACTTTGTTAGATGTCAGCACCTTCCACCTAGCTGGCTTAACAGAAAAATACAGGAGGACCCCTTTTACAGACCATTTGGGTCTGTGCAACATTGGTCAAGCAGAAACTCCAAAATGTGTTCTTCTCCACTGAACATACTAGTAAACTCAAAGCTCTCTCATTGCATCCAGTACTCAAAAGGATACCACCAGGCTGTACAAATCAATTCTACAGGTAATCCTCAATTTACAACAGTTCGTTTAGTGACCGTTCAAAGTTACAATGGCACTGAAAAATGTGACTTACGACCATTTTTCAAAGTTATGACCTTTGCAACATCCCCATGATCATATGATCAGACTTCAAATGCTTGGCAACTGGTTCATATGTATGAACATTGCTATATCCCAAGGTCATGTGATCATCTGTTGCATCCTTCTGACAAGCAAAGTCAATGGGGAAGCCAGATCCACTTAACAACCAGGTTATTGACTTATCAACTGCAGTGATTCACTTAACAACCGTGGCCAGAAAGATCATAAAATGGGGCAAAATTCACTTAACAAATGTCTCATTTAACAACAGAAATTTTGGGCTCAATTGTGGTCCTATTAACACTACTTGTATAACAATCTATTACTTTCAACATATAAAGTAGGACAATTGACCTCTAATAACTTAACTTGGACTACAGACATCCTATATTCATATTTTGATCTTTTAACACCTGATTTTATTATTGTAAACTACTCAAACTTATAAATGTGATGATCAGAGAAAGAAACTTGGGTGTCAATTCAAATAAGCAGTCCAAAATTACTTGAAATGATAAAAGACTTTAGTGTAGCAGAATAAACTGTCAAATGTGAGACTGAATTTGTATCTCACAAGCACATGCTTTTAAAAATATTACTAAATAACGTATTTCGAAGTCCTTGAAAGAATACAGCCAAAGCTGTAGTTTGCAGACACATCACAAGCATTTTCTAGAAAGATACAGATCTACCAAGAAACGCCAGTCCAAGTTACCACAGAAACAGGAGTTCCAAGACAACAATCCTATTGTGTCAGCACTTAATAAGGATTTACCACATTCAGTAAAAAAAAAAAAATGTTATAGCATCTTTGGTTCTACAGCAGCAGCACAAATGAGCCCCAGCTGACTGTTAGGATCCTTTCCCCTCAATTTTTCTTCCAAGGCAGAAGACAGAATTCCACTAAACAGAAGAGCAGAGAAGAAAAGTAAGAATAAAAAGTAAGAATAAAAATTAATAGTTTAGGCTTCAAATAGAATCTCAGAATTGTCTCCAATTTTATACTCCCTGCAAAAAGTGAAAACTCAGAAGGTGCTGCCACCTTTACTGGCCATTGCAAGTCGGATTCCTCAGCATGCAAACTTCTGAGAAAACAAAAAGGATTAGGCTTTTAATTGGGTTTTAAAATTCTGGTGTTTTAAAATTCAGCCGAATTTATTTAATAATTTTAAACTATTTTAACTGATGTTGTTTTGTGTTTTTAATAGGCTGTACACCGCTCTGAGTCCTTCAGGAGAAGGGCGGTATAGAAATAAAATTATTATTTATTATTATTATTAGGCAGAATTGTCCATACTACTGCAACAACCTCCCATGGCCTGTCTTATCCCTTCTCAGTTAAGAAGCAGCTTCCATCACAGAGCTTCATACTAAAGTTGACCTAAACACAATGGTTGTAACAGAAGCATTCCAAATGACATTCTAGGGCCATTTTTAAACTATAAGTTAAAGTTCAGAAATTCAGTGTGAAGAAAGGGACTAAACTTAATCCCTGAATATGGATTCAGATTGCAATTTAAGCAATGAATGTCTCAAACATTAAGACAAGTCATTCTTCGCCTATTTTATCTTGTAGTGCATCCTGAGTTTTATTAGCCAACTTCTGTTTTCCAGGTAAGATTTCAAAACTCTGGATTCAAACTTTGCATCTCTGGAGTTCAAGCCAGCTAGCCAGACTTTAAGAGTAATACACCCCGTTTTCTAGCCAAGTATCTTTAACTACACCATCAAACTGACTGTAAGACTACTTCCCATCTACTAGCTAGATTCCATCAGTCAGAAAAGCAAATAGATGGCTTCATGTTTTAATGTTATGATATCAATATTGTAAGTCATTCAATCTCCAGAAACGGAGTTGCAGTAAAAAAGAAATATAAAATTCATTTATCAAAATTGGATAAGCAGGTGTTTCTGTGAGCCACCAGATGCTGCTTTAAATGTTGAAATTTATTAGCATAGGAGCAATTATGTGAACAAAATGTTTAGGAAAATTATCACCGCAAATCATGGTGTGTGTGTGTCATCTTCAAGGTTCTTATCTTGAATGATTCAAACCTTTCACCAACTACAGTAATTCTATTTATGTCCCATGCCTTGTTTAAATAATTCAAAGCAGGTAACAGTACAATAACAATAATGTATTATACAAAGTACTGTCAGTCTACAAAAGCAGTGCATCAACTATAAGAAAAATACAATTTTGCAACTATGGAATAAATCCCAAAATTGGCTATTTGCCTATCCAAGAGTTTCATCATCCAAAGCTCCAAAGAAAACAACAGAACCTGAGCTCTACTTTTTTCTGAAATTTTCCACAGATCAGTCAGAATTTTAAACAGGATGCTTCAGTTTAATGACAGTATAATTCTTTAAGCATCCTGGAAACATTCTAGAGCCAGTAGTATCTGAAAGCAAAACAGTTTAACGGCTCTCTTACCAGTGCAGAGGTCACGCACTCTTGTGAACCTGCCTCAGATTGACTGCAGCCCTTCTAGCTAGGAATAAACTCAAAACTTCAGATACCCTAAATTTGTGCTTTGTGATTGAGAATGTTCCCATATATTGGGGAGGGAGGGTAATATAACTTGCAATAATTGTGTCCATAAAGTGCAATACATTACCCAAGAACTGATCTAATAGAAAGTGTATATATGTATCTCAGGGCTGAATGCTGGAGTTCTTGGTGTTCTCTGAACTTGATTGTTTGGTTGTAGATATTATACTACAAAACAACCAACAAAGCTATGAAAAGAATGATATTTCCATACATCAAAAACATCTCAGAAACAATCAACAGATTATTATAACCGCGCAGCTTTATGGTAACACACACACACACACACACACACACACACTAACTAAAGCCCTTCAAAACATCTTAAGTGAACCAAACGGTCGTGGCCAGAAGGGCCTTTGCGCAAGTGCAGGTTGTGTGCCAGTTATGCCCTTTCCTGGACCAACAGTCTCTACTCACAGTCACTCATGCCCTAGTCACTTCCTGTCTTGGCTATTACAATGAGTTCTACTTGGGGCTGCCTTTGAAGAGCATCCAGAAGCTCCAGTTGGTGCAAAATGCAGTGGCCCACATCATTTTGTGCAGACCCGTGTGCACATGTATCACTTCTCCTGCGGGAACTGCATTGGTTGTCACCTTTAAAGCCCTTCATTGTTTGGGACCAGGTTATCTGAGGGACCGTCTCATCTATCCGACACATCAGAGCCGGGAGGCAGGGAATGTTGTGGGTCCCATCCAGGGGTGAAATGTAAAATGTGTTACTACCGGTTCTGTAGGCGTGGCTTGGTGGGGGGGGGGAAAAATGTGACTGGGTGGGCGTGGCCAACTTTTTTTAACTTTTCAAAGCATTTTTTCTAATACTTTGAAAAGCCTTTGGCAATCAGGCAACTCAGCTGGGATCATCAGACTTTTCAATGCATTTTTTTTACCACCTCTTCGGCCAAGCGGTTGCAGAAAAAAATGCTTTGAAGAGCCTCTGAGGATCCCAGCTGAGCCGCAGGATCATCAGAGGCTTTTTTTTTTTACTCTTAAAAGCATTTTTTTGTCGGACGAGGTTGTAGAAAAAATGCTTTTAAAAGTTAAAAAAAAAGCCTCTAATGATTGTTCAACTCAGCTGAGCATGGTGTGGGGGGCGCAGGGATTTTTGCTACCGGTTTTCTGATAGCAACCGATTTTTGCTATCAGTTCTCTGCCGCCATCGCTACCGGATCAGGAGATCCGGTCCAAACCAGGAGCATTTCACCCCTGGTCCCATCCCCGAGGGAGATATACCTGGTGGGACCCAGAAGAATGGCCTTCTCCGTGGTGGCTCCATCTCTCTGGAACATCATTCCCCCAGAGATTAGAATGGCCCGCACTCTAATACTTTTCCGGAAGGCACTGAAGACCTGGTTCTGCCAGAGGGCCTGGGGAACCCAGAGCGGGATGGAGCCCATTAAATGGCTTGTGTGATCTGCTGTCGCCAGGCATGGGGTGGGAGGTGATTTTGTTATATTGTACTATATTCATTTATTTGATTCTTTTTGTTAGTTTTTTATTGTTTTAAATGTGGTTTTATATTCTGCAAGCCGCCTTGAGTTGCCATGGGCGAATAGGCGGAAATATAAATTCAATCAATCAATCAATCCTGTTACAGTTTCTGTGCAGGGCAGACAGGCAGAGCACATCCATGAACACCAACTAGCAGTCAGAAGACACCATGAAAACTCTTTAATCATACAACATGGTTAACAGTGAGACTCAACCATAGTTTTAACTGTGAACATCTTAAACCAAGCTAATCCAAAAAATGGATTTAGGGAATTTCTGGAAGTTTGGCATTCAGCGAAATCAGCCACTAGTGAGCACACAGAGATAAATCACATTTATACACTATTCAAAAAAAGACCATAAAAAAGCTAAGAAGAAAATATCCTCTCCTGCTACCAATACTGAGATAAGCAGGAATTAACACCAGGCAATGAAGCAGAAAACAATACTCGAATCAATCAAGGAGAAAACCACATCCCCACCAACATGGAAAGGCAAGCTAATGTATATAAACAGGGAGCAAACCTCATACTCCCTACCAGTGATGATGCCACCTAGTCGGGTAATGAAACATGTGCAAGCAAACAGCCAAGCTCAGAGCATAAGGACTCCACAGACTAGCAAAGTGCACCCATGAACACTAACTACAGTCAGAAGACATGACAAAAATTCCTCCATCATACCACACATGGACAGATTCAGCACTAGTTTTAACTGGGAAACTAATAGTGTTTTAGGTAAGCCCAGTCCAAAAATAGTAGGATCTCCTGCAAGTTTGATATTCTGACAAATCAGCCATTGAATGACCAAGATAAATCACATTTACCTACCTTTCAAAAGACACACAATCTAGGAAGGAAACAAAAAGACTACAATACAACCTCTAAAACTATGATATATGAACAAGGTTTATATCACATTCACTAGCATTGATGTTACCTAGCTGAGCAATGAACCATCTGCAAGAAAACAACCAAGTTCAAAGAGCACATTCAGACCTTTACCCACAACATTGGTCTTCTCAAATGATTTATATCTGCAAATAGGATGTTTTTACTATGTATACATGAAATTTTTTTGAATTTGAGCAGTGAAAATATTCTTACATAAAATATGTTTTGTTCCCCAGCTCTGCCTAGTAAATCATGACCAAGAGTACACCTATGAGACTCCTGATGAACACAGTGGGTTGTTTATGCCCATTTAATGACACTGACAGAACACGGAGAGGTGTGGTACAGGCAGGGGCTTGAATGACTTAGTGCATTATTTCTCATTCTGACTGGTCATGCATCGAAGATTAAATGAGCCCCAGTCCACTGTCCTGAACATCTAAGAACGAGGACTGCACAAATATAAGTTTTAAAATGATTGTACTCATAAGGACTTTGCAAAGCACATTTAGTATTATGTAGCATTAATACAATGAGAGAGCTTATAATACTTTCAAGGAAATCCAGCAAAAAGTATTGCTTTGAAAATCTATACAATTTCAATTGGTGTGAAGCACTATGCTAAAAGTGTAGGTTTGGGAGTAGCATGTGCCACAATCATCTACATCAAATGCTTTGGTCATTGGATCAACAAGCATCAGGGAAGGTGAAACAAGAATTCGAAGGCTAGCCTGGAAATCATGGGGGGGGGGGGGGAAGGCTACATGGTTTTTTGGCCAGCAGAGAATCTGACTGGAAGAGGCAGGCTTTGCGTTGAAATCTGTAGTCACTTTTGAAAGGATGGACTTTTTAAAAGGCAGACATGGGTAATGCATGGGGCAGGAGGGCATCGGATTGCCATGGTACCCTGCCAGAGATAACATTAAGAAAGAGAGAAGGAGTGCAGCGCTCGATGGAGTCGTCCACAACTTCCCATTCACGGAAGGTCCCAGGGCTCCACTGCTTTGGTACCTTTCCTTTCCATACGGAAACCATGCCGGGCCCTCAGGGGAACGGAGGCTGCTGTCACTTTGCCTTCAAGCTCCGAGGGGGATTTTCCTCTCCACTTGAACGTCTACAAACCCCGCCCGCCTGGCTTCAGGGGCCATCCCCGCCCGGCAAGTACGCCGCCAAGAGGGAAGCGGAGCCGCCCGGCCGTGGCCACCGCTCCGCCCGTTGCGCGTCGAGAGAGCGGGGCTCTTGAAGCGGGGCGGCCGGACAGCCGAGGGGCCGGCGCCGCAACTCGCCAGCAGAGCCCGCGGCGGCTCCGGGCATCAACTCGGGGCCGCCCAGCTGCCCTCCGCGGGGCCGCCACCTGCCCCCGCCCGCCCGCCCGCCCCACGTGCGGCCGCGCGGGAAGGGAGCGAGCCGGGCTGGCGGCGTCTCCGCGACGGCTGGAGCCGCGAGGAGGCGCGTCGCCGCTCGTTCCCGCGGCGGAGGCGGCGGCCGCGCAGGCGAGGAGGGGGCGTGCCCCTTCCCCGCGCCGGGGACGCGTCGGCTCGGCACGAGGGCGGCTCCCGGCCGGGGAAAGCGGCCCCGCCCGCCCACCCGCCCGCCCGCCCGCCCGCCCGCCGGGGCTCACCTCTCCGCTGCCCGCCTCGGCCCCGCAGGCCGCCCGGAACCGGCGCAAGTTGATGCCGATGGCGGCCGAGACCTGGAGCGCCGCGTCGAAGCCGGGCGCCACCCCCGCGCTGGCCGGGAGCGGGGCGGCGGGCTGCGGCGAGGGGGCGGCGGCCGAGGAGGGGCCGCCCGCCCCGCCCCCTCCGCTGCCGCCGCTTCCCGCCAGCGCCGCCGCCGCCGCCGCAGCTCCTCGCCGCCGCCGCCCGCCGCCCGCTCCTCGGGAGAGTCCCCGCGCAGGCTGCGCAGGGCCGGGACCCGCACGCGGCAGCCCCCCAGCCCGCGGCGACCCCCACCGCCGCTGCCGGGCCGGGCCGGGAAGCGCCACCGACCGCTGTGCGCCATCTTTCCTGTGAGGCGAAGCGCCAGAGAGCGGGGCCGGGCCGCGCCCGGGAACCTGCCTGCCGCACAACCCGCCCCTAGGGGCGCTGCACGCGCGCGCCGCCCATCCAGCTTCCCGGGCCCCGCCGGAGCGCCGCCCCGCGCGCTGCCTGAGTTAGAAGGCGCCGCGGGCGGCCCGGCATAATCGCGGCGCCCATCCAGGGTCCGGGGCCCGCTCGTCACCGCCCCGCCAGCGGCATGGCGCAAACGCTCGCCCTGGCGGCCGGCAGAGGCAGCCCCGCATGCTCGGCGCGGGGCCTTCGGGAGGGCGGGGCGGCCGGCCGCGGGGGTCGCTGCTGCTGTGCTGCCCCCTTGCGTGGATGCCCGGCAGGGGCGGAGAGGCGGCCGGACCCAGGTCGGGAGCAGATGCTGGTGCGCTCCTTCCCACGCGCGCGGCCACGACGGGGCGGGGGCGCTTGCGCTCGCCTCCTCCGACAGCCAGTCGGCCCTGCCCGGCGCCGTGCCGGAGACGCAGCCGCGGGGCAGGAGCGTCCGGCGGCCGTCGCTGCGGCGGCGCCCGCCCGCGTTACCGTCCCGGGAGAGAACTGCGCTCGCCCCCGGAGGCGGCTTCGGTCAAGGCGCTGTACCTCCGCCCGCTTCTCCGGTCCGCCGGCCCCGGCCCGCTCCTCCGCCAAGCTTCCGCGGCGGGGCCGCCCTCCGCTCCTCCGCAGCTGTTGCTTCCCGGCGCCCGGAGGGACCTGCCCGCCGCCGTCCCCTCTGGGTGGGCTCGGGGCCTGGCAGCCCGAGTTCAGCTCCCTCCAGACATCGCGGTGCCTGCTGGGAGGCTGGGAGCAGCTGTGCTGGAAGTCGGCTGCCCTGGCAAGGGGAACGGCTCGCCGCGCTTCCCTGCCGGCCAACCTGTGCGAAGGTGGGCCGGTGCCCAGGAGGAGGCGGGCTTTCTGCTGGGACGGCAGCGAGGGTGGCCCTCCGGCCGGGCTGGAGCTCCCAGCATCCCCGGCTGCTCTGGCTCTCCGAGGTGGGGCCGTGGAGGGACGAGACGGGCGCTCTGCTTTCTCCTTTCTGGGCTGGCGGCAGCTGCAACTGCACGGAGGGCCGGTCCCAGCATCATCTCTGGCGGTTACAGGAGGGGCAAGTCAGGAAAGAATAAATAAAAAGCGACCCTCTTCCTCAAGGAACAGGGCAGATAAACTCTTCTGACAACATAAAGGCATAATTAAGATCGGTTAATAAGAAATTGAGTACAATAAAGCTGATACCGCTTCCTTGGGGGTGGAATCAAAACTGAAAACTACTCTCAAGTTAGCAGTCAGTTGTGATAGCCCCACAATATTAGCAAACCTTACTGAAGCTCTTTTGTGGACATGGAAAAGTGGTTCACCAAAATACAAAATGTTAGGATTTCACTTGGACAGATGGACAAATCTTTCCTGCATTTTGTGTAAGAGGAAAGGAATGTGGGCAGTTGGTCCTTTTGGCTGAGAGAGAAACTTTCTAACTGCTGTCAGCAGTAGTTTATACCGTGGCAAGTCTGCTAAAATTCCAAACCCACTAAAGCTAAAGCTAACACCTAAACTGCTTCCTATAAAATCGTAGGAGAAAAAGCAGCTTTTTCTGCACTTCCTCTGACACTAGAAAGTGAGATATGTGAGGAATACTTTGAGTTCTTGGATGTGGCATTATAACTGCATGAGCTCTAGTATGAAACCCAACAAACCTCTACGAAGTTGAAAGTATTTAAACAAATGGTGAAGGGAGAAACAGTGTAGTACAATTGAAAATAGAAATTAAGATTTTTTTTCTGCCATTAAATAGTGATGTTATCCTTTGTCGTGTCTGAATCTTGGCAATTCTATGGGCCAGGTCACCTCACGTCTTCCAATCTTGCACTACTTGAGTTGTTTGTGCTCTGACTGGTGTCAGCTTTGAGGGTGCATTAGATACTACCTTTGAGAAAAATAAATGGTTATTCTTGACTATTTCTCCTTATAATTGCTACTGGAGATTTAGAGTTAATTATATCTATTTATGGTAGCATTTCCTGGTACAACAGGAACCTACCAAATCTAATCTGTCTCTCTCTCCCCCTTTCTGGCAGCTGTATGGTTTCTTCAAAGCATTTATGAATATAAGAATATAAATACACGGGGAGGGGGAGAATAAGAAAAAAAAGTTGAAGGTTGGCTGTCAGCTTTGAGGTCATCAATCTGAATGACCTGTCAGAAATGTTGCAATCATGGATTCCCCTACCAAATGGAGTTGAACTAGATGTTGTCCAACCCTTACGTTCTATGATTCTGTGACCATCTGATTCTGCCACAATGTAAACATGACTTGCAGACACAGTTTAATCTCAGTGACATAGTTTAATGTTATCAAGACACTACTAGGAATCAAAAGAAGAAACTTCTTCAGACATTATATCCAATCAGGCCACGTTTGCCTATGATTTCTCCAATGTAAAACCACATCAGTACTTCAGTAGCCACCAAGCCATTCCTCAGAGCTTCCTGAAAGGAAAATAAAAATATTTTTAAAAATGATTATTACTATGGTAGCAATTGCCCCACCCATTCTTGATAGTTCCAGTGAAGTACAAGCAACACCAAGAGGTCTTCTAATACCTTATCACTTATAACTTACATTTAAATTATGAGATATTTAGACTTTTAATTCATTCAAATTAATATACCCACTATTCCAGAAGACTCATTGATCCCATTACCTCCCTTCATGGGATGGAAAACCACTTCATGCTTCAACTTCACACACACACACCAAAGAAATTTTCCATTTTCTCTAGCACTATGAAGGGACTTGCTGGAATTAATTTTAGACACTGCAGGAACAGAGCTGTTAGCCTCTCAGGAAATCAGAAGTCTGAAAGCACCTTTTCCAACAAAGCTGTTGTAAGCTACAACTGCTGGCAAATACTTACTTTGACTGTGAGTTGTGCAAAGCGCCCAGTCTGGTAGCTCTTCAGCAATGTTTTGAGGCTCTCAATTGCCTTGGGAATTTCAGCAGGAGTTGGAGGGACCAGCTCAACTTTGGCATAGTACAAGAAAGTGTCCAGCCGAGGCTTTGAATAGGTTGCAGCAGCTAGAATAGAGAGCAAGAGCAAGGTAAGATGAAAATCAACATCAAATCCACAAGTGCAGCATGGGGATTACTTGGCTCAATAACATACTCATAAAAAAGATTAAAATAGTAGATTACAAACGGAATATGAATGGTGTGATATGTCTGCAAAAAAGTAAATGGAATGTTTAGGCTGCATGGTGTTTAGATTACCGGAATTGAGAATTTTACTTTACAGAATACTAGATTAGTCAGGGACCACATGGAATATTGTGGCCAATTCTGGACATCACGATTTTAGAAGCATTAAGAGAAATTATAATGTACTCAGAGAAGAACAGCAAGGATGATCAGATGACTATAAAATCCTTTGAAGACTAATGGAGCAATTAGTCGGGTTGGAAGCAATCCTTAGACCATCCCAGAGAAACAGCTGTCCCAATTTGGCTTGAAACACTGCAGTGATAGAGCCCCTTCAATTCCAGGAGGCAGACTGGTCCTCTGCGTAATATTCTTTCTGATTTCAAGTTTGCATATCTCTCTATGAAGCTTCCAGCTATTGGTTCTCGTCCAGTTCCCAGGCACTATAAAGTATATATCACCATCTTTCTGAGACAGCCCCTCACGTTATTAGAAGACTGATATCCTGTCTTCCCTTGGCTTTTTCTTCTTTAGGCTAAACTAGACATGGGCATTTTATGGCCCACGGGCCACATCCGGCCTGCGGGTGGTCCCAATCCAGCCCCACAGCATTGGCTGTGTCGGAGAGGAAGTTGACAGGGCATTGGCAGGGAGCCAGTGTGGCATCGGCAGAGGAGGTGGGGCAGCAGCAGCCCTCTACCATAGTGCCAGTTTCTAACATGTCCATTGGGAAAATTAATTGCCCACCCTTGGGCTAAACTGACAGAGCTCCTTTAAATCCTTTACTTTAGCTTCCAAGCTCCTTACCATGCTTGTTGCTCTCCTCCATACTTTCTCCAGTTTCTCAGCATCCTTAATATTGGTAGTCCTGAAGTTAGCAACGGAAGATACACCAGCGCTGAACAAAATGCTCAGCCCGATGCCTGAGGTGATGGCCATTGTAGCCCCCCAGGCAAGTGATTTCAATTTAACACACGGCAGCCTGCTTGGGGCACTCCCCCCCCCCCCCGCCCATATCTCTGCCCTTCTGGCCCCTGCTCTCCCCAGCTGACCCTTCCGGACTACTTGCTCCCACCTGCACGGACGGCCCAGTTCTTCACAAGGCAGCTGCTGGCCACGCAAGGCCTTCTTCCCCAAATTGTGCCCGTTGGTTTCGGCGGGAGACCTGGGGGAAAAGGCCCAGGCGTGGCAGGCCCCACCAGCGGAAGGAGACAGTGAAGGCCTGGGGGCAGAATGCACGCTGATCGCCGATTGGATTAGGAGGTTATTATAGATGTCCATTAGGTGGGTGGGAGGGGGGGAGATTGTTTTGGTTGGAGAGGCTCCAGCCTGACTTCTAGCGAGCACCGCGGCGTCCCACCTCTAAGCCACCCATCCCGGCCACCCTGCCCACGGCGGGGCTGCCGCTCTCAAGGAGGCGGGCAAGGTCAGCTTTCCCGAGGCCCCGCGGCAGCCCGGCGCTGCGCAAGGCAGAAGGGCGGCAAAATGGCTGCTCTTCTGTAGGGCTCAGAGCCGGGCGGAGGCACCGCAGCCCCGCCGCGTCCACTGAGCCGAGCCGAGCCGCCCCCCTCCCTCCCCGCGGCCCCTCACCGGAGAGCAGCTGCGGTCCCTTGGCGGAGACGGCCCGGAGCAGCTTCTGCGCCGCTTGCGCCATGGCGGAGCCGGAAGGAGGCGCTGAAGGTCAGAGCCCGCCGCGCGCCGAGCCAGAGTCAGGCCACGCCCCTCGCTCTCCGCCGCGGCCGTCACGGGGCGAGCCCCGCGCATGCGCCCTCGGGGGGAAGCGGGCCTTGT